TCCGAGTTAGGCCTTATGGAACCATCAAGTCTGTGAGCACGATAACTCTTAAAACTTATCCCACTGAATTTGGTAGAGTGTAAGGATAAATTCGAAGAAATCAGTTGATCCTTAGGCTGAGGTAATTTACGTGGTGAGATAAATACACTAAATTATTTTGAGAAATCATACTTGACATTTGGCCTCCAGATACACTACCTTCAAAATACGAAGCCCAAATTCAAGAATATTTTGCTAAAGGGCAACTATAACACCATTTTTATCGGAAAATTTATCAGAAAATGTTAAAATTTTGAATGTTGGGTGTATGGAAAAATTCATGCGCAATATCACTTTTATAAAATATTGGTCTCCTCCTTGAAGGAAACCCTCACTGGCTTTAGAAATTATGTAGGAAAGACGGGAAAAATGACTGACTCGGGTCGGGCTGTATCGAAGTCTGCAATATATGTTTTTAATTTTGCATGCATTTACGAGAAACAATCTGTAAACAACGACACGCAAATCATTCCACTTCTTTCATCTCATTAGTGCACAATTCCTAAAGTGTAAAACCAATCCTACGATAATAATGCCGAACTTGGTGAAGCACAAATTGAGAAATAACAATAATCTAACCATAGTGTTGAGTCTAACAATTTTTAGCTAAACAAATTGAATTATTGAGCGCTAACATCCACGGGTTTACGTAAAATCGATTGATCCTCCAGATAATGAACACTTGGTAATTTGGCTACTTATTTCAATCAGCAATATGCAGACAGGGCCTAAACTGCCAGAACGTCTTGTCTTCATTAGTCTCGACTGGATCTGTCATCGTTGGCGAGGAACATTACGTACGAGGAGTTGGAATTTTGTGTCTATATAATGTTTTTCTTCTTTGGCTGGCTCCCCTCCCGTTCTGCGAAATGGGTGCAAAGAATAGAAAACATCGCCACCAATTAAGCAATGGAAGATTGAGAGGTTAACTTGCAAATCTCGTCATTGAGCAAAAGTCTTTTGTGAAAGGGTCGCCTTTGGCAATGTGGGAGCCATGCAAATAATCCCATGTATAAATATGTACGTGGATACATTGTAGACTACATAGTTTTACTATAGTGAAGCTTGTGAAAGAATTTTAAAGGAATCGTTCAACATCTACATATGTACGTAGTATGTACGTAGTTATATAAAGCATGCACATTTGTGTGTACATACAGGAGAATGCTTTCCATTTAATTCCATTTGGCCCTCCTCATCTCCATAATCCACTTCATCTAAATGTCATGTTGCAGCCATATCATTCCATTCCTCTTCCATCAAAATGTTTTTATGTTCGTTCTGGATTCGTGCGACACGAGATATTTCCACTTTCTCCAGTTTTAGGCTGACTAGACAGGAAGAAACATTGGGGATTTTACTCACCCATCCACACATTCAACATCTGAATATTGCATTCATTCAGGTGTGGTTAATCGGCGATGAACTAAAATTCTAGCAAACTCGTCGTCATCTGACAACATGCACGAAGCTGCTGGCAGTAACTTAGTGCATGTAATGATCTGCGTACATAGTGGCAGGGCTGATGAACAAAAAATAGTTCTTGTCAAAAAGCTGACTGACTTTGATCCTTTTCCTCGTTCGTACCCTGTCCTGCTGCGACTGCTACACGTCCTGCCACACAGGATCAATGGCAGGTAGATCGAGATGGGGACGAAACACGAGGAAGTTTGTCGTTGTTGCAGTGATGGTGTGGCAGATAAAATGTCACCATAAAAGGGGAATTAGCCTTATAAATAGACCATGAAAGTGTAGAGCTGGGAAGAAAAAATATGGGCGCGGTGAAATCCATGGGTGGGATCTGCAGCCGTGCCGCAATACACTTCGTGTCAAAGGGCTACGAAAGTGAACCAAATCTTATTTGTGAAAGAGAGTGTGTTGAGCGGCGTCTATAATAAAAATTGCAGTTTGTTCACGCTCGTGGAGATGGTGGTTCTAACTTGGTTAAAGGAGACCTGTGAAAGCTGTGGAAATTCCTCTTAATCAAATGATGGATCAAGAAGGATATTCTACCACCTAAACCCGGTGCAAAGGAATTGATTTAAAAGAAGGGCTAATACATGCACACGTAGGGTTGAAAAGAGAACAACGTGAAAATGGCTTTGTGACTCTGAAGTAAGTCACCGAGGTCGTCCTTCTTCCTCTTTTTCATCCAATATGCATGCACACCCATGACAAGATAGGAATTAATATGCGATGCCATTAATTTTGGGGAGGAAGGGGCACAAGCAAACCCAAGAAGAGGTTCTAAAAAACCCCAAATACATATGCATTTCGCTACATTTTTATAGCCAAGTTACTTTCATTAAAGCCGAATCAAGCGACATTACACAACATTAAGTAGCTCATTAAAGGTATCTCAACTAACATCAGAGTTTTATCGGTCATGACATGTAAAAACAGGAGAAAATTGCGCACCACGCATACATACTTACTTACATACAGAGGATAAGGTAGGTGCAACGATGTGACGATCCAGACTAATAAACCTTTCACCCATCGAACCACGGTTGAAGGATTTCTGCTAACCTTCCACTAAACAAATACTGCAGTGGATGATGAGAATGATCGATGGCTAAATGGATTTGCAGTCCGTTACAACGCGTTGTACTTCCAATTTTTCTACTGTATGGCAATAAGAATCGCTAAGGAAGACCATAGCTTCAGATACATGGGCTGGAAATTGGTTAATAATCATCATATTTTGCAGTTTGTGATATATCTGCCATCACATAACCAACTAAGTATGTATAGACAACCATAAGGAGTATGGAAACGTGGAGGTACACACATTCCAGTCCAATATAAATGTAAATGTTTTTCTGTAGATATTTCTATGTGTGACCGACGAGATTGCGGTAATAAATTGAGTTTCCTTCGCTAATTTCCTTCATTAGCTTTTTCGACCTTTTCCATGTCATGCACTGGTGTAACCCTCACCCATGGGGCAAATAGCTTCCGCTTCGTTAAAATAAAAAAAACTTATAGAGAAATTAAAAAATGGTGGTAGAAATTTAAAAAATTTTAAATCGACATTATAACTAAACACACCGGAAATATTAAAAATGCTTGGCATGCAATATGCGGCAATATTTTAGCTCAATACAATTCCGGATGTTTCTTTCTATTAAAGAAGTTTTAATGTTATTAAATTTGACGTGGCCAATAACATGGCCAAAAAAGTGAATGTGAAGCAGAATTTATTATCCCAGCTTCCTTTCTGTGATCATTAATCTGTCCTAATTGAAGGACTTAATGATAAAGGGAAATGAGAAAAACTGCTGGTGGAAACACGTGGATCGTGGCTTTTGAAGAGAGAAGAGGGATGGAACTCGTGTGCTCATCAACGAGGCTCGTTTCTAGACTTGTCCATCGTGTTTTCTGGATGAGGAAAGGATGGGCTTCCATTAATTAAATCCGACTGGACAGCGGAATATGTTCCATGTGATTACTAGCTCCTACTCACGAACACGAAGGAGAAAGGTGCATTCTAAGCAGAAAATTGTGTAACTTTCTCCTCCTCACTCGGCTCACGTTCCATCGTCATCAAATGGAACACTGACCAAGGGGGAAGCAGCAGTAAACCTCATTCGACCTTTATCGTCCTCTCAGCCATCGAATGCATAAACAAATATGTCAATCTGCTCATTTAATTTGCAAAACCATGTAATGCTCTTTATGACTATTGATAACTTTCAGCACTAAATTACATTAATTAGTAAGTACACACTACCCCATAATAAAGAAACCAAAATAACAAAAATACTTGGCAAACAAGTCGCGGAAAATAAAAACAAACATTTTAGTACTACTAAGAATACAATAATTATGCCATCTGATTTTTGCACTGCGTATAAAATCTGATTCGCATATTTTCCTCCCGTCCTGTCAATCAGACTACATGGAATCACAATAAAACTCACCCTCATTGATCACGCCAGGAAGCTTGGCATTTATCGGAAATCATCTAGGACGAGAGAGGACGCGGAACATGCAAAGGAATTTCTCGACAACTGTTCGCAGGAAGGGCAAAGTACTTGTCTCAAGCACTCAAACATGTCCATCAAGAAGCCGAGACTGGGACTGTCTTGTCAGCCGAACTCTGATTCTGATGAGGATAAAACTCTCTCAAGAAGAACAAGAAGAGTAGATTCGCATCGTCGTATGTATAAAGCACGTGTATATAGATGCATACACAAGATTTGCGAGTTTCAACGTCGGTCTAACTAGCTTGAAACTTTGATGAACTATTGATTCTGGATGCTTTAAAAAAATCTGGAACTTCTCTCCATCTCATCACAGCAGTAGGCTGACTGTGATGAGTTTACTACTGCTCTGCCATGTCCATCGTTTACAAAAGATGCCGAAAACCAATCTAGGACTAAATTTTGCAAGCAAGTCGCGTTTTTATAGGGGAGTTGAAGCATGGAGAGGAATAATATAGGCCACCAAAAGCTCGGCTCACAAGCTGAGGCCAATTATAGGAAAATTAGCCCTGTCAACCTTTTTCTCCTCACTTTTGCTCTGCTTGTATGGAAAACAAGATGTGACAGTGGAGTAATGTGCACGTCGCATGAATACGAAGGTTTTCTCCAATCTAGTTAGAAACCACCTAATGACCTGACTCTTACGTGACTCTTACAATTCTAGGTAATGGTTTTACTTCACTGCACAAAGAAAGTTTTTCTCCCCTCTGACGTTTACAAGAGTTTCCAATTTTTGCACTGTCAGAAACATTGGAAAAATGTGTCATAATACGTCTTTCTTCGTGGAAAACTATTTTGACACCAAAGTATCATTAATATTTTATTTCGCTGCTCCGTGAGCAAATCAACGGACGTATGTAAGTATACATATGTGTTAACACAGAATTATTAGTCGGCGGATGAGGCAGGCCAAATTCTTGGTCCAAGGGACAAAATAAATGTATTATTTATTAAATAGAGAGCTATTCAACTCACCATCTTTTTTGTAAAACACGGTTTCCACGTGCTGCTCCTCCTCGCTGATGAGACTGTCTTGAATTTGAAGGATTGCCGACTGTGCGGTGAGTGGTCCGTGAAGAAACCTACCTTGTCAGAAATATTACCATAGTCAGCTTACCATACGACACCTGTGTAAATGAATAGTGGACTTACGCGCATATGGCTCCTTTTTGCATAACCTCTGCCCTCGTGTAGCCCGTGAGACGGCAGAAAAGGTCGCTGCAATATATGATCGCGCATTCAGGTGATTGGGCGTTTCCAAGCACATAATTTCGGTCTGAAAACAAATTCATGCCTCTCAAATCATAATAATTTGCACCCGGTTCAGTTTTGTAATTCTAATTTCATTCAATAAGAAAATAGTTTCCTACATATGCCAATTCAACTTTGCTTGCTCTGAATTTGTGATTCAGTGCAGGAAAAAAACGCTGTCTCCATTGCGTAGTTCACCGATCGAATTTCATTTAAATTCCAAAATCGCTAAACTGTGTACCACTTCAAAATAATTTGACGGATGAACAACTTTCTTTTTGTGAGTTCCACGCACACAATTTCCCAACCCTCAGTCTTCTATATACTTAACAGTCAAATTTTAGTATACTCTGTCATAAAGAATGACAATAGATTTTGCTCACTGCATATTAGGAAAAACATGGCAAGAAACAAGGGGAATTATGCAGAGTCATGGATGGAAGTTGATGGATATCTCACAGCCTCTACCCCCTGTTCATAGTTCAGAAATTTTGACTGCTGAAATTATGGTGCCATATGTACTTAGTTAAGTAGTCAGACTTTGTTTTGGAATTATGTTTAGATTTCTGTGATAAAATATATTGCATGTGACGAAATAAATCAAAAGTGGTTTAAATAAATAAGTTGAGTGTAAATAAATAAGCCAACGGTACATGCGTCGGATTTTTCAAAAAAAATAAAGTACCAGAGTATTTTAACCTGAACGGAAGTTTCCCCAAATCAAATTGGTAACCAATTCTACTTTATACTTTGATGAAAAGGAAAAATTGATCTACATTGACCGATATCTGGATAAATGCAGCAGCGTATTGCACAGAAAGGGAATTTGTTCTAGCGTTGCTAAATATGTAGGTAGGTGCACACAACAGCATTCATTTCATTATATAAATGAAAGCCTACAGCTTTCACGAGAGGAAAAACTTATGTCTGCAACTTACTGCAATATTACAGTTTATTACATACATTAATGCCAGACATACGAACTGGTCAACCAACGTCAAATTACAGCATTGCCAAAGGGTTAAAGAACAGTTGGAAAGGGATGTTTAATTTTAACTGGATTAAAGTTCCAAAGTCTGACTCGGTGAGTGGATGGCTGACAATTATATTACGTAATATGTGGGTAAGGTTGATACATATACTTTTATAAATATTTAAACTGGATGATATCTCCAATTTTTCGTCAATTAATTGTCTAATTGGGGTATCTCATATTGGATTCAGTCAGTGGATGGATATATAATACAATGTTTGAGGACAATAAATCCCTTCCTATCAAAGTTACATCTGAACCCCATGCACAGTACGTTCGTGGTAATATCAAATGCTCATCCGGCTAGAGCTCAATTTAAGACGCTTGTCCATAGCAAAATGGGAAGAAAGAATTGAATAGAGACGGTTCAAAGTTTCCTAAGCGTGGGAATGGGATAAAAGCAGATTATCTGAGGGGAAAATGTCTTCCTAGGAATTCTATCCTTTTAAGGGGGAGCCCTGGGGAAATTCAGAAATACGGAGGAGAAAGGAGTGGAGAGAGCCACCAACGAACCAACCACTTTTCCGGCTTATGAAATATGCATTCCCATGTACACATTAAAAGCGAACCTTTCTTTGCTTTCTCTTCCCACGACTGAAAGAACCAGATTTGTGAAGCACTCCATCACTCTTAAAATACTTTATTATGTAATAGTCGATTGGAAATTGAAGAGAAAGAAAGGGAGAGAAACTTACTCTGACTGTCAAACTTGCGAATTATAGATTCGATGAGCGTGGTTGGAGGAACGACGTGCCCCTTTCGAATTGGCATTTCTTCTTGTGATGATGAGACGAGAGTTAGTGAGGAGATGAGGGGCGATGGTGGTGGAAGTGAGCCAGACTAAGATAACAAGTCATCTTTCCGCTACTACTCACTTACGAAATGGATCAAGAACGATATGGTCGTCACAACACTGTTTCAGTAAAAGAACAGCAGCTCGTACAGCAGTGGTGCACATTGATTTTCTTTAAGTAGGCTATTAGCTAAGTACTTGTAAATGGATGTGTATCCAGGGTGGAAGCTATTTATCCTCCTCCAGAAATCATGTTGCATGTGGCGGGCATAAACACCTTTCACTAATGCTGACGATGACGAGTACGTTCATCCTCTCATCTCGGCATTGTTAACATTTGTTGTTGTTCCGCAGCCAGTAATCCTTCTTCCTCTCAAACTAATTCAACAACGCCCAAAGTTGAAATTAGCTCGTTTCCACATAAAAAATATTCCGTGCAACTTTCTTATGCTTTCACAGCAGTATTTAGTTCTTTTTAGGCTCATAGTAGCAGCACCATCATTTATTTATGCCCTATAACACCCAATTACGTTCTGGTCAGATAACCAGATACACATAAGAAGCAAATACGATCGACGTGCGTAGTCCTTGATTTTGAACCGCAAGATGAAATTATTTTATTTGTCACGGAATCAAATCCCACTAGTCATACATAATTATGTAGCTAATGTTAGCAAGACCTATATAAAAGTTCAAAAATTTGTAGATAAATGTACATATAGTATGTAACCACTATTAATCGTTCACTAATAATTAGTTTAGCAGTTGGAGGATGACGTACATAAAATTTTTTAGAGTATATGTAGTTAGTTTCATGCAACTGTGGTCAAGAAGTTGCGGTCACTTAAACGGTCGAGTCAACTAAAATTACATGTTTTTATTCTTGTTGTAGTCTTGGGCTGACTCTGACTCTGATGTTGATACACTTTTGGGAATAAGCAAAAGTCAAGAGTCGAGAGAGGTGTGCGTCTCTGTTGGAGTGAATAAAGGAAGTCGTCGTATATGTGTGTGGTGTAATCACCTCTTGAATATCGGATGAGGCAAGACACTTACTTCTTGCACTTCACGTAAACACGCCACTTATTCGCGATAACTTTTTTTTGGTCATTGTGAGTTCAAGAGGTTGGTCTTTCTCTTTTATGTTGTTGTTACGCAATACGTATGCACATACATATGTACGAACGTATATGGTCGAAATCTCAACGCGGTAACAGGCTGCACTCTATTGAATCCTATGACATGCGAAGGGTATCTAATTCAATTTCTTAATCTTGGTTGTAAAAGAGAATAATAAATCCGGGCTTAAAGGGAGTCTCCCTTCTGAGAATCCCCCTTTTCTTATCCCTTCTTGTGGACAGGTCAGAGTGACAGCGGACGTCCGTCTTTGAACCACGTCCACTTCACTGTCGACTGCCTCTCTCTCTCTCTCTCTCCTTCTCTTTATTAAGAGTAAGACTTTGATCTCAAGTAAGACGGTGAAAGTTGTAGTAATTCTGGTAGGGCTGAGTTGTAGAGAATGGAACAGTGCGATAAGTCCTTCTTATTATTGTAAACTGGAACCAAGAACGAATAGGAAGCAAAGGTTGGGATTTGACGCTGCTGCTTTGGTGTTTAATTCTCTTTAATAAACCAAGTCGTTCTTCTATGTTCTTCTCGGAGCGATAGAGTCGAGGCAGGAAAGAACAAGACTGCTGGCCAAGAAGTCGAAACTTTTGCATCCACACTACTGCTGCATCATGTAACGTGAGGTGGATTTGATACGACTTTGGGTTTGAAAGGAAACTGAGAAAGTAGTGTGCGAGACGTGGTAAACAGAAGAACGAATCTTATACACGAGTCGTGGTGCTATGTATGATGAAGTTATTTTATGAACGTTCGTATTATTATTAATAACGTGGTCTTCGTCTTGTGCTGAATCTCAACATGCACGTAATGCCTACAGCAGCAGCAAGCAGTGGCGTCGTCGTCACATACACCGTTTTCGCCTTGACTCCAACTCGTTTATTCCCTTTTCTTATCTGCTGCCTCTTGTGGAAAGAGTGCGAGAAATTGAGAAGTACACAGAAAGAAAGGTTGGCTCTATTTTCGGAAACACATATGTGGGACACTTATTCGAGCTGCAAGAGATCAGAGATACGAAAATAAGTTGTGTTTCGCGTATTGCTAATCAGCAGACGACGTGGGCATTACAGTGAGAAGCTAAACGCACTGTCTTTCTTCGCCCATCTCTCTCCTCTTATCCGCTTGATCATACATCCACTATTCGTTTAGCGTGTGATAATGGCTGCAATTTATTTTTTACCCATTCACCAAATGTTGCATAAGTTAAGCCGTTGTCGGAACGAAGATAGATGCGAACGCATTATAAATTAAATATTCTTCCACGAGTCGGACAGAACAAGGCGTTGAAGGTGTTTTGATAAATGGGCACCAAATTGTTTGGTATAAAATAATAACCCGACAACCCTGGTTCTTACTTGTGTATGGTGATGACAGCAGACAAGGCAGATTTATTGGTCCGGCCGTTTTGTGATCAGTGTAATAATGGTGGTAGTGGTGTCGAGTTAAATAAAAATGGCAACGGAGATGATCCTTTCTCTTCTACCGTGTATTATTCTATCTTCTGAGCACTTGCTACTACACAGTGCTGCGTTTTCGAGAACAGACAAAATAAATTCACTTTCTTCGTAACTCGTAGTACATACATCTAATGGTTCAGGTTGTTGTACTATGGATGACAGTTGACGACCCAACTTTATCCAGCGCCTACTTTCTTTTTGTTTTTTATCGAGTAAAATTTAAAAACTTTCCAGGTCTGCACCAAGTTTGATCGAGTCTTGAATTTGGAAACGTTAGCTGGACCATGAGACCGAAGGTGCGAAGGTTTTGGTGGCGGATCGAAAGTTATGACATCCACAAAGACGCAGCACCTTCACCAAACTGACGGACCGAGTTTTCTTGCACGTTTCCTCCAGCAGAAGAGTCTCCTGGTTGGCGAGTTGTCTCTTTTCTCCTTTCACTCACTGAGTGGAAAGCAGTCTGTCCAGAAGCAGTCGTCGTACTGGTGGTGGCCATGCAATGGAAGGGAGGCGAAATGTGAGTGGAAGAGAGAATGAGAGGAGAAAGAGGGGAGAAAGCACCGAGGTGCAGCTGTGGTGAGGCAAGTCGATGCCGGTGGATGGAAGGAAGTAAATAAGGTACGAGAGACATGGGGAGGGAAAGAAGTTGTAACCACCATCAGCGCCTGGACCCACCGAACCCTTTTCCTTGCATTTATTTCAACATGCTAGCTGCTTCCGAAGAGCTAAGAAAAATACCAATGAATTCTTCCATTCGGTTCACTTGCTCTTTTATCTTACGTATCTGTGAGAGAGGAATTCCCGTTTTAATAAGATTTATTTAAAGGCGTGCATCATTTGGATCAAGAATCATGTGAGAAACCCTCTGGCATTGGCGTCAGTAAAGGAGATTGCAATAATGAGCTGTTGTAAATATGTACATACGTATCCGTATCCAGCACCCTCCTATTTATTTTGCTTGTTTGTTGAGTCCACGTACAAATAATATTATTAAAGTTGAAAAGCCATGTCATTTACATTAATCTCGAAACACAAGTTGGAATGGGCCACTTGAGTCCAAAACAAATGAAATTTCGAGATTGTACAAGGAAAATTGATGAGCAGCTTGCGTGGGAATCTGGTAAACAATAGATAAAAGGGTTTTGGCTCCCATTTATGCGTCAATGCATTTATTCATGTTTTCCTTTTCTTGTCCTCTGAACCACAAAGATGAAAACTTTAATATAAACTAGATGTTGGTGGGATACGAGTTTAATGCATTTTCTTTTGTTTCCCATTTGAAGTTATGTACGTAGGTAGTCTGCTGACTGAGGGAGACGACAAAAGTAAACCTGAGAATATAGCACGTTTCCTGATCTCACTTTGAAACTCAATCTACCATCCACCAACCACAGCCAAGAGAGAAAGTGATGGTTGGTCTTGAAGTAGCGTTTAGCCACGTTAAAGGCCAACACTTTATTCCCTGTAAGCAATTCCATTCTTAGATCCAACTTGAAATTCGGTTAGGATGTTGGGATGAAATCGACCGCTGTGATCCACGTCAACATTCTTGCGCCGAGAGTTAAACACAAACGCCACAATCCAACCCCAAAGAGGAAATATTTTCACTATTTACACAGAAAGATTCGAGAAGTGGTGGTGGGTAGCAATATGCATTGAAGAAGAACGAGCCAGGCTACTTCTTTGGTGAATACTTTGGTTGGGTCAACTACTACTCCTCTTCTGCGGATTTGTTTGTAAATAAATACCAGGAGAGCAAAGATAGATAATCCTCCTCGGTCGTAATGAACGCTTTTGGTCCTGTGGTATTGTATACCTATTTTGTAACAATCGCTATAACGGTTGGCTTAATTCTATCAGCAATAATGCTCCACAATTTAATACATCTCTAAAACAGATCCTGAGATCCAAGTGCTAAAATAAATACTATCAGAGTGGATGCCGAAAAAGACCCAACGATTACTGGTTCGATATATTTTTGTATTACAGTGAAATGCACTATCTGTCCTAATATTTCATGTCCAAGATGTCATATTTATTCGCTGCAAACAAGTCCTGGGGGCTTGAGAGTGGCACTGAAATGGAGCATCATACAGATATATGTACGTATATATTTATGTACAGTATAGTACATACATATATACACGACATAACTAATCCAGACGACGCTGCTCGTTGCATTCTGTCGACCGGAAGATCGCAAAAAATTTAATACTCTCTCGAGGATGAAGTGTCCTCGTTGGTAGATTGCGCCGTCCAAAATCATTAAATGGATGCATTCCTCCGACGTTTCAAGTGCTTTCTACATACAAATCCACCTCGCAGCTATTGCAGTTGTTTGTTATGTATTTGACTGCAAGGGACGAACTTATTTAGAAATCAATGGGCTAGACAAGCGGAGCCATTATTGTGAACCACTAGTACTCAATTTTTTTTCCACCGAGTCCTCCTAGTCTGGACCAAGGGCACAATTATTAAATAAGTGATGGGGAGAGGATTTAATAAAGGTGGAGAAGATTAAATCAAGGTCTCGTAATTTGTTGTGCCACGAGCATGACAGACTAATCACAAGGAAACCTGTGCTCTGCATTGTGGATCATGCTGGATGAAAACCAGCTTGGGTAACTTGACGTGTTTGGATAAAAGGTTGACATTTTACAGATAAGGACGACGAACTACTCAAATGATTTTAGTTGGATGTGTACCCACGTGTATTTGAATTCCACACTGTACGTATTTTACGGGGTTGGTTGGTTGGTGTTCAAATACTCTTTGTGTAGTTCACTATTGAAGATAAGTGCCTTCAGCCCCTGTCCGGAAGTCTGAAAGGATGGATGCAAACATAATATTTTGCATGATGACGACAGTCAACAAAATGGAAACCTATGTAAACAGCACGTAGATACGAATAACCACCACAGGATTGCTGTTCACTGGTTTTCAACACGATTTCAAGCATACATCTACATACGTATGTATATCTAAATACATATGTAACCTGTTCATTGTTTCATTTCATCTGCGACTGCAAACACTGAAGTTTTAAAAATGATAATGAACTTGATTTGAAGTCGTTTAATCGTTGAGAAAGTAGGGAAAGCACTGTGCATATTGCCTCCATGCACATTAGATTATACATCTGCATGTAAAGTTTGTGTAGAGCACACTAATAATAAATAAGTTCCAAGCATAAAGATTTTCAGATTTATAGATATTGCACAGCTGTATTGGCTTTGTTGTTGAATTTCCTTTAAGTAAGCTCTAAACATTTCCTCTTTTTCTTTTACTTTGTAGCTTAATACCTGAGTGAAGAAAAATTGCATCAAAAGAGGGAACCCAAAATAAATTCTCTTGTTTGGATCAACTGGGATGGAACTCATCTGAATTTTCTTTTGTGTTCGAAAAAGTAAATACGGTATTCATGTTTATTTGTTGGCAAATATGTAAGCAGTAGTCTCTTCAGATTAGATCAGAAATTCCCCAGTTATAGTTGGACACAAATATATTTTCAGACGGCCTTGTCTATTCCTTCCTTGCGTTATGAGTCCAATGAAATAATATGTATTTATTTTATGAAAAGAGCTCCGGAAAAATATGCTTTGCTGTCCTTATTCGTACTTGAACTATCAGAGGGATCAAACTTTCAAAGATTTTCGTGCAAGGAAATAAATAATAATGCCTTGTTTACAATCTCTTTTGTACCATCTACACTTCAATCAATCTCAACGCCTGGCTCAGAACTTTGTTAATACTGTAAATGCTTTCATATTTCTGGAAACACGGACTTTGATATAAATTATTTGAAGTCTCGCTTTGAGATTTGATGTTACACAACAATATCTATGATTTGTCTCGTTTTATTTTTATAAACCCTTCTCTGGTATGTAAATATCCAGATAAGAGTCTGATGTCTAGTTTAGATTGATGGCATATATGTAAACTTACATACATATTTGTAATAATGTGTAGCAAGTCTCGAGACTATTTTTGGACAATTAGTTGAATATCATCAGTCACTCTTATCTCATGACTCATCTCATTAGACAAATTAATCATAATAAAATATATTGATCGTTTAATGGTCACGCCCTAAAAATATGATGACATAAATAATAAGAAATATGTGGGCAATTATTGCAGTTTGCAGTATTTTGGCCATTCAATTTTACCCCGTTTGTCCTGAAACATATTAACTGTGTCATGAACGTTACTTCACGCATTATTTTCCCCCTTCTCTCTGAGACAACAGCCACAAAAGTGACGCAGCGCAAAAAATTCTAAAAATGAATAAGTGGTTATTCCTCCTGCCAGTTTCTACACAACCCAAACATCCAACATCTCATTTCACCAAACTCGACCAGAGTGGTTTTGAACAAATAGTGGAGATGTATCAGGAGGACTTTCACCAACTTTCACCGTTGCCATTTTTCATGTTTACGGCTTCTTTATAACATAGACCAGTAAGTGGAGTTTCGAGTTTACTCTCTGGCAGGTTGAGAGAAATCTCTTCACGTCGAAATCCATTTGTGCCACACTGCTCTCGACGACATGCCAACTGTGGCCCTACTCTAATCTACTGCCAATTACCACACATATTTACATGCTTAAATATAATAATTAACATCCTCAAAGTAGTAATCCTTTGGTTTAGTGGTCCATGTGTTTTATATAGTTTTACCCGTGAAAGAATGCAATATGTTAAATATATGAAAAAAAACTGTTGTACTAGCTCAGCTTGAAATTCTTCGTCATTTATTGTTCGCATATTCTCAATTGACCTCCTTTTACACTTGCTAACCTTATATTTGTGTATTGAAAAAGTTTTCATTTACAAATGAAAATTTGGACTTGATTTGTGGTTTTTACCTTACCGATAAATTATAGGAACATCTATTACATTTGCATATTATTATCACAGAGATTTATACACACAAAGCACTAGAAATCAATCAGACCACCAACATTATATATAATACATATTAGTTGTGATACAGCATTTCAGAAATTTGTGGCCTTAAATATCCTTCATATTATACTGCCTCTAAACATTTGGTATTTTGCAACGTATAGAAATTAGGAGCACACACTTTACCCTAAAAAATTATACAAAAAACGATACAAGAGTCTTTTGGGTATATATTTAATTATGTTCTTTAAATCTGTTTTCCAATTATCTCCAAAATGTCTCCAACAGAGTAAATCGGCAATTGTTTAGTTCAAACCAAATGATGTTTTAATGAAAGTGTCAAGCATTCGTAGGTATAGTATTGCTTCAAATAAGTAATTTAAACTTGCTCGTAGATGCGGGGTAACTTTGTGTGAATGTACTGGATAAATTAGTTAATTAAATAAATCTGAGAAAATTCGTTCATTTGGTACATTTATAACAATAGTACAAATCTACAACCGCCGGATTTGCTGGTTGTTCATTCAATAGCATATAAATCTAAATGGCGCTTAGACAACTTTATATAATGATTATAAGTAATTACGCGTAGGATACAAAATAGTAAAGTGATATTGTGAATGTTAACTAAATATATAATTTATTCGATGTGAGTCCTTTTTGCATAAGGTTTGTCATACTCCGTTATGACAGACGTTGAGCAGAAAATGCCCCCCATGCAAGAGATGCACGTCTGGAAATAAATTAAAATCAGTCTAATTAGGCTCAAGGTACATTTCAAGTGTATGTATGCTTTTGTTCTATTAGATTAAATGGCATTTCAAGAACTGCACAAGTTTACAGACGCCCACGAGTGGGAACACTTACCATGAGAAACCACATTCCCAGGGGGAGGAGAGATTGGGCTAAGAGAACCATGATCACGACGCCTTGAACTGCCAGAACCAGGAGACTCAAATACAGGAAGAGGGGCAAAATGTGAGCAACTTTCTTCTGAATGGTCTCATCCATCTGCACCCAAGAATGTTCAAAAGGAAAATTAGATTACTTCTTGACACTCTTTCAAGTTGAAGCTCATGAATGTGAGTGCTTACATTATTTGTAAATGAGACAATGGCTAAGTGAGCATTCTGGAAATAAGACAAGGCTCGCAACAGCCATCCAGAGAGGGAAGAAAGGCCGCAAAACTGGTGGGAGGTGACTACTGGAATCCTGCTGGGAGGTGGTGGTGGGAGCACGTTAATCGGTTTAATTACGTCTCCCAGCTTACTGTCAAGTGTCATAATCAGTCCTTTATCATCTCCCTCAATTCCTTTAAACAAAGGGAAAAGCATATTGTAAACTGTTCTAGACGATTGAAAAGAGGAGTAAATAACGTCCACGCACATAATTGCTCGTTCTTGGTGATATTACGTAAAATATTTAGGCAGATTCTTACCAGTCTTAGTGTTCCCTAAGATGAAGGACCCGACAATGCTCCTGGACGGCGATTGGCTAAGGTTGTGAATAACTTGGGTCTCAGTGAAAGACATTTCTCCTTTTTCTGCTGAAAAGTGGTGCCCTTAAACTTCCCTTTTGGGATGTTGCAAGGTTGGCAAATGGAGAAATGAGATATTACTCCTCCGGTTGGGTTGCAAGGCAAGGGAATTCGCAACTTGTGTAACGGGGACAGTGACAGCTCTACTCCAACAACAGGACTGTGAGAAAATGTGCCTGTTCAATAAGTCAAGTTTCTATTCTGCTCCGTCCTTCTGATGGACATTGAAATAGTTGAGTTCCAGCAGCAGCAGTCCAATCAAGTATCGATTGCTCTTCACAAGTTGTCCCCAAAATTGTGGTATAGCAGTCGTTTGCTAATCCAAATTCACTTCAATGCAATCCACTAAACTAAACTTGTTGGGCAGGAACAACCCTTGAATAATATATGCTGCTGTCAAGAGGTCTTCTTCTAGTGTGTGGTTTATTTGCAAACTACTAGAATCCAGCTACTTTATGATGAATGTCGAAGGTGTATTTTTAACCTGGAGAAATACAAAAAAGTGTGATTTATAATGTCGCTTGGGGTTAATTTCTATGTAGTCTTGTACATGCGTAACTAACTCGTCATAGTTAATAACGATGACAAAGTCAAAGCTACATAATTTATGATGTCTCTACACATACAACACATATGTACATATAAACCTAAGTTCTGCTAGTTTAAAGAATTTGTGCATTGTAAAATCATAAAGTTGCATATTGTTGTATTCTGCTATCTTTATTGAGGGAGAACTTTGGTCGAAACGTTGAAAACACTTCAAATCCTAATCCCATACTTCAAACGTGCCTTTTTGAGTGTTTTCCAATTGCAGTATGCTAATTTTTATGCAAAATATAATCCACGCAAGGACAAAACCTTACTTTCAAATGATTGCCATTAACTATATGTAGGTTGCAACGCTAAACATATAGCTGCTGCAAGTCAAAGATCATCGAATTAATTCAAGGATTCTCCTAGATTCGTTTCTGAGTTGGTTAACTGTTAAAGGATAGCGATGTCTAGAAGCACCTGTTTCGAAATTACAGCGAATGATGACCCATTGAACTCGAGAGTCAGATTTAAATTAAACTACTAAAAAAACTAGATTATATTCCCAGCTCAAGAGTTCAAGAGTTATCAGTTTGATACCGATGAAAGGGAAAGATACTAAACTGAGATGTGCAATTGGGCAATTTTGTACAAAAGTGAGGAAATCAACTTCCAAGATTGTACATACATAGATATATTGCAAATACGACTGGAGTTACATATCAGCCTAAGGTCACCTTCCACATCTCTCCCAAGTTCATTTGTAACTAATTATCAACCACTTTGATCACTAAAATAAACTGGAAGAGGAGAGGGTATCAACCCAACTTCATGTGCAAGTTATCTCTTCATTCGCGAATTTATGACGCTTTTTATTATTATGGAATCTTTATCTACAGTCGAATTATAACACCCGTGTTCATGCTGAGATCTTTTTTCTCACTTTTTTTGCAAACCTGCCTACTTTGAACATTTGGATTGTGTAATATTTACTCATACAATACGCAAAGTTCATTCACTGAAACACAATAAAGGCATTCAAAAAAACATAATCAACTAAAAAAATGGATACAAGAGGAATTCCAGCGTCTTTTCAGTGATAAAAGTCTAGGTGGGAGAAACCCATAAGTTGACAAAGGACCCGTGAATGAATCATCACTTTTCGTGGAGAAACCCAGTTTTACCTATATTGATGATAGCGTAGGTGTATATGTATGTATATAATTCGACAATAAAAACAGAGGTTGGCGAATCTATTATGTTTACAATAATAAGATTATAATTCCAGTACAAATCCCAGCCCATTTGAAGGACATGTAATTGCGATCAAACAGATATTGTACTCAATTGATCAAAATCCGCAAAATGGTCGGATCTTTCATGATTCTCAGTAAACCGCAATAAGTAAAAGAATTGATCAACGTGATCCATCAGAAGTATCCACGATCGAGATAAATACTACGTGCTTCTACGAGTGTCAGAACCTGCTTTTGCACAATGGACAATACTTTGGCTTCAAGCTGCATAATTGTGACGTCTTAGGTCCCTCATCTTGTGCTCGCTTTGCTATACGCTGTGTAACATGCAATAAAACCTGTTGATCACGCTTCTTGATATGTCTCGGTGTTGGGGATAAACAATTCTCTCAAACTGCTATGGTCTGAATATTTCATATCCGATTCAAAACTACGCTGTGGTAAAAACTATAACCCAGTTAACGTTTTACATGTAGTCAAGTAAATAACAACTGGTTGTAAATTTGCATTTAAAATCAACACACCTCACGAACTAGGGTACATATTATTCCTAACGTAAATGTTTATAAGATGGAAACTTACCAAGTATGAAACTGATGCCAGGCTTCGCAAATATAAATCCGGCCGGTTCTTATTGAATACGGGGAATTGTTTTGTCTCTGTAATTTCTAAATTGCAACAACCCTTCGTCTTCCGTGTCTCACGTCAGCAGAACCACGCTCCGTTTGATTTATGTATTGTAGGAAAATACTTTTGTGAGGAACTACTTGGCAAATAAATTAATATTTGAACAAAGTCTTCCGAAGCCCCTCTTGATGAGAAGTGGTAAGGACCAAGGCTAACTTAGTTATGAAGCCTGAGGCAGGTTTGTAGTCATGTTAAGTGACCAAAGCAAACAGATCAACGTAACTAAAATGCATCCTTCCTTACACTCCTCACAGAAACGTACAGGCGGAATTCTTACATGAATTCAATTCTGTCTTTAGTAAATAGCATAACTAGTTTTAGCTGTCAAGCATAGCAAGATGATCTCTCATAGTGCATCATGGGTAGAGCTCATGAGTTTGGGTAAACGAATATATGATTAACTTGGTACAAATGTATATGTATGTATGTAAGTAACGTAAAGAGACGATGGTGGTTGGTTCAGTTAGTGGATGGAGTGCCTTGTAGGAAGATAAAGTAAATTTATTCTGTGAATCTTTGTACTATGGATGCATGCAGCAACAGATATCAGCAATTGCCTCTTTTTTACCAACGTGGTTCCTCTTACATTATTTACCACTGTGCATGATACTCAATAATGAAGCTGCATTACCATTTTACTTATCAATATGTAGATGATAAGGTGAATCATCGTCCTTCTGAACTTGAATGGGATTGGAACAATGGGGTGGAAATCATCAACAGGCATGAGCTACCACAGCATTTACTTCCTATATCATACATATTATTATTATTCTCAATTCCATGCAGTCAACACGATTTACAAACGAGTTGTTAGTTCACAATATCACATCCGATAATGGGTATGAATTGAAGTAGAGACTTATTGAACATGTGCCTCCTACATGCAAGTTCCAAAGGCAACGTTGTGACCTATTTCTTCAGAAATCCCACCCTTTCATACTCCGTTCTCGGAGTTTGTCTTTTGGACATCAATCCATTAGATTAGAGGTATTTGAGTTGAGTAATATGTGGTAATAATGACAACCATTGCACAAGATCACTCTCTGCACACGCGACAAGTTGATAAACTTCGCACATCTTTAGTCTTGCTGCCGGTAATAAATTCGCTCTCTATAAGATGTATGAAAATGCAGTAAGTACTGGATTCAGTTCTTGGTCATTACTGGTCAAGCAAGCTGCATTTCAGCTATAGAGCTATTAATTCTCTCATTTTATAAATAACTCACTGATAACGTGCTAGTTACATACAAGTTTGAAGGTATTAGACAGCTACAGTATATATGTATGTGCTTAACATGCTTCCTCTTTAATGTGGAGGGTCCTACTAAGTAACACCGATAAGTAATCTCAACATTACCCAGCAAGTTGGAACTTAATAAATTACATTGCTGTTGAGACTGCGAGAGGGAAGCTTACGATAAGTGCATAGTAATGAATGATGTAATACTTAGGAGAGACTATTTACTACTTACATAAATATTCCTCATATTTCTACAGGGTACACAACAAGTGGATGACATAAATACAGATCATTCTCTCCCTGCGTGGTGGTCAATACACTCAGCACTAAAGGACAGCATGCAGGCAACAAGAAGGACTCGGTCATCCAAAAGCACAAGTAAATATTTCATTTTATGTGTCTCAAAGTTCATTCGTTCATTTTCAGTCAAAATATGCAGCACTTTGATGAGTGAACTGATCACGCAGTCTGCTACGAGGTTCATACGTCCATTGACGCAGTGTCACGCAGCAACACAGTGTAGGACCAACATTGAGGTCCATGTACTTTGCACCTTGTCCCTGAACAATCCTCGTGTCTGCTTGATCCTTATTTAAAGCTGAAATTGAGTCCAGTCAAAAGTTGAAATTCATGCGACATACGACTTTGAAAGTAAACTAGTCTACAGAAATATAAACTACGATGAATGAGCCAAGAGAAAATCATATTACAAGCGCTCCTTCCGACATGTGCTTACTGACTTTAAATCATAAATTCGCTTGTAATGCAATATGCATCCTCAAATTTCATGCGATTTGCTTATAACAGATTATTTTATTCTCACAATCAGTCTGTAAAATTACTACGTACAACATGCACAGAAAAGTAATTTGTTACATTTTTCTTTGAAATCTTAAAGGTCCAAAATTATAGACTATTGTATGTACTACTTCAGGTGTTAAATTACATTAATCCTTAAAGTCGACTCTGATTTATTGCAATTGTTTGTAAAACCGAGTTCCTATTAATGCTTATAGAGCGTTGTTTATAAAACAAATCTATTTTGAGAACTAGCTTTGTACAATGAAATTCCATTGCTGCCTAACTGCTTTTTCTTTTTCTGCTGTAACGATATTCCAAGTGCGAAGCAAAGATGAATAATGCTAATAATAATGAAAAAAACATTTCTCGCAGTTTAACTTTCAAAGTTACCTCCATTTTTTATATTTTTTTTAAATTTTTCATTGAAAAATACATGAGCTGCTACATTCAATCATGAAAAATGGTTTGCATAATGGTTGTTCTAATCTAATTAGTTGGCCCCTCATATTACTCAATTACACAATTACAATTACATTTCCTGGCAATTCAATTCTAATTCAAACATAACAGGGTTTGTGAACCCACACATCCCATATTGGAACATGTGAACATACTATAATTAGCATTGTTAAATATATCAAAAATACAAAAAACGTTCTTCTTATGAATTAAGATTGCAGCATTCGAGGTGATCATGGATCATTCTCAGACCTACAAACAAGGGTCAAACAACAATTGTAAACCAAGATAATTTTACTTGACATAACTACGGGGAGTAGCTAACTTGGACTGAATAAACTTTTTCTGGATAACCGCTCCTTGAACGATTGAGACATCCACGTTTTCTTCTTTAGCTCGAATTCCTAAAATAAAGATTAATTTTTCGAATTGTTTAGCAATGGAATTATTCAAAACCGACTAAACTAGCAAAAACTGAATATTTACCAGTGTGCCTTTCTGCCAAGTAATTTTCCTTTTGATGCTTTTCCGTAAAGGAAAAGTTGTTCAAAATCGTAGATTTCGGTCCAGTGTATTGATGTTGCTTAAACTTGTTCGCGTCCGTAGTCTGTGATCCAGTCTGTGAAGCGATATGTGCGTTGAATTTTGAAGAGCCAGTGAGAGATGGCAATGACGGACGAGGAATCATTGTTATTGTTCCAACTTGCTTTGCATTAACAGTTTTGCCAGCAGACATGGGGAATTTATTAGGAATTCCGGCAATTCTTTGGAACGCGGATGGGACAGCTTTTGAGTGAATGTAATTAGCAACAGGTGAATCCAATCCCATTGAGAAGCCACCGGATGAAGGTCTTCGTAGACCACTGTCTACTTTAGCTTGGATATGTGCATAGCGAGAAGGCGAGCCGCTAAATTTCGGTGTAACACTTTTTGGGCGGTTTATTGGTGTCTTAAATACTGGAGTTGTCCCAGAAGTTGAAGTGGGTCTTGGTGGGCTGGGAGAGAATAGCATGTCTCTTCCTCCGGTCAGCTGCAACAATCGCTTGTCTTTTAATTGAGACGGTGTATCTGACTGACCTGAAGCGAGTTTGACGGGCGTTTCTTTCACAATGTCCGTGTTGTTCAATTCTTCTGCTTCCAATTTTTCATCCAAAGCCAAGTACCGGGTCATTTCATCCAATGTAGTTTCTAAGTCTTCCGTTCCTTTCCTGTATATAAGTAAAGCGAATGAATAACTAAGGATGTACATCCTTAAACACAAGACATAAATATTATAGACACAAAATTAATTTTGAATCATTAAAACGCACGTGCTATTTTTTTGCGAGCACTTCTCGCTGTCATCAAGCGTAATTAAGTTGGTGGATTTTGGCTCCTGTGAAGCTTCACTTTAAATTACAAGAAATTTACATTAATAATTTTTTAATAGCAAGGATATTAAAAAATAAATCATTTATGAGCTGAAATGAAATAAACCTTATAATGACGCTATCATCAAACTTTAGCAAATCCACAGATATGTTTTGACTCTTGTTGTACACGTCTGATTTTCTGGGTCCAGAGAACGTTTTCGATCGAATTCTTGGAATAGTAGATGCGAGCGGAGTTGAAAATTCAATAAATGGCGCAGGCGATGGCTCAAGCAACATTTCGGATTTTTCTTTGATTTCAGTCATTGGAGTATGGACAAATGATTCCTGTAGAATTCCTGAACTTTTGTTCAACATTGATACTTCCATGCACGCCAATGAATTTTCACCAGGAGTGTTATGAGTCTGTGCAATTCGCTCTGGTGTAGGGGTGACTACGACCGTTGTATCCATCAAGACTTTTCGCACACTATAAAGCATACATAGATATAATTTCTGATCATTTTAAACTGTGTTTGTTCATTACCTTCCATGAGTCACTGGAGTGTTTTCCACTGCTACCGGTGTCATTCCTGAATTCATATTCAGCATTGACACTTCCATGCATGATAGTGTACTTTCAGCTAAAAGTGGAGTCTTGGGATCGTTTGACTCAATTATTGCCGAAGCTGGTGTGCCAATAATTGAATTTTCTCTTAGCATCTTTCTTGCACTAGAAATCATAAATCCATGTTAAATCATATCGTATCGGATCCAAAAATTATTATTACCTTCCACGAGTAACTGGGGTGTTGACGGCAGATTGTTGCACTGGGGTCATCCCCGAATTCTCGTTTAGCATTGTTACTTCAAGAGACGCCATTGGGTTATCTTGCATGGATTCCACTTGTGCACTGTCCATTGTCACTCCACAAGAACGAACGGAGTTTTCCAAGAGTTTCTTTCGAAGACTAGGCATAAAATACCATGCATAGTCGTAAACCTTCAAATATTGAGATGATTCATACATGATTTATTACCTTCCACGAGTAACTGCAGTATTTACAACAGGTTTTTGTACTGCTACCGGAGTCATTCCTGAACTTATGTTCAACATTGACACTTCCATGGACGCCAATGGATTTTCGCTAGGAGTGGTGCAAACAGTAGAAGAAGTTGGTTGTGGTGTAGGGGTTACAACGAAAGATGCTTCGTTCATGACCTTTCGCACACTAAATTATAAAGCAATGTTAAATCATACAATATCTGGTCATGTCCAAATTGTGTTCCTATATTACCTTCCACGAGTAACTGGGGTGTTGACGGCAGATTTTTGCACTGGGGTCATTCCCGAATTCTCATTTAGCATCGTTACTTCAAGAGACGCCATTGGGTTGTCCTGCACACGATCCATTGTTACTCCACTAGAGCGAATCGAATTTTCCAAGAGTTTCTTTCGAAGACTAGACATAAAATACCATAATCTATACTTAATCTAATATCGAGATGATGCACATATGATTCTTTACCTTCCACGAGTCACTGGAGTGTTTACAGCAGATTTTTGTAATGCCGTCGGAGTCATTCCCGAATTCACGTTCAACAGTGATACTTCTATGGACTCCAATGGATTATCACTAGGAGTGTTACAATCATTCGGTGCAATTCGTTCTGCTGTGGGTGTGACGACGATCGTTGCCTCCATCAAGGCTTTTCTCACACTAAAAATCATGTTACTTCATATATGTAACATTTGGTTATTTCAAACTGTTTGTTCATTACCTTGCTCGAGTCACTGGAGTGTTTACAGGAGGTTTTTCCAGTGCTACCGGTGTCATTCCTGAATTCATATTCAGCATTGACACTTCCATGCATGATAGTGTATTTTCAGCTAAAAGTGGAGTCTTAGGATCGTTTGACTCAACTATTGCCGAAGCTGGTGTGCCTATGGTTGAATTTTCCCTTAGAATTTTTCTGGAACTAGAAATTATATTCATAAATCTATGTTTGTAATATCTGGTCATGTTAAACTGTATTCGGTAGTTACCTTGCACGAGTCACTGGAGTGTTGACGACAGATTTTTGCACTGGGGTCATCCCCGAATTCTCGTTTAGCATCGACACTTCAAGAGACGCTATCGGGTTATCTTGCATTGATTCATCTTGTGAAGGGTCCATTGTAACTCCACAAGAACGAACCGAATTTTCCAAGAGTTTCTTTCGAAGACTGGACATGAAATACAATGCATAATCGTAAAAAGTCAAATATTGAGATGATTCGCACATGATTTATTACCTTCCACGAGTAACTGGAGTATTTACAGCAGGTTTTTGTACTGCTACAGGAGTCATTCCTGAATTCATATTCAGCATTGAAACTTCCATGCACGACAATGGATTTTCGCTAAGAGTGTTGCAATCATTATGTGCAATTGGTTGTGGTGCTGGGGTAACTACGATCGGTGCCTCCATCAGGGCTTTTCGCATACTGTAAATCATAAATCAAGGTTAAATCATATTTGTCAAGATCTGTTCATATCAGAATTGTGTTTTTTTATTACCTTCCACGAGTCATTGGGGCGTTGATGGCAAAGATTTGCACTGGAGTGTTGACGGCAGATTTTTGCATTGGGGTGTTAACGGCAGATTTTTGCACTGGGGTCATCCCCGAATTCTCATTTAGCATCGTTAGTTCAAGAGACGCCATTGGGTTATCTTGCATGGATTCCACTTGTGCACTGTTCATTGTAACTCCACAAGAACGAACCGAGTTTTCCAGCAGTTTCTTTCGAAGACTGGATATAAAATACGCATAATCTATAAACAAGTCTAATATCGAGATATGCACATATGATTCTTTACCTTCCACGAGTCACTGGAGTGTTTACAGCAGATTTTTGCAGTGCCATCGGAGTCACTGAACTTATGTTCAACATTGACACTTCCATGGACGCCAATGGATTTTCGCCATGAAAGTTGCAATCATCCTTTGAAATTTGTTGTAGTCCGGGGGTTACAACGAAAGATGCTTCGTTCATGGCCTTTCGCACACTAAATTATAAACCCCATGTTAAATCATATATCAGTCAATACCTGGCCATGTCAAAATTTTGGCTGCTTATTACCTTCCACGAGTCACTGGAGTGTTTACAGCAGATTTTTCCAGCGCTACCGGCGTCATTCCAGAATTCATATTCAACATTGAAACTTCCATGCACGCCAATGGATTTTCAGCTAAAAGTGGAATTTTAGGATCGTTTGAATCAGCAATTGCTGGTGTGCCAATAATTGAATTTTCTCTTAGCATCTTTCTTGTACTAGAAATCATAAATCCATGTTAAATCATATCGTATCGGACCCAAAAATTATTGTTACCTTCCACGAGTAACTGGGGTGTTGACGGCAGATTTTTGCACTGGGGTCATCCCCGAATTCTCGTTTAGCATTGTTACTTCAAGAGACGCTATCGGGTTATCTTGCATTGATTCATCTTGTGAAGGGTCCATTGTAACTCCACAAGAACGAACCGAATTTTCCAAGAGTTTCTTTCGAAGACTGGACATGAAATACAATGCATAATCGTAAAAAGTCAAATATTGAGATGATTCGCACATGATTTATTACCTTCCACGAGTAACTGGAGTATTTACAGCAGGTTTTTGTACTGCTACAGGAGTCATTCCTGAATTCATATTCAGCATTGAAACTTCCATGCACGACAATGGATTTTCGCTAAGAGTGTTGCAATCATTATGTGCAATTGGTTGTGGTGCTGGGGTAACTACGATCGGTGCCTCCATCAGGGCTTTTCGTACACTATAAATCATAAATCAAGGTTAAATCATATATTTGTCAATATCTGGTCATCTCAAAATTGTTTGTTTATTACCTTCCACGAGTAACTGGGGTACTGACGGCAGCCAATGGCGTTCCTAATTTCATGCTCGGATCACAAAGTATTGAAACTTCTGCTTCAGGGACATTTTCTTTCAGTGATTCGTCTAGATCTTGTTCAAATCCGCTTTCGGTTAAACTAAATTATCAAAGACATATATGAATGATGAAAATATTATTTACGTGTAGCATACACATGCATTAATAATGCACAGCTGTAATGCGAGCAATTAAGTCACAAAAATCAACATCCGTTTTTAACCCATCCAGTACAATACAGTCGAAACGAATACTTACGTTGAAATGTCCAAAAATTGTCCATCCTTCTCAATCATCTGTCCAGTTTTCACCAAGTAATCCCTCTCCTCTTGGGTGAACTCTCCTGAGCAAATTTCGAATTCTTCCCCATCTACCTTCCCCTTCGTGTCTTCTTTTAACAAAGCTTCCATTTCTGCACCCCAGTTCAATTACCTACCTGGAAAATTAAAAGAAATACTATACACACATTATTTATATACACAATCGGTGCTTCCACTTTGAATGAAAATAGAACCCACAATTTTATAAAGTGTATCTTGGTTGCAAGATTTTCTCTTATGACATAGTTGAGATGGAAAGTCAAAATTTGGTGGGGTGTGTGGAGGTCAACATTCAGTAACCAAAATTGCACAAAGTTTGAAATTTGTCTATATTCTTACCTTATTGTTTTGATGTCCAAGTCGAATCTTCGGTACTCCAGCTCTTTGCTTTGACATAAGAGGAATGAAGCGTGCGACCGTTACATTATTTTTGAGAGGGAGCGAGAGCAGTTGGCGGTTGGGATTTTCTCACAACACTCGCTCGCTCGCTCGTTTGGTTCCCATGTGAATGAGATTTTACAAGTCTCAACTTGATTTTTGCAACCCTTTCTGGTTAGAAACACCGCATCATCCTTGTTACCCGGGTTTTACTCTGACATATTTCCCGGATTTTTTGGCATAAAATTATTCAAGGGATTTGTCATTCGCACGTGTAAAGGAGTGACGAGTTGCATATTATCCATTGACGAAATGATGGTATTTGTTAAAGTAAATTAAATGACATAACGGAGACAGAACTTAATGAGATTCAGGATCGATGTAGCAAAAGTTCATCTCTGAAAAGTTGTAATTGTACATATTGTGTACATAGAATTTAAGCATCTACGAATACTGAATAAGATGAGTTGTAGTGTGGAGCCAATTTATTTCTTGTGCCAATTTAGTCAGGGATGGAGAAAAATGTAAAGATTTTCATTTGCAGTCTCTCTAAACCTTACCTGCTGCCTTATTCCTGGTTCAGTTTAACCGTCCTAAAAGTATGTACGCCGAGCTGCCTGTCATAAAAGTAATGAACGTAAGAGGATATTGCCCCACGGTGGGTTCAGTATCTCATCTTCAGCAACAACCACTTTTCTCTGTAATAAAAAACAACATCGTCGTCTCATATATCTATACAGACCCAGGTAGTGGATATAATTATGAATATTGTTGCCTGCCCTCCTCACATGCGGTTGTATTCTTCTATTGGCGAGTGATTCTCATTTTGGAGATGATGATGGTTTGCTGGTGCTAAGTCATTGTTATGCATGGGTCTGGTGTTACGTTATGTTGGTTCATTGGGGGAGTTTATACAGATAAAATATCGCATATTATTATGAGTCACTATTGCTGCAACATTCTATGCTACTACATCCCTATGAGGAACCTGATTAACTTGCTCTCTGCCTGCTCGATCCTATCCCATTTCATATTGCTTACCTTTTTACACCTCTTGCTTACAGCGAGTGAGGCGTTTATCAGAAAGTGAGTTCAACCCTTTTTGCCTTTGCAGCGTTTTACCATTGCCAGCTTAAACGCTTACACGTATTCATCATCCTTTATCACCAAACCAAACTATTACCAGAATGTACTCTGGCTTTCCAACGTAAAATGTGAACGTAGTACAAATCCAACCACACAATATACACATGGGCAAAAGCGCAAGAACCGAGAATCTCATGTAAGTAGGGTTGGATTTCTTACCTGGTCTGTGCCTAGTACCTCTTTTGTCATGTAGTTACCTGCCCTTTCCCCAACCAACCAACTTTTTCCACCACCACACACCGACGACCGATTTGTATTCACCATTATTTGTATAACATCCTACCACAGCATATCCCAAAGCCAACTTCTTCCCATTCGAGGATGACTTATAAGTATTACGAGACAAATCAGATGCAACCATATTATTCCAACCTGAACTAAACTTTACTGAACTCTTCAGCAGCAGTTACCTTCTTCTGCCTCGGGTGTTTAGTTTATTGTAACTAAAACTCGGCAAGTTTGTATTAATTTTAACAACCTGGCAGTCACTAACGGACTTGCATGATCTACTTATTCTGGTGGTTTACACATTTTAACATTCCGAGTGCCAGTGTTATGCAAGTCTCAAGTGAAGCAGGTGAATTCTTCAACAAAGTGTCTCCACACATCGTATTCTTATATTTGGAACTGTATTGCTTTCCTAAATGTAAGTACACCAACGTTGTTGCGAAGCTATGGACAAAGTGAAAGTATTCTAAGATTTCTACATATAAAGAGAAAAAATAGCACTGCCACTGCTGTGACACTCATCGCATTGTCAATCTCAAAATTGGAACGATTTCTGATTATTTGAATCATATACATATTATGCATATCGTCATCACCACATGCCGAATAAAGTGAGACAGCCCGTTGTTATCAAGTAACTTCATGTGCAACCTACACAGTTGGAATGAGTTGGAATGCAAAAATGCATTTTTTGAATGCCAAAACATTTATTATTCGCCTTGTTTAAGTCGTTTTATTTCTGATTGCTTCAAAACAATACCCATTTAAAAAAAATATGTTTTGACTCTGCCATAAAGTTATAATCGTGCAGTGCATTTCATTATTCACGATGTGATATAAAATCATGGGCATGTGTCAATGAGCAGACTTACATATTCAATTATTGTCAATGCTTTGACTGAACGGAAACACATTTTTATTCGTCATATCCAGAGATTCATCATAGTGATTAGTGCTGATAAAATAAATCCTTGAACTGAACACCTCATTCCATTTTATTGCAGGTGCAACGAAGCAATATTGTTATTATGACAGCAACCACCTCTCAACCGACAAGCTCTCCCATTATTCTTGTGAATATATGAAGGCAAAGTAAAAACTTGGATTTTGGCAACAATCAGCGTTACAAAACACAACACCACTTCTTGTGCGAGAAAAGAACAACAAGTGAGAAGAAGACTGCACAGAAAATTAGCCATCTTACTTGGCTCTCTGGCCATATTACACACTACTCATCAAAAAACGAGATTGATCATCAAAATATAAAAAAACCGTAGTAATAAGAAGGACTGGTTCCTGCCTTTATGGTCTCGTCCTCCATCCGCACTACTGCAAATTCTCCGTCCGTCACTTGTTGCATTGCGGTTCAGACACTTTGGGTTTTGTAATGGTCATTATTTGTGGATATTACTAAAATTATGAAGAGAAATAATAAATGACAAAGTGTGGACACAACTGAGGACTGCAACAGAGAAGAAAAAAATGTTGAGATTCCTGAGTGGTCGTCGAGGGAAAGGGAATAAGAATGAGGTCGGCGGACAGAAGCAGGGTGCTCAGGGGGGAGGCTCGCAATTCCACCCACAGAAAAGCGTGAAACCCTACAAAAATTGCATCTTGTGTAAAGTAATTGTCTTGGATGGAACGGATTTGTCGATCGAATTGCCTGTAAGTCATCATCAAATATAATTGACAACTTGCTGCTCTTTTCTGATTTCTTTATGAACGAGACCATGCAAATTTAGTTGATTTGATGCTTCAAACTATCGCACTTCTTACTTTTTGGGGGGACGTACATAGCTAGTAAAACGAATATGAAAATTCAGTCAAATGAGGAAGGGAACTCGATTTACTCAGATTATGATTATTACATATTATCAGACTCACCCATATTACACATAAGTGAAGTCGTGGATTCTGAAAACGATATGAGGAGATTTGTTGTTGTGGGGTATCGTGGCTAAATCTTAATTATAATTTCTGGTCTTGAGTAACCGTACATATAAAGGCATAATTGTTTCTTTCGGCTACATACATAAAATACATATGCGCAAAACCACATAATCCATCTCTAGCCCTCTTGTCATCATCACGTCAAATCACTCGGATGATGATTATTATAAGCCTGCTCTTCAAATTAAATGCATCTTCTTAACGTAGAGAATTATATTATAAAGTATGTTTTTTCATTATTTTGTAAAGCTTAAAGTTGCTGTTAGTGTGAGTGAATAACGTAGAGAGAGAGAGAGAGAGAGAGAGAGCCAGGGAATTAATAAAGATTCCCAATATGTAATTTGCACATCATTATGGTTTGAAACATTATGCTATTCTCCTAGTGTCATTTTTCTAAAGATTGGATATGAATTGTATTTTGATTGTTGCACGACCTGATAACGTTGCTTAATAACTCTTGATAAAATTGTGTTGTGAGTAAGTTAGACAACTAACATTAAACAGTAATCTCGTGCAATAATGTAAGGATTTATTATTTAAACTTTGCAAGTCTCCATAAGCCGCATTTTATAGAGAACATCTGCAATCTATCGTTGACTAAAAATACCGTTGATTATACAATTATTTCGTGATAATTATCCTAAATATGCTCATTTGTAGTTATATCTGACTTTCATTGTCTCATCTTGGGTGTAATTATTCCTCCAATGTGATATATATTTTGTCAATGTCATGTAGTTTACCGGCGGCAGATAAAGTGACAAAAGTTGATTCAGTAACTGTAACAAATGCGTGTCAAATTTAATTAATGACTTATCTCTAAAATCTCTGCACATACACATATTTACTTGAAGCAAGGTAAACCTTAGAAAAACCTTGGGCATCATCCGGATCAGTTACATATGTTCCAAATTACAAATTTTTAACTTGAGCCAGGGCTTATATATATAACCGTCGTGTCCGTCTGACCGTCTGTGACACGCTCGCGGATAGAGCTTTGTTTGCTCAAACAACTTAATCTAAACCTGGCTTGGGCTATACGAAGCCTGACACTGGAAAATGACAATACGATAAAGCTACGATAAAGTTTTATCAATAGTATGCACCGTCAATTGGTCGTTCGTCATTTACATATGTATCAACAGCGGAAACAAGGTTTAGCGCAATTGCATGGTCCATTTAATCGATTAAATACAATATAACATCTCTGTTATTGTACCGTACTCATCCTCAGGTGAAGGCATATTTTTGACATAAAATAACAAAGATCGCCAAAAATTGTTTAAATAACAGTACAGGTTTATATTTATGCAAAGAATGAACACCTAAAGTTATACTTGCGTTAAACATAATAGGAGGATGATTTGTAAAATTTTGGAATTAGTTGAACAGATTTTATTTGAAATATTGTTTAAATATTTCCACTATTCTAATAGTGCACAAAGATTAGGATTCGTCTTTAAAAAGGAGCAATGTCGCGGAGCTCAAGCCATAACATGTTCATTTGTTCGAATGTATTTAGTATAGCATTATCTTCACCCTAGGGGCATACGCTTCGTCGTCGGTCGTACATTATTTCAGTTCACCATTAAAAACCGAATAAAAAGAATCAACGTCCTCCTTTTCTTCCGCGTTGGTTCGTTTGTTTTTTGACGATGCGCTTTTGGAATTGAATTGCATCCCTGTTCAAATATTGGCTTAACTGTGATGTTATGGCAGTAAGACGAAATCGAGGTTCTGCATAAATCTTGCCATTTATTATTTTTAAATGGACTGCGTGACGGTCATTAGTTCAAGTTTGTGTCTGTGGGCATAATGAATGACTGGTCTGGTCAGCGGTTGGGTGTACATTTAGAGTGGGCAGGACTACATACAGATATTTATGAACACCAAGTTATAAAACTAAAATCGCATTAGAAGAAATATTGATATTCTCGACTCCTCAGTAATAATGAAACCGCAAAATTGTGATCGCTGTGCCAAATCCTGGCTGGATGGTTAGCGATATGTGCATCTATCTATCCACCCTGCACCACCTCATCCCTAGCTTTTCTGCTTTTCATTACTCTCCAATGCCTTTTCTGTTTTGTTTTTTGACACTTCATCACGACCACGACTCGCAATTTGGCGTGAATGAGCTGAAGGAAACTAACTTCTTAATGACAACCATGTATCTCATCTTTTTTCACAACGTACCAAGAATTTTTAACAATCGACAACAGAATGAAGAGCGTGGATAAGCTCTTTCTATGCCATTGTCGCATTATAACTCTGCGTAGTATTTCCCGTCGTAAAATTACTAAGGAGGAAAGCTTCACTACTTGCTAATAACAGATTTAAGTGTCATTTGAATACGTTGTAGCATAAAAACCCTATGATCACATTTGCGCCCAATATACCCACTCAACTTTGAGGATGATGATGCGCCAAAAATTCAAGTTTGACGATATTTTGAACATTCTTCTACCATTGTAGTTCCAGATAGTTGTTTTATATTATGACATCTGACACCAAAATCTGTCATTTTCATTTTTTGAACACTTTCGAAAATTTCCTGACCTTCGAAAAAATCACAAAAATGATACAAGAATTTTCAAAATCAGAATTTTCATAATTGAATTTATGGAAGAGGTTTAAATGTGTTTTTGGCCCCTTTGAGTGGGTGTGACGGGCACAAATGTGGCCATAGAGTCAAAACACTCCGGGGGTTGAGCCACTTATGAGATACGTCCATCGATCATTGTAGTTCGACGGGCATCGCAATCAGTTATTGGTAAGTAGTGAAGCTCCCTTCCCTCCTCGTAAGTAGAATGAGTGATATGCAAAATGCATTTGTGAGAAGCTTGGAAAAAATCTAATCTGCGACGTTGTTTTTGAACTCCAACACATTTAAATTGCACTTGGAGTACATATTTTGGTTTCTTCGCATTATCATTATCGTCGTCGTCACCGTCGTCATGTTGAAAGGCACACAATTGATTGTGTGTGTCGAATCAACTGAGAAAAGAGATCGGTGTGAGAGGGGGTGAAGAGGAATTTTATTTCGCCAACATGTCGTCTTATTCTTGTTCATGATACAACAATCCGGTTATATCTGTATGTACATAAGTTTTGGCCATAGCTTATTAAAATGGCTCCTCCGATATTGCTATGCTGTATTGAGCTGTATGTAGGTGGATGATGTGTTGTTGCAATGATCTAGAGCAACTGTGATGGAAATAGCATGTACGTATGCAATCCGATTCAAAATCTTGAAACCATCCACTGCCACCAACTTGGACATTTATTTATTAAACCTACATAAAAAGCTTCTTTTATGCAGCAACACCAAACCTTTAGAGAACCTTAGCATGTGTTGTTCCTCTCTCGACTCTTGTCATAATATTGGGATAAATCTCTGCATGAATATTTGGTTAATGAGATATTCAGGTAGGAATGCATTGTAAAATTATAATGAGTAGTTTGTCAGCTGTATAATGCAGTAAAGGTTGGATTTAAAAGAGCCGAAAAAATCAGGAAGTGAATTGAAATCTGCATTTCAAGTTTATCAACAGCAAACAACTGTTCTCCGGTCATTCCGATGCTAGTGTCGAATTTAATATTGGAAAATGTCAGTGTGACGGGTGGTGCAAATTATTTGCAAATTTTTGGTCATCGAATATGATTTATGTGTCCTTTAATTACCAACAACTGGTACAGCATCCCATTAAATTTTAATCATGACTACAGAAAAGTGTTGTTAATGTTGATGTAAACTAATTAGTCAATGTCCTTTTGTGGTTAGGGTATAATCATGCATTGCAAACAACTGGCTCGACGTTCGTAATCTGTATAAAATTGCAATCATGATATTATTAAACATTTCTAAATGTCATTCCTTCGCTAATCTTGATATACGTTGGAAAAGAATTTTTACAAATGTTGAAAGAAAAAATCTAAAAATTCACAGATTTCTAACATTTTCATACAGATAATTCAACAAATGATACACATACATAAAGTATGCAACTTTCCTCTTCTCACATTTTTGCTTCTCCGTGTCTATCTACCATCGAATATCATCGAATAAAGGATTCAGCTAACTCAAAATAGGTTTCTGCTTTCCTAATTAATAAATTAATCGCTATCGTGTATACTTGATGGACTAGTGAACAAGGTTGGCAAAAGGCTCACAATCAAGTAGAATATACTAGATTATATACCATACTGTCTGACCGTAACCTCAATTTCAAGCAAAGTTTAGAAACTTAATGTTACAATATTTCAAATGAAATTTGTTCCGTTTGATTTCACTACCAGAAGGAAACCAGGGTGGGATGAACAATTGAAATTTTAACATCCTGTGAAATTACATGCCTTGAGAAGTGAACCATTTGTTCAAATTCGACATATGCAGTATTATGTATATTCTTCAATATAAAATAGTCAACATTTCCATAAAGTGCATGCCAAAGGATAATAACACGATTCAACTAATTGAAGCTATCAACTATTGCTGTTGCTAATTATTGAAACCATAATAAAGCTCATAACATGGCATGTACATCTATATATGCAAAATAAGTATATTTTCAGTCACATATGTATGTACATATGCACTTTGAAAGGATTATCCCAGGCAAAGAAATACGCCAAGAATTTAATTTGCTCACATTCCGGTCAATGAGACATGCTTCCGTTCTTGTTATTTGACTTACTTTTATTCACTATTCTCCGACAGGATAAATTATTTCAGTCACACAACGAACTAAATTGTACTGTTTAAATAGAAACAACAATAAGATCAGCAACAATGGCTTCTTCATTTTGTTAAATGACTTTGTACGAGACTTAAATAAGTATTGTTTTCCAATAAAATTAAGAGTTTTCGCATTATTTCTTTTAGTAATGATAAACATATCTGTATAAAAAACTGCAACCCAATACACTTATTTTAGTACCATGTGCATGTTTTAGTTGTTAATACAGACTTAGGTACCGATTTGGAAATTTATTTCAGCATTTAAAATGAACTTATATTTGCAGCAGAATTTTTTAAATAAAGCGATCAAGTTTTCAACATAAAATCAACATTCTTGAAGGTATAAGAATAATTTGACCCGGCCCTTAAGCATTAAAAGCCTCCATAGTTGTCACATTATTGCAAAAGGGCAGAACTTGCAAATATATCAAATTATTCATATTCAACAATAATTCGAGTTGCGTGCAGTGAAGTTATTTGCGATCTCAATATTGAAATTGTTTGGACCATTATATAATTTGCAATATATAATTTGTTCCAGTCTCAATCAGTCAAATGGAAACTCATTAATAATTGAAAATAATTGCTAATTGTAACACATTTGATGCAAGCCGAATTTTAAGCTCCATCTCATTAACTCATGTTCTACTTGATTTGTTTCAGAAAAAAGCCCTTGGCAGTGAGCTGTACGAGCAAGTTTTCTACAATCTAGATCTGGTAAGTACAAAGTCGTATGAATCTATTATTGCATCACACATATGCAAATGTTTTAAAGAACTACGTTCAATCTTTTTAGATCGAAAAGGACTATTTCGGATTAAATTTTACGGATTCGAATCATGTTCAACATTGGTTGGATGCTACCAAGCCTTTGAAAAAACAAATTAAAAGTGAGTTGCGGCGTAATGATATGCATGAAATATAATAGGCAACCTCCATATGTTCCTTATTCCAACTAACCATGGCGCATATGTGTACAATACGAAATCAGTCCATAAAATGGTTGTGTAAAATTATACCCTTTGAAGTACTTTGCATAATTTGTGTGGGTGTATTACAGAATCTTATTTTTTCTCATAAAACAAACTTTACCAAGAATTCACAGAATGCTGTTGCATATGTACCTGTACATGTGCATATGTACATACATGACGTACATATACGTGTGTATTGTAGCACGTGATGGACATCAAGTATTAAGTAACGTATTGAAAGATTCAATTAGTCACCACAGTTGTAGACTGTGGTGATATATTTATTTTATAGATTTTTCTCAGCACATTGGATTATGTTGGACTGCATTACTAAATAAATAGTCATAATAAAATGACAGAACCACAACCACATTCAATGCCAATGCAACGATGGTTGATGAACTACTATACTCTTGGCCCAAATCGGATGTTGCAATAAAATAAGAAAGAAAGACTTTGCTAGCTGTAGCCCACAAAAGTAATAACAGTTTCAAAACTCAGTATTGAAAAGTGGTACATCAGATTTTGATTGAGAAGAGAGACGATGAGGGAGGAGAGAAATGAGAGATGTGAAATCAGATGTAACTGCAGTGTCATGCAGTCTTTGGATGGATAATTAAACGGTATGGGATTCTCAATTCCAACAAGTCAGAGTGTACGTGTGTATGTATGCATGTAAGGAGCAGCCAAGCTATAAGTTGAATAAAATAAGCTATCTATTTAAGGGAAGCACAACAATTACCTTAAATGAGTCCATTCCATTAACCATTTTAAATGAGCATTAGTTTTGCTATCATGCTATGCTGCGCTGCTCCAACGTTACGGATGAATTCCCTTTATCACTGCTTATTGTTGGCTGAACAATGCAACTGACCCTATTTATCTGCTGTGGGCTTAGAGAGCCTAATGTTACTTTAATGCCCTCATGCAGCAATAATAAACGCATAATTTGCAACTGTGGCAAGAATATCTCTTTCACTTGTATTTGTTGAAGAACAGTGGAGCCAAAGGTGAATTTGTTGGACAAAATGCGTTCATAATCCTTATTAAGATCCCGAGCATTAATCAGTTCGTTCTGAAAATGTACACTTTGGATAATTTATGTTGGCATTATGAGACGGTCTGGAGCTTCAACTCTGACATGAAAATTACCACCCCCCTAATACAAACAAAAACTAACCATCATAGACCATCATAGACCTAAATATATATGTATGCAGAGGAAATTGAATTATTTTATTCAGCCTTCTAATCATGTCCCATTATTGATCATTACAAAGTTAATAAATGTTCACAACACTTTGTATTTTTATAGTTGGACCCCCTTACACATTTCGACTCAAAGTTAAATTCTATTCGTCCGAACCCCACAATCTCCGGGAAGAACTGACACGCTATCAGTTTTTCCTGCAGCTTAAACAGGACATTTTGACTGAAAAGTTAAAACCCCCACCAGAAACTCTGATTGAATTGTCAGCTTTAGTTTTACAGTGTAAGCAACTATTATCATGTATAAGCGATTGTTCATTAATTGACAGTTTTCAATACGTAATTGTAATTAAAAAACAATTTGTATTTCCGTAGCTGAGGTTGGTGATTACGATGAAGAAATTCATACCCCAGCTTTTGTATCCGGTATGCATTCTTAGCACTTAAATGCGTATTTATTTTTTTCTCATGTCTAAAATATGTGATTTCGCTGAAAATAATTTAATCAACTTAATTTAGTTTACATTTTTTAATGAAAATGTGCCTCCAATGCATTTATGTACAACTTTCATATCCGTTTTATATAGAATTCCGGTTTACCTCTGCTCATCAACAGACGGAAGATATGGAAATTACCATTTTGGAAGAGTTTAAAAAACTCAAGTAAGTATGCTCATTAAAATCCCATTGTCCTCTATTCCTTTTCCTCAACAGCAACAGTTTCCGTATGAATTTTATGCAACGCTATTTTTCAGGGGACTAACACCTGCACAAGCAGAAATGAATTACCTCAACAAGGCCAAGTGGTTGGAAATGTATGGCGTAGATTCACACATCGTCATGGTATGTTGACATCATGATAATCATCATGAGAAACTTGCAAATTTAAATTCTAAGAACACCATGAAATTTCACAGGGCAAAGATACTTGTGAATACAAATTGGGATTAACGCCCACTGGAATCCTAGTATTTGAAGGGGCACAAAAAATTGGTCTTTTCTTCTGGCCAAAGGTAAATTCGTTGATATATTTTAAATTGAAAGTTACAGAATTCATTCAAACAAAAGACATGTAATATTCACAAAATACTTCGTTATATGATAATGCTTATAATGCATGGGATGCGAAATAAAAATTACAGATAAGCCGTTTGGACTTTAAGAAGAAAAAGTTATGTCTGATTGTTGTCGAAGATGACGACGAGGTATGGCTAATCGTTATGCGAAATTAACGCTAATGCAAAATTTTAAATCACCGCTGTTATGTTACAGGGGCGAGAACGGGAACACACATTTGTATTCAGGTGAAATTTATTACCAATATTGTGTAGATTCGAAATATTGTTGCAATCTAAATCTAACTTATTTTCCTTGTCTTTCAAATCCAGGCTCCATAATGAGAAAGCTGCAAAACACCTCTGGAAGTGTGCAGTTGAGCATCATTCATTTTTCCGGCTAAAAGCGGCTTCTAAGGCACCAAATGCTCGACAGAACTTTTTCCGAATGGGGTCACGTTTCAGATACAGGCAGGGTTTAGATTTATCACATTTACTCATTTAAAATCTTTCATTCTGACCTTAAATTTATGTTGATGCAGTGGTCGAACTGAAGTCCAAACAATTGTCCAAAACAAATCTAGACGAACGGTGCAGTTTGAAAGGAGACCAAGTCAACGTTATGCAAGGCGTCAATCTCACATCTTGAGAGAAAGGCAGAGAGGAGGAAGAGGGGACCTTGAAACTTCAGAGCCTTCGAAAGCGGTGGAAAGCGGAGTGAAAGTTGACGCCACAAGAACTGCAGAATTAAAAGAATCGTCAACGTTCAATAGGCCTACCAGAATCCAACAAGCATCGTCCTCGTCAGAAACGCGAACCTCATTATCACCTCCCATTACCCCCACATCGAGATCCACACCTAGTCCTACGTCCAACGCAGAATCCACCACTTCCTCTCCGGCAGAGGACCCCTTAGACAATTTAATTAAAAGTATTGCAAAAGAAAATGGTGCATGTCACACCGTTGACATACACTCTCAACCGTCTTCATTAGAATTGGATATCAATGTAGTTCCAAATAATCACTCCAAGTATGTCTCATTACCGCGACCAATTCCGCCAGACAAACTAAAGTGCAACATACTAAAGGCCAAGGTGGAAGAAGATTTGAAAAAGTCTTCCCTTTCATCAGAATCCAATGGAACTGCTTCTATTGCCAATGGGTAAGATATAAGATTAGTCTTCTCGTGAGTAACTTAGAATGCAACTCATGGTCACTTCTTCCAAATTATAACAGAGAAACATTCTCAACCCTTCCAACTCCTGCAAAGAAAAGAGAAAACACTGTGCAAAATGCTAAGCAAAATAAGGATTCGGCTACATTCATATCTGTGGTAAGAAATAATAAGATTTGGCATCGTGAAACAAGTACATGCGTAATAATCTTTAATACAGGTAGTTCGGTTTCCAAATGTATATAATAACTTTTCTGTAAAATGTACCATACTTACATTTACTAGTCCGTTTGTTTGTTTTTTTACTAGTTTTACACAAGTTACTCTTGGTTTTTTGTCTCCCTCCTGCTTTTTAAAATTATTCTAGCGTTCTTGTGTAGAGGACGGCAGGCTGCAGGAACTACGACATATTGTGTGTTTGTGTGTTGAAATATAAACCAATTGTTTTATTATTTGGCGTAGGGTGGTGATAAGTTGACCCTGTCCCTTTCTACTCAGGAGGTACATTCCAATAATGATAGGGACACAGGGTTATTAGATCACAACACGAGTGGGGGTGGTGGTGATGACGACTCTACGCCGCTCATTGCTCCAGATGACAATCCTTTGCCCGTCACTGTCACTCATTTGTCCTCGAAAGGAAAGATGGAATTGGTCCAGCTTAGCTCAGAGTCGTCCAGCGTAACGTCAGCCTCGCCTTCAGCAGCAGGAAAGATTATTGCGACAGTTAGTAGTAGAGAGAAAGCTGAGAATAATTTGCTAAAAAATCAGAAAGGGCAAACGAACGAGGTTGACAAAGAGATCATGATTGTTCATGCTCCATTAATGGGATCAACTCTAAACACGAGCACAAATCCCTTCACCAACATATTAGAATCAAAAGGAGAAACAAGAGCAGATAGGAATGATAGAAATCCCTTTGACGATTATGATCAAATTACGAGTATTTTGATCACCTCCACCAATCCTTTCCACAATCCATTTTTGATGCCTACTGAAGTAGAGGTACAGGGAGGGCCAGAGGCTACAAGAACTGATGAGTCCGAGTTGAAATCTCATGGTGAAAGTGTAAGTGTTGATGGGATAGTTTTCTTTTGAGGACGAAGCCGAGCCAAATTTCTTCTTCTGACAGTTGACTTCGGATCTCTACAACATTATTTCTCTTCCTATACAAAAATGTATATCTTTTTTGAGCTAAATATACTCCACGCGTCTCGAAAATGGTTGCGGAGATTGTACCAACCAACTAACAACGACCGGAATTTCAACCCCTCTCCTCCTACTCAATACTTCTTGCATGCATGGGTTTCGAAAATCTGGAATTAACAAACCTCATCTTCCCCTCTTCTCTCGCTCCTATTAAATACTATGCTAAAAATTCTCTCTTTGCATGTTCGCTTGATTACCTGCAGAGTTTTACAATCGTTTGCACAACCCGTGAGACGACACTTGCATGGCATTGTGCGATTTGATTGTGACATGACAAAATATGTTGACGAGCTAAACTGACTAAAAATTATTCTGCGTTTTAATTTATAACCTGTATTCACAGTCTTTATGAAATTATGCGTTTCAGGAGGGTAACGGTGTCCCAAAAAAGCCTACAACACCCACGCCAATTCCTAAGCCCAAGCCTAGAACTTTAGTGCAGCAAAACAATGTGGCCAACACCCAAAACGACGATATGTGGACAAATGGAGGAACTAAAACCAAAGAAAAGCCCACAATACAAAGACGTACTGTTATCACAACGGAAATATAAAAAATAGAACTATTTACGGTCAAGGAGAAGGAGGATTATTTGTTTATTTCTTATTTACATTCTTTGTTGGACAGGAAAAAGACTTATGCAATGAAATTGTTCATATTTAGTCTATTTAGCTTATTACTGCGGCAGGGGCTTTTAATGTTGTTACACATTCGCCAGAAATTTGTGGATAACAATAGAAATCGAATAGTGCCATTCCCATCTGAAATGACCCAGCAGAAACACGAGTCTAGGCAGAAATTTATGCTGAATGAGAGAGGGAATATGTGTACACATAATTGTATAAAAATCTAGTAGGATGGCGCATACTCAAGTGCCATTATATATCAAAACATTAACAAGATAAGTTATTTAAGAAATACCTCAGAAATTTTTTACTACCGTATTGCAACGAAACTCGAATAACAATATAATTTTATCATTGCTACCAAACCCTGTCATAATTGATATCTACGCACTGACCGTGTGCGAAGTCAAAATGAAACAACTATTTTAGAAATGTAGGAAAAGTAATGTACTGTTTAAATACTGCGTCGTCAAATAAGTGCTTTCACCAACCATGCCTTTCTCTCAACGTGCTATGATGTATATAATTCTAATATACACAAATGTTGGATTGATTGTTGCAAAACAAAGTATAGTTGGCCTTCTATTTAAAATCATGCGGCCTTATTCTGAGTAGGACCATTACTTGTAAATGCGTGTTAGTTGTTAATTCTACATTGGAGAATAAACGAGTTTTATGTGATACGTGTTTTACACTAATAATACATCACTAAAAACCACATTTCGCGTGTCCACACCTCTATCCATTCAAATTGTTTTTAATTTTTGTTGTAAAAATAAAATTGTTGTAACCAAAGTGTGCAATGCGATTTAATATGCATATCTCGTAAATGGTATTTACTTCACATCATCATACTTTGATTAGGCTCCATGGCGGACCAGACATTGTAGACTATGGTACATGACATTTTATGGCCATTAGCAGTAGCCAGTCGCTGCAGTTGCAGCAAATAGTTGTACCTACACATTCATGCTTACCCTACTTTCTCCCCATGTTATGTCACATCCCATTTGAAGAAGAAAAAAGACCAAAACTTTCTCCAAAGTGTAGCTCACGATCAGTACAACGTTAGGAAATGCAATACCGGCGATACTTCAGCCTCCAACTCTTATTAAGTATTACACAAGGCAGGTCATAAGCGGTGCAATGGAAATCCTGGAGCTTCTCGTGTCTGGAGAGTGTCTGGAGTTTCTTCTTCTGCGGGTTACTTGTGGAGTAGCTTTCTCCTTGCAAACATTGTACAGACATCCAGCCAAACTGCGGAAGAGGTAGGTGAATGGCGTATGCATAAAATCGACGAGGGAGGCAAGGCCGGAAAATCATTCATAAATAATGTCTTGTCCAACCACAAAAAATATTCAAAAGCATATTTAACTACTCAAATGAATTAAATTTTATTCCAAACTATTTCTCATAAGAATTTTGGACATGTGTGGTGCGAACGGATGATAAATACAGGGAGGAAAAGACCACGTTGAAATGGAGAACATCCGGTGTGTGTGCCGTTCCTATGGGCTATAGATTGGTGGGAGAAGATTGAGACGATTCTCAGTATGGGTAGCAGCAGATACTAGTGCCAGGGTTGGTTGGATATGGGTGTTCCTTATCCGATGAGGAGTCTATCGAGAGAGGTTCAAAGCCCTTTCCATTTGGCAGGTTGCTACTTTCCCCGACCAACCCCAGCAACCCAGACGTGCTTTCTCCTCTCTCCCACCACACACTCCTCGCATCCTGGGAAGACGCTGGTGCTGTCGAGTCGAGGATCAGACTTCGTCTCGTGAGGTCGGATCGGTCGGACACTGCCCGGGCTTCTCTTTCCTCACTGCACCTGACAACGTGTTGCTTAGATTTCAATTAATTCTCCAAGAAAGCACTATCTCATCCGCCTTCTCAGCCAATTCCCATCAACTTCACAACTCGTGGCCTCGTTTGATAAAGTAAATATTCCGTGAGTGGTGACCACAGAGCGTCGTGCTCAATTCCTCGGCAAGGATTTGGTGAATAAAGGTGAGGAGCTGTGCGTACTTATTATTTCTCACTTATTGACATCTCATACTTATAACTGACCGTATTGTTGTCTAAAGATACTTGAGTAAGTAATAGCTTAATTAGATAACACGTTTCATATAATATACTTCAGTCTTACGTAAGTAGGATAAGGCGCTAGGCCAATCTTAATAATTTGCTTGTCAAAGGAGGGTATTCAACGCGGAACTATAATTTCGAGTGTTGTGTGGTGGCAATGACATCAGAGGCTTGTATTCATTGATCAATAAAACTGAAATAGTCAGAGGCAGGGTACCATACATGCACACACACCTGTCCAAATGAGGAAAGCCCAAAACTTCATATGTATTGCTTATGCTACATATAATTGATTTCTCGTAAAGCGTAACTTGCCAAGTTCATTCACATTGAACGACACAACATGATAAGGGCATGGTTTTCGCTGTAATAAATCTGGAGAAATTGCTTTGTCGAAACATGCACAGGTTCTTAAACTCGAATTAGAACAGGAGGTTTTCCAACTTATTATTAAGCTGTCCTTTCAGCTTATCATTACTTTTTGATGTTACACACACACCATATGAAAAATGTTTCGCTAATGAATCAGGCACGGAAAATTGTCTTGTCTTTGTGTATGTATAAACAAACTCAAGGTTTTTATCCATTGTGAACTGACATTCACTTCCAATTGTTATTAGTAGGGCATACTTGTGTATATGCATTAGTTATACGATGATAGTGCATATGTGCATGCATCAGTTCTATAAATAGTTATGCGGAATATGTAGAATTAGTCCTTAAATTAACATGGATGTAAAAATGCACCAGCGTAGCACAGTCCAAAGACTATCTTATCATAAAATAAAGAACAGTGTCAGTATCCGTTGCAGAGAATGATGATGGTAGTGGCCCATAGCTCGTAAATTCAACATGGGGCCTCACTACATGGAGAAAGTCAATAGCATTTTGCCTTGTCGACTGGTGTGGTGAGTCGAAACAAATACATTATAATGAGAATTTCTTCTACATATGTGCCCTCAGTCTGTTTTGGCTTCTTCTTGCACGGTTCATTTCGTTCACAAACCGGAGTGTTTTTATGCTCTCTCCAAATCTAATTTCAAAGCCAATCCTTCTTGTTCACACATTGACTTGGTTGTCCTTTCTTCAGCAGCTCCGAGTTTTCCTTTCCCTACTCCAGACGAAATGCAAAAAAGTAATGAAAGTAATGATTGCTTGAAGGGATTTAGGATGCAACTACGGATGAGACTACAGGGTTTCATTTCATCCCACTATCCAAATAGAGATATATACTTGTTTATATCCCCTTATTGCATTGCTCTTGAGGTCAATCTGAAAATGTCTTCTTCTTGTCGCTTTGATCCCTTTCGGAGATTCGACTTTTTACGACTTTTTTCCTTAACGCTTGAAGCAATCCAGAATAAATTATAAGCAGACCTTTGTGTATACTCATGATGTAATCTTAAAGTATGAAGTAGTACTGTAGTGAGGTTTGAAATTCAAACTTTGAATGGCTCATAGCACATATAGCTTAATTCGATAATAAATATTTTAGAAATTGTAAGTTCACTACAAAACTAAATTCAACATTACTACCAATATGAATTGTAATAAGAAATATTTCCAACTCAATGGGGAAAGAGAGTCACGATGCAAGATATGTGCAAAATAAATACACTCTTTTGTCGAGACTTTTCTGTCGGAGGAAGAAAAGTTGTCAGTTGGATGGAATACAATGGGGATTCACTCATACATAGTTGACTTGAGATTTATTTGAGAGAGGGGAGCAGCAACAAATCCTAGAGAGGCTTAGATTGGATTTCTCCTGAGGGGGAAATACTTGTACAAACAACCAATAAATAGCAAATACTAAAGGAATGCTCTGTAGGAATAACAGATTAAGTGTAAATAATTGTCTACATCTCTGACAAATAGATGATTAGATAATATAGCTGATTTGTATCACACGTCTCAAATGCACTATTTGAAAACTTGTAAAAACTCCAATGCTACGTTGGTTTAAAATAAGATAACATGGAATTTACAAGTGAGAACATCAAAAACTATGTGAATTTTTGGTTCGCAGATCTCTTTTGTACTGTCTGGGCTATTAATTATTAGCCAAAAACCGTCGAATCGTCCTCGTGAACCGAGTGGTTTAGAATTAACTGGAGGAAGAAGTCAGAATCAGTATAAAGATGGGGCTAGAGACGACGGATGTAGAGCGAAAGTCGGCCACCCTGCCACACACTCCAGGGCGACTTTCTCTCAAACTGCCCGTGAAGGACCGTGATGCCCGGGCGACGCTATACCACTCCGTCGGCACTCCATCGTCACCAACCTCCACGTCCACCACGGGCCTCCTCGTCACCACGGATTCCATGTCAACCCCATTCACCCACAGGAATCCCAGCCACGCCAACGACGCCTTCTCCGCTCTGAACCAGATGAGAGCCAACAATGAGGTCAGACAACCAACTTTTATTAATTAGTTTTACACCTTCATAACAGAAAAATTCGTCCAAGTTAGTTGTAATAATTATAAACACTTTTGCGAGATGAGAAATTTTTAATGGAACAAAGGCTACCTTTTACATAACTAAAGGTCGTGAATGAAAGAAATTAAGTGTAATATCCAAGTTCCTAAAACATGACAAAACTTTCCACATTAGTAGAGATGCAATTACATCTTAGTTGGTGTATAGTCTACCAGTACGTTGTCTCATTTTGCAATTTCCCTTGACCGACATTTCTTTCGTTTTCATTACTTTCGCAACGACATAACAAACAAATTGTTACAGTGGGGAAAGTAAGTATACGTAGTGAGTCAAGGCCGTGGACCAACTATCCAACTTTACGACGAGATAAGGGAATGAGGGTGTATCTCGTGTCTTTTTCTGGATTCTAGCTCTGTGATGTCTCCATCGTAGTGGCGAATGTCTCCATCCTAGCTCACAAAGCTGTGCTGGCTGCAAGTAGCCCATACTTTCACTGCATGTTCAACGGTAAAAGCGAAATGTGGATGGTGACAGTAAATAATATGTCTCCTCTTTATGCTCCTTAAGTAGAATTCACTTTTAGAGCATGTCACCGAGAAATCATATATTTTCACAGTAAGGAAATATATGTATAGGAACAGTCGGAGCTGGAAACTTTCTCTCCCTTCCCTTCTTTGCCATCAGTGTCAGATGTTTAGCTGGCTTTGTAGATCCTCCTCCAAATCATTGCCATTCCGAAGGCGGACTCCAGTTGTCTCCGACTGCTTCTTTATCTCTTAAAACTTGCTGCTTTCTCTCGCAATAAAATGTCTCCATTCTTTGTAACAAGAATCCTACTACCAGTTCACTCTGAAATATTTTGTGGCAGATGACATGGCGGAAAAGAATCAGACGACAGTAACCATCCACGAAATAGAGCCAGATGCAATGCAACAGCTTGTTGAGTACAGTTATGTCGGCAGTATGATTATTACAGAAGACAATGTCCAAGTAAGTAGTTTGTTACTCGGCCAAAATTTACAAGTGCTTCCTTCCTTCCAGATCAAAGTTTAGTTCATTTCTTTCTCTTTGTGTATTGCCATGCAGTGCTTATTTATACAATATCCCGAAATCATACTTTGCAGGCACTGCTTCCAGCGTCAAGCCTTCTCCAAATGTCAATGGTGAGGGAAGCGTGCTGTAAATTCCTTCTGCGGTAATCCAATTACATATAATTAATTATAATCATTATAATTACTATATAATTATTATAATTATTATAATTAGCCAATTGCATCCCTCTAACTGCCTGGGCATAAGGAATTTTGCAGGTTGGTAAATTTTAATTTTTCTTATGAATATTTCTTGGTTTAGCTGATTATTTGTATTAAATTTTGCAGATGCTCATGCTTGTAAAGAACTCCAGACAAAATCACACCATTTTGTTCTCCAAAACTTCCCCGACGTGATGAACACGGAGGAATTTGTTCTACTTCCGTTGGAAGAGGTAAATAAATAAAATACGTCCCAGTTTTGCCACTGTAGGTTCCAACTAGAAATTATATTAGGGTTTCCCCTGTGACCATAAACAGCGGTTTTATCTTCATCCTCTCTCATGGTCATTTATATAAGTATGTTTCATACGTTTCATAAATTGTGATTTCACCAAGTTTCGACCTGCGTAAGAGTAAATCTTTATCATAACATTATCCATTCGCATCGTCGGATGGTATGGTATGGTATGCTCGGATGACGTAATAGTAAAGCTCAAATTGACTCTGTCTGAACCTTGTAAGACATTTTTCGTATACTTCTATGTAATAGCCGAGGTTGAGTAATAAGGTAGCACGCATTTGACAATTTATTTTGCTGAAAGGATATTACGGAACGGTTGAGATGAAGGAGAAAACCTGGAAACACGAGAAAGGCTCACCACCAGAGCCACAAAAAGACGTTCTCGTCTTCCTTCCGTGATTGCTCTGCCACACACACGTCCACCTTTTCACTTGGTCGGCACACGAATTGTCTCAACTTCCTGCTTGCTTGCTATCCCTTTCCAGCTTTAGCTTTCCAAACTCTGCGTAACCGACCTCTGTATTTACCACAGGATTTGTATGTGGGGAAGGAACACTTTTTCCTACTTTATGAAGGAAAATGTTATTCTGAGCTGGAAACACGACTGTAATAAGTAGTTTCATGATGGGAAATGAGATGAGTGGTCAATTCTTAGAGAAAGAAAATAACCATTCATCATCCAAGATTCTATTCTGAGGCATTATGGTTTTAGTTTCGTTATGACATGTTCAGCGTTATAAGGGTTATAAAAAGTACATGATTTCCACTCCAACCTTGATTTTCAACACAGCATTGGAGTAGTAAGTTAATGCAAAAATCAATGAACTGTCTACAAGGCTCTCAATAATAGAAAGCTGTGTGCATACATGAAACATAAGGGTAATTTGAGACATTGTTGTCCCAAATTAATATTCGTGTGTTCTAAGCACCTATTGCACTATCAACAAGCATCGCCAATACGTTACGACATATGCGTGCATATATTATTATGATACTGTTTACAGGTCGAGGAACTTTTGGGGTCTGGAAGATTGAATGTTCCCAGCGAAGAAACAACCTATGAGGCGGCGATGGCTTGGGTATGCAACATAAACATGATATACAAAACAACATATAGCAATATCTATAAATATATTTTATTAATTTTAGGTGAAACATGATATCGAAAATCGCAGACAATTTTTATCTCGAGTACGTGCACATATTTACAATAAGGCTTTTACATTTTGAAATATTTCCACATTCCACCCACCATTTCTCTTTATCCTTACCGTTATTCTCCTTGAATTGATTCTCTGAGAACTGCGACCTTTCCCCTTCTCACCTCTCAAAGAATTTCACCTCTTCTGATTCCAATCATACTGCTTCAATGGTTCTGTCAGACTATATGATGATAAATGATGATGATGTACCATTAATTCTCAATGACAGCTATTATCCAAAGTGCGACTTCCGCTCTTGGGAAGAAAATTCCTAATGACGTCGGTGGACTCTGAAGAATTAATAAAAGGAGATCCTGGATGCAAAGAGTTGTTATTGGAAGCTATGAGATATCACTTGCTCCCTGAACAGGTACACATGCAGATATATTTACATACATAAGACTTACTTCAATCGTATTTCAACCCAATTAATTTGACAACAGAGAGCTTCCCTGTCTTCCGACCGAACACAGGAAAGAAAGCCCGATGGAATTCGCCCCTATATTTTTGCTATTGGTAAATTATGCCAATATACAGAATCTATGATTATGCCTCATCGGGTTTATGAGGTATTTTTTATTTTGCATTTATGTTTGGGTTGCTCTTGCAGGTGGAGGTAGTCTTTTTGCTATTCATAGTGAAAGCGAATGCTACAACCCGAGGTATGTATATGTATATGATCTCGAAATATTATTCATACTACATAATATGTACATACTGATATGTATGTACATATGTGTAGTACTTGTTGTTTTTCTTCATTTCGCAATGGGTTTTAATGATACTATATTTTCATTGGATAGAACGGATCGATGGTCTTCAGTTAGCCCTTTATTGACGAGAAGGTACTTTCCTAAATTCTATGCATTTCATGGTCCCCTTTAACCTTTGGTATGTACATGTGTGTGTGTATAGATCAAGATGCGGTGTGGCTGGAGAGGGGAAATTTATTTTTGCAGTTGGAGGGTAATTTCCGTGAATAGAGATTGGCATTATCTATACGGGAGAGGAAGACACTTTATGAAGCGAATTCTATTTTTGATCACGTGCAGATATGATGGGACTTCAGACCTCTCGAGTGGCGAATGTTGGAACAGCCGCCTTAACAAATGGTAACTACATACATACACATACACGTAGCTAGTATAACACTATAGAGAAAGTGCATAAATCTTCTTTCACTCGTTTGGTTTGGGAGCGAGGAACTGGAGGACGGGTAATGTTACTGCTCGGATTAATTAATATGTCTGTCTACTCGTTCACCAGGTCTCCGATTGCTTCAATGGGGACAAGACGAAGCTGCTTGGGTACGTTTCTCAAGCCTTGAAAAGCATTGCGGCATTCCATTTTATAGCATAGCTACATGTGTTGGGAAAACTACATTTCCCCAATTAATTTATTTCCTGCAGGAATGTGCACATTGAACGGCATCATATACGTTGCTGCTGGATATGACGGCGTTTCTGTGCTCCAGAGCTGTGAACGATATGATCCTCTCACTGGTAATTAACACAATTGAAATAACATTTCCAATCATTGTGTTACGCCAGCCATGGTCGACTGATTTCATTGCATTTATGTATCCTTGTCTTTCAGGTATTTGGAGTTGCTGTCCTGCACTGTCTCAAAGGCGGAGGTATTGCAAATTGGCAGCAATGGATAACAGCATTTGGGCCGTGGGTAAGCAAATCTACTATTTTGGAGTAGTACGCATTTAGTTTGTACAGGAGAACCAATTATTTTGTTTGAGATTCTGGTTCTTTTCCGTGTTCTATTTGAGCATAATAGTGTAATGTGCATGATTTGCTTTGAAAATGTCATAAACCTATAGTGTTTATAAATTATTAGTTCATTTTCATCCATTTGGGCTTAATCTACATAATATCTTGAGATACACTTAATTTAATTTAACGATATTTTTTATGTTGGAAATCAGGAGGAGTTGATTCCAGTGCGACTCTGGGAAACGTGGAAAGACTAGACCCCAGAGAAGGTGCCAAACTTTCGGACTTTCTCCATTCTAACCTCCCTTGAAAATAATAAAAATAAAAATTTCAGGAAAGTGGCAGTCGGTGCCAGCGCTATCGCAACGACGAAGCTCGACGGGACTTGCTTCCCTTGATGGTCATTTGTACTGCGTGGGTGGGAGTGACGGGAGCTCAATCCTCTCATCGTGCGAGAAATTCGACCCTCGAAAGTTGAGATGGGAAACCGTGGCATCCATGCATTCCAGACGGTAAAAGTCATGCACTACAGCAAAATTGCATTGTTGTGCATTATTGTTGTGTATACCATTAATATAATCAAGTACAAAAATCTGAAAAATACCAAACGATTCTTGAAATGCCAGTCATTATCCCGATAACGAAATGATGACCGGGTTTATTGACAAAGGTCAACCATCATTTTCTTTGTCTGACTAGGTCAACACATGCAATGTAATGCTACGTCCGATAAACAATTTAGACAGTTTCGTAGATTGCACACACTGAGGACGATGCAGGCTCTGAATTTATGAATTAAAAACTACCTATTTACTTTAATGCAAGACGCAGTATAGGAAAAAAAGATTAGCATCCATTGATAATTTATTTATAAATTACAAATCTGGGCTAACTTAACAAATGTATTTTTCATTCGGAATGTGTAAATTAACGCAATGAAATTATCAAATTCCGATCATTTTGCATATATGTACATATTTCAAGTATTTTGTACGCCTTAGGTCCACCCATGAGTTGGTGGCTGTGGACGGGAACTTGTACGCCATTGGTGGTAATGATACAGAAAAATCAATGACCTATTTATCTTAATATCATCGGCTTGAGCAAGCTAACCATCCAATATTTTTACAGGAAACGACGGATCTTCAGCAGCTCTGAGCACCGTGGAAAGGTATCGCACATAATGCTATTCTATTTTCTTGACATTTGCTCTTTCTTTGCATTTGTTCCTCGGTGTGGTTGGTTGGTAGCATTTTACACTCCCATCAAGTCAAGACTAAAACCATGCATCAATTTCACCGCATGAAGTCTTGTCTTGTGTAATATATACGTGTCTCTCGCTTTCTCTTTCATACGGAGAAAGTCATGACTGGTTGGTGGTGCAATGCAACCTAATAAGCATGCCACGCCATGTCTGACGCACTTGGGTACATTTTAAATGGCGACTGTACTGTTGCAGGTACGATTATCGACTGAACAAGTGGAGTTTAGTAAGTCCAATGCTGACTCGACGAAGCAGTTTGGGATGTGCGGTGCTGGATTGTTTGCCCATGGACAGAATCATAGCCAGACCCTGCTGACCTTTAACCATGTTCGACTCTGTCTACTCCCCACCTAATGGATAATAGCAACTCAGAGTTTGACAGAGATTCAGCAGATTAATATCATCTACTAAATCCTACTCATTCAAGTTAAATGATGCAATTTTTAAACCTTAAAGCAATTTATTTCAGTTATACATGACTAGTTTATGACAGAAGAAGAATATGGTATGCTGGAGACTGAGGAAGATATTATTCATATGCAAAACCAGAGTTAATTTTCAAGCGTTTGTATACATGCAAAATCTTTTAAGATATTTTTGCAATTTCTGGTTCATATAAAAAAGAATGTGAGAGAGAAAGGTTATTTCGAAATGAAATGTGGTAGTTAAAAAATGCAAGACGATCGGTCAGATCGGTGATAGACAACATGACATGCAAGTTATTAAAACATAGACTAAGAACATAATAATTATTGTATACGTTGAGTAATTACTGCTTGTCGTTATGTCCGTTGTTGGTGATGTCTTACAATACAAAGTACAATTAGTGGTGACTAATATTGGGTCATTTTGAACATCTGACAGATAGACAGCCAGATGCATATATATTATTTATAACAGCGCTCTCTCATACTATATACGTGACAAAAACAAAAGTTCCAAAAATTACATTCCGAATCCAACTCTTCTGATTCAGACCAAATCAAATATTCAACAGCAACTTGATGACTGCCAGTTTAATAACTTTACCTATGACAAACTCATATGAGTTGATAACACACAAATGATAACAAAGTTACAAGTGTCACTGCCTAAATCTGAAATAAATGCTTAACTGTTCTACCAACATCAAAAAATGTATACAACTTTTGAATCTTTATTTGACTCACTGGTACAATGTTATTATATTATAATGTTTCATTCAACCATAGACACTAGTCTTAAAAATGAAGTACTACAATTAATCAAAAATTTTATGACTTGATGTAAGAGCGGCGTCGTCTCCATCATTATCATCATCAGAGGTGAACTTTGCTTGTATAATGGATTCAAAACTTCTTTCTTTTGTCCAACTTCTCCCTAAAATAAATAAACAACATATGAAATTACTTTGCATTCAAGGGATCATAAGTTAAACTAGACTAATTTGAAATTAATGTGTTTACAAAGGTTCATCAAATTGATGATCGTTGATGTTTAGCATGAGACTGTTTCCACTAAGGTAGAGCTTGTTGGGAGACTGGGACACTGTTCTTGCAATAGCCTGGGATGCACGGATCTTCCTCAGTTTCAAGTAACCTGGATTTTGACCAATCGCCTCACCCAAGTAAACATACCATTAAGGAAAATATCGGAATACTGATTTGCCACAATTATTCTTTATCGTGTTTTCACCATTTGTGTCAGATTACTAAAGAACGCCATCATAGTTCAGATACCCCAATGTTATTTAGCATAACAATGACTATAACTTGCTTCATTATTCTGAGAAGAAAGTTGTTCATTTACATTGTCATGCGTATATCGAATATCATCAATCAAAGGTTTAATTAAATTAAACCATCGATCTGGTCATGTCCCGTCGATTTTACAACGAGAGGACTTGTTCTATATCACTCTCGCCAAGATTTCTACGGGGAGTACCTGAACAATCAGCTAATTTTCTCATCATTCACAATTTCTGCCGTTCAAGAACGGCCAACGAAGTTCTCTCTCAAGTAAACATATAGTAAAATAAAACGTTGTATGAAAAAGGATATCAATTTCGCAGCTTCAGCTTCTCCTTCCGCATGGACAATCTTTTGCTGTTTTTCCTGAATGGCACGATCCACCACGAATGCAGCACCTTAATATATCAAAAACAAGTCTCTCATAATAAGATTAGTCTTCTCGTCTTATATTTCTCCAGACATAATGAAACCTACGTTGCGCTTCTTGCTGAGCAACTTGCTTAGCCTCAACAGCAGCCGTATATTCTTTGCCAAAGCTCAGTTCTGTAATGGACACATCATCCAAAATGATATTGAAATCCTTAGCACGTTCTGTCAGCTCTCTTCTTATCAAAAGGGAGACCTACACATTGATAAAATAAACGTTATTTCAAGAGTATATCAACAACTATAAGCTTCAAAGTTTCTAGGACCCATTCCTACCTGCTGACGCTGAGTAATCAACTGGGATGCGTTGAATTTGGCAACGACGCTTTTCAGCACTTCATTACAAATTGAAGGCAGGACTTTCTCATCATAATCCAAGCCCAATTGTTTATACACCGTTGGAAGTGCAAAAGCATCCGGTCTAGAGAACAAAAGTAATGCAAAAAATAAATCAAATATGATGATATAGAACTATTATTTTTGGCCACATGCCTTATCTCTAGCACTGAAAGAAGTTTTACTAATTATTTGACTAGATATTGTTTAGCACAGTAAACTGCTCAACTTTAGCTAAATAACTGACTGGGTAAGAAGCCACCTTACCTGGAGAGAACACGAAGGGAAATGTTGACCATTTGTAAGTCTTTGCTTCCTGTTGGAGATGAAATTTTCCTTGGTCTGGATCGAATGTCATATATGATTGGGTACTGGAACCAAGGAACTCGGAAATGCAGACCTTCAGTCATAATGTCATTACCAACCCCACCGATTCGATTGAAAATGATTGCACGTTGACCACCCTCAACTGAAAACACGAATGGTTAAAAAAATATTATACATTTCATCAGATTACGAACCTTTCATCATTTTGCCCTAATACTTACCGGTGTACATTGCTTGACTGATTCCATACACTCCTGCTCCTGCCACGGCTAGTAATTTAAGACCAAGTCCCAAGCCCCTCGGGTTTTTCCCCAGCCGACCAGCCAAATCGTTTAATTTACTTTGAGCCATTGTTATTCAATCCAAAGGTTACTGTGATTGATTCTTAAAAATTAAAATGCTGTGTCATACATTACATCACACAAAACCAGTATTTACAAATGTGAAATGAAACGAAATAAGAAATAGCTACACGGCTCACCTCTTAAATAAGTTGCAAATTTCTACTCAATCAAAACACTGCACTGGATTTGTTTTCTTTCCCCTGTTTCGGATAACTAATTAATTTTAAGAAACTTTTCACAATTCATTCAGCAGAGAATTAGTACTTCTCCTTTCATTCCGTGAATGTGATGCAACTTTCCGGCACGACGAGGAGGTTGGGCAGAGTAAAGATCGTCCAGATTTGGTTTCGCGCGGTTGACTGACACCGCTCTCTATCCGCCGTCGTCGCCACCTCCGACTCTCGCTATCCCGTCGGCTGCATAATTTCGTCTCGGAAATTTTCACACAGTTGTCAATTTATGCCAATTCTAATTTTTGAAACCTCAAACTTGTGGTGTAGCAGTACGCAACACGGCTAATTTAATCTGAAGGTTATCTGTCTCCGTGTTTTTGGGCCGACGTAAAGCGAAAACAACTGACTTCTTCACCTGAGGTTTGTTGTCGTTTTCGCAGTTATTTCGGTGAAAGTCTGTTATTTGTATTTGTTTTTTATTGTGATAAATAATTGGAGTCAAGAATAAATAATAGAGTAGGGTTACTTCTCCCTTTGAGGAGCTACTTGATAACATGTCGGCCCCACGGACGAAGGAAGGTAAGATATCAGACCATTTTAAACTTTGTCTTGTAAATAAGCAACTTTTAAACATTGTATTTCTTGTAGACATCGAAGCTCATGCTTTGGAACTGCAAAGGCAAAAGAAGGCTGAAAATACAGTAGTCTCCGAAGAAGATAAGGTGGGTCTTGGAAAGCTTGGTGGGTTTGATTCCGAAATTTTTGGAGCCAGCAATAAGTTTGAAGGATACTACGATTCAATTGCACCCAATGAAGAAGCAGATGTAAGTTATTTTTTGATCGTTTAACTTTAAAATGAAATATACCAGTAACATTTTATTCATTTTTCGCATATTGCTTAACTTAGGACGACGATGTTGATGCAGCCCCTGTGGTTTCTGGTGGCGGAAGATCTAGGATTAACTACAACGCCCCATTGTCAATTATTAATGAAATACCACAGGTAGCTTATTATTTGAAATTTTACATTCTACTTGATTATCTACATGTTGCTAACAAATTACGTACTGTGCTTTATTTTGATAGTCGGATCAAGATTTTGATCCCTTTGCTGAACACAAGCGACCCACTATTCGAGATCGACAGAAAAATAATTCATATTTGGAGAAAGCCAACCAACAGAAACGAATGCTGTCGCCGGACCGAATTGATCCCTTTGCAGACGGTGTGTACTTTTGTTATTTTCTTTCTCCTATTTGTATGGTCACTACATTAATCTCCATGTAGATTACACGTCGTAGGGTTGGTTGTGCTTGATCGATGTATTATTTGCAAGTTGTGAGAATATGGCATAGCTTGGTGTGAATTGAAATTGTCAAGGACGCGTACAAAATGGTACTTCATTATTACATTTCATGATTGCAAACAAAAATGTATATGTTGTGGTATCGATCGTTAGAATTTTTCATTCGTTCTGCTTGTAATATGTATATATATATGTACGGTACGTTGTTGCACCAGACTGAGAACCGGTATTGAATTAGGTGACAAATATGCCCCACCACACATTGCATTGGAATTTTGTGAAAAGGGAAGACGAACATAATTTGAGTCATCCTCAGCCCGATGTAAGTAGCAACCATTGTTCGGCATCGTTCGATAGTAGGCTGGTGGGATGGACAACATTTCTAAACAGAAATATGGGTAATCCTTTTCAGATGATAAAGTGGCGGATTTGCAATGATGATGATGTCGATGATGATGATGATAAGAAAAAGGTAAGTCACAGAACGCCGGAAAATAATCATCGTCGTCTCGTCCACATATCCACCCTATCTTGAATGAATTCTCGTAACAAGGTTGCACTGTAGTAGATGCCGTCCTTATAGAACGAATGAGTGAAAGTTGAGCGAATGTGCACTAAACTACACCATTTAACTAAAAGCCAGAGAATGTTTTTATTAGGTTTAATTACCCAACTCCTCATTGTCCTGTGCCGCCGAGCCGGTGAGGAGGAGGCTTTCGGGACTAGGATCATTGGATCATCCCATATTTCAACGCATACTTTTGTATAGTACACAAGAAAATTTGAAAGTCTCTTGTGCAATACTGATTGCTTTCTGATAAATAATAATCAGTGAACTGGTACATTTTGTTAATTTGATTATATAACAAATATTAAGTAAACGTATGCGGTGAAATTAATTAGGCGTTTGAGTAAGTCATTCTGCCAAAATTTGCAACGCTTTTATGGTGATCATCTTACCTCGCGTTTCTTTTGTAGTTTTAAATTCAAAGTAAACTAAACGTGTCAACTTTTCGTGTGTTCAGGTGGAAAAACTCCGGATGTCGGATCACGAGGTTTCAAGGATGTTATGCTTGAAAATGAACTGAAAGCTCAAGAACGAGACGTAAGTTATTGTCTTGAAAAGTCCGAATATCCATTAGCATACACGTTAGCATTAATGAATAATTCAATTAATCTTAACAAAATTGTTTCTTTAGCTTCATAAGAGGATTCAAGAAAAGGGAAGGGACCTGGTTCCAGTCTCTAATGGAAGTGCAACAAAAACATCTGCCAAGAAGAGGGGCCGCTGGGATCAAACTGGTGCGGATGAGAATACAGTCCCTACCAAGAAGGTTGCAACGTGGGAAGCAGAAGTAAGCACTTCACTCTGAATGCGTAGTATTATTTTTGTATCTTAATTTTTTTTGTTATTTCGTCACAGACGCCTGGGCATATTGGGTGGGCAGAAACGCCGGGGAGACCTAGCGGAGGAGAAACTCCTGGCGCGGTTCCCTCACATCATGTGTGGGATGCAACTCCAGCCCATAAGACACCTGAACACGGACATGCCACGCCAGGACATGCGTCAGTACGCCGTAATCGTTGGGATGAAACGCCCAGAACCGAGCGAGAAACTCCTGGTAATAATAGCGGCTGGGCAGAAACTCCCAAAGTTGATAGAAGTGGCGTGGACATGATTGAAAATACACCCACTCCTTCTGCAAGTAAACGGAGAAGCAGATGGGATGAAACGCCTGCTGTTGCAATGACACCATCTACTCCTGCCACCCCAATGACCCCTCACACGCCAAGCATGATGACGCCCAGTGGAGCAACCCCCATGGGTCCGAAGGCAATGGCAATGGCTACACCTTCGCCAAGTATGTTTTATAAATATATATTTTTATAGGTGTGCCATCAATGCATATTTATTTGAGTCATAATTTTTTGCTGTTTTTCAGGTCAGTTAGCTCAAATGACGCCAGAACAATTGCAAGCATATAGATGGGAAAAGGAAATTGATGAACGAAACCGACCGTTGTCAGACGAGGAGTTGGACCAAATGTTTCCTCCTGGTTATAAAGTCCTACCCCCACCTGCAGGTGCGTACGATTTGTAGTGAAACTGATTTTTGATTAACTAAATTAGTAATAAGCTACTGCAAATAATAAGCATATACATAACTGTCTTTTGAATTAATTCTAAAGGGTACATACCCATAAGAACGCCTGCCAGAAAACTGTCTGCCACACCAACTCCTATCGCTGGGACTCCACAAGGATTTTTTATTCAGACTGAAGAAAAAAGTGGAAAATTTCAAGAAGCCCAACCAAAAGATGGGAATTTGCCATTTTTGAAGCCAGAAGATGCCCAATATTTTGATAAACTTTTGATAGATGTTGATGAGGATACGTTGAGCCCCGAAGAGCAAAAGGAACGAAAAATCATGAAACTTTTACTTAAAATTAAGAATGGGACGCCGCCAATGAGGAAATCAGCTTTACGCCAAATTACCGACAAGGTACGTGTACGCAACATTTACTATTTTTAACAGGCAAACGCTTAAATAATTGACATAAATTATCCATTTTTTAATTTAAAAAAACATGTTACTGTTAGGCTCGAGAATTTGGGGCTGGACCTTTGTTTAATCAAATTTTGCCCTTGTTGATGTCTCCTACTTTGGAAGATCAAGAGCGCCATTTGCTTGTCAAGGTCATAGATCGTGTCTTGTATAAACTTGATGATTTAGTGCGACCTTACGTCCACAAGGTACTATAACCCGTTAAGCTGTTATTTATTTAAAAAGTACGAACTTGTATAACAATATTTGATATATAAATGCATTTTCTTTTAGATTTTGGTCGTTATTGAACCACTGTTAATTGACGAAGATTATTATGCTCGTGTTGAAGGCAGAGAAATTATTTCCAATTTGGCGAAAGCTGCAGGGTTAGCTACTATGATTTCAACCATGAGACCGGATATCGACAACATTGATGAGTAAGCATATTAATTTAAGATATAGCACTAAATATGATTATTGTATATTCACTTGTTAATGTCTGGTTGTTAATAACTGACTTTTAGGTTCGTGCGAAATACAACTGCCCGAGCATTTGCTGTCGTCGCATCTGCATTGGGTATCCCCTCCCTGTTACCATTTTTGAAAGCTGTCTGCAAAAGCAAGAAATCATGGCAAGGTTAGTACAAATGTCACACAAGTATTTAACATAAATGATATTATCATATAATAGGGAAAATCACTATTTTGTAAAAGTGACATTATTTTTGAGAGTGAAAGCAACATGTACATGGCTCAGAAATATTAATCAATATTTATTTTCTAGCTCGTCACACTGGAATTAAGATTGTGCAACAGATATCCATCCTGATGGGATGCGCTATTTTACCCCATCTTAAAAGTTTAGTGGAAATTATTGAGCATGGTCTAGTTGATGAACAGCAAAAAGTACGAACTATTACGGCACTGGCAATTGCGGCCCTAGCAGAAGCAGCCACACCGTACGGCATTGAAAGTTTTGATTCAGTTCTGAAACCGTTATGGAAAGGGATTCGTTCCCACCGAGGAAAGGTAAAAATGTTGTTTAAAGCAGCATGATCGTAATTAAAAAATATATCGATTTATAATCTGTTAAAATATAACTTGTTATGTAGGGTTTGGCTGCTTTTTTGAAAGCTATTGGCTACCTCATTCCTCTGATGGACGCAGAATATGCAAACTATTACACCAGGGAGGTCATGTTGATTTTAATTCGAGAGTTCCAATCGCCTGATGAGGAAATGAAAAAGATTGTTTTAAAGGTTTGACAATTGTTAATCACTTTCCAGCATCTATATTTCTGAAAACTATTTTGAAATACGCAAGTAATAATCGATAATATTTGTATATATATATAGGTTGTAAAACAATGTTGCGCAACTGATGGTGTAGAACCTCAATATATTAAGGACGAAATCTTGCCACATTTTTTCAAACATTTTTGGAATCACAGGTATTATTTTTACTTTGTCCTTCAAAATAGTCATCTTTGCCTCCACTTCTGACTTCATTTTTGTGAATCATTTCTTTGATTCTTCCCAAAACATGTTAATAACCTGATATTCTAGAACTTTCTAAGAAATCTGTCCCCTCAGACGTATCTAGGCTAACCCATGTATGATTTATTCTATTTCAGAATGGCTTTGGATAAAAGAAATTACAGACAACTAGTAGATACTACCGTTGAAATCGCGAACAAAGTGGGCGCTTCAGAAATAGTTAACAGGATTGTTGACGATTTGAAAGATGAAAATGAAACGTATCGAAAAATGGTTGTCGAGACCATTGAAAAGATCATGGCGAACTTGGGGGGTAAGTACAATGTACAATGGCAGAAATTTTTTATATGAAACATTTAAATATTTATGCTAACATTTGAAAAACTAATGTACTCCCTCCTTTTATAGCTGCAGACATAGATTCCCGGTTGGAGGAACAACTCATTGATGGAATATTGTACGCATTTCAGGAACAAACGACTGAGGTAAGATAATAATCCATATGGCTGGTTGTTTATACGGGTTGATTTAAATTATAGAATGACAAAATACAACTTTTTTTCTTTTATCACTTGGTTGTGTAGGACGTTGTATTGCTGAATGGATTTGGAACAATAGTTAATCAACTAGGCAAGCGCGTCAAACCTTATCTTCCCCAAATTTGTGGAACAATATTATGGAGGCTAAACAACAAGGCCGCAAAAGTTCGACAACAAGCTGCGGATTTAATCTCTAAAATTGCAGCCGTAATGAAAACATGCAGTGAAGAAAAACTCATGGGACACTTAGGTAAGTTAAATTACATATGTTATTGGTCTACTTACTATGGCTGCCAAACTGGATAATAGTAGTCAAGTCATTGCCATTCGATAACCCCTAGAACCCAATTTCTACCAACACCAGCAATAAATCTAATATAATTTTATTGTTCAACCATTCCAGGAGTTGTGTTGTACGAGTACTTGGGAGAAGAGTATCCTGAAGTCTTGGGAAGTATTTTGGGTGCATTGAAGGCCATTGTCAATGTCATTGGAATGACGAAAATGACCCCACCGATTAAAGATTTGCTTCCTAGATTAACTCCGATCCTTAAGAATAGGCACGAAAAGGTACAAGAAAATTGTATTGATTTGGTGGGAAGAATAGCCGATCGTGGTCCCGAATTCGTATCTGCCAGAGAATGGATGAGAATCTGTTTTGAACTTTTGGAATTATTGAAAGGTAAACGGTTAAAGTAAAATGCAAACGCGATGCAGTTTCTAATCTAAACTTTTTTTTCCTTTTTGCTAAAGCGCACAAGAAAGCCATTCGACGAGCGACTGTAAATACATTTGGTTACATTGCAAAAGCTATTGGAGTAAGTGATTTCACTATTTTTTGCTTGTTTTTTTTAGTTATTATATTAATGACGCTCATAATTTGTATTACTTTATACTCATAGCCGAGTGATGTAAACCATGTGCTGTTGGCTAACTTGAGGGTCCAGGAGCGTCAAAATCGTGTTTGTACGACTGTTGCAAGTAAGTTATGGAACATTATTTATACGTTTAATACAAAAATTAATTTAATGTTTGATTCTCAAACCAGTTGCTATTGTTGCTGAAACGTGTTCTCCGTTTACGGTTCTCCCGGCATTGATGAATGAATACCGAGTTCCCGAGTTGAATGTCCAAAATGGAGTACTGAAATCCTTGTCATTTTTGTTCGAGTATATTGGTGAAATGGGAAAAGATTATGTGTATGCAGTAACCCCACTCTTTGAAGATGCACTTATGGACAGGTACTGATTTTCTTTTGTTCATTTATGAACTAGATAAAATAAAATAAAAACTGTTGTATTCACTAGGGATCTTGTGCATCGTCAAACGTCGTGTGCTGCTATAAAACATTTGGCTCTGGGTGTATACGGTTTCGGTATGTTTTTTTATTTCCAAAATTAACGTAAAAATATTTTCCATGACTGGTTTAGAGAGATCGAGAAGATACATAACTTTCTAATCAGATTTATTTATTTGTTTTTGGCAGGTTGCGAAGACGCCTTAATCCATCTGCTAAACTATGTCTGGGTAAGTACATCACATATGCAACGTGCAGAATTGCTACATAGATTTACACAGATTACTACATGGATTAGAATGTAATAAGTAAAACGTTTGTTTTTAGCCCAACATATTTGAAACATCCCCACATTTGGTTCAAGCGTTTATGGATGCTGTAGAAGGAATGAGGGTGTCTCTTGGTCCCATAAAAATCTTACAGTACACATTGCAGGGGCTATTTCATCCGGCTAGGAAAGTTCGTGAAGTTTATTGGAAAATTTATAACTCGCTTTACATTGGTGGACAGGATGCTCTTGTTGCTGGTTATCCGAGAGTATCAGATGATCCAAAAAACCAGTACACTCGATGCGAACTGGATTACGTTCTTTAGAAACCATGTGCTTAAATGTGCAGTAGTTGCTGATTGAATAACAAGTATCTTTATTATTATAAAAAATTATTTCACTTAGCCGGACTTACTCGAGCATGACTCGTAATATTATTTCAGACGACATACATACTTACGATTCTTTCTTTGTCATTAAACTAAAAAGTGTGAGTAAAACTAAGTTGCTATTATATTGTATACTCGTGATCATTATTTAAAAATTACCGATAATAAAAGATTTGGATCATTAATCAGTACATATATTAGGTTCGAAAGACAACATAATTTCCGCATATATTAATTATTTAGGCATTAATCAATCTAGGTTGTACAATTATTACCCTTGAAATTAGAGATAATACTTGTCTGAATTATATTATTCCCCATGAAAAAGTCTGTTGCTGTAAAGCAAATAAAGTTTTATTAGTCATTTTTCTCCTTTCAGTAATGTACTATTTGTAATCCTAAGGTAAAACAGAAGGAAATAACAAGGAATCTATGCATGCATTAACCATGTGATCGAGTTTTAGAAAATTTGAAATTTTTTTAGAAAAGTGCTTGTATTTACGTACCTACAATACTTGTTTTCGGGTACCAGTCTTTCTCTTGAAACCAATACGTCATTGGTATGTTAACTACTTGTGCAAGGTTGCGAAGCCCAGAAGTTGGCCTTAACACTATATCAATAGAAGTAATTTAATTGCTAATTAAAGAAAATTTAAATAATGAAACCAAGGTTCGCAAGGTTTGCAAGGTTCGCAACCTTGCAAATTTTGCAAACCTTGCAAAAAATTTGCCTATGTCGATTGTTTTTGGGGTAAATTCTGCCATCGCACTCCACATTTGCCCACGTTTGGATCGTCGTTGTAATGCGTCACTTAAAAATCCCTTTAAATCAGGCAGCCGTCGTTTGTCCCCCCATTCCTAAAAATATTGACATATCTCAACTCGCTCGTTGCCTATCATGGAACTTTGAAAGAACTCCTACCTGGGGCAGTGGTGGCCACAAAAAGTTGTAAGAGTGGACGACTTTGAGTTCCGAATATGCAATGATTACAGTACGACCAATTGACCACTGTTTAAATATTTGTATGAATATATTTAAATTCTTACTAATAAATACTTCTTAATGTTTAATACCAAATCGTTTGGCGTCGCATTTGGGGACAGAGTTCTGGGAGCAATGTGTTTCCCTAGTTCAGAAACTAAAAATTCTGCGACCACCACAAGATTCATTCAATTAGCGAGGAAAGCAAGCTTTCAATGTTTAAAGGGTTGTTAAAGATTCATCAACCTGCCAATTTGGCATGCCTATCCTGACTTGTAAAGCCGACTATAATCAATTTAAAGAGATTTTAATTAGACTATACTAATTGCTTTATAATGTATTATACATATTACAACATAATTACCAGGAAATCGGTGAAAGTCCATCACCACCTATTCACATACAATCAATAATGATTTCATTTACTTATTTTTGCCAAATTATTAGAAGTTCTACCAATTTCTTAAATAGCTCACAATTTCATTAGTTTCTTCCACAAATCTTGCGACATCCTTTACGATCTCAGACAAAGGTCTCATCCTATAAAAATTATGATTCACCCAAAGCTTTTCTGGGTATGAAGGATAATATCCTACGCGAATATCAAGGTAGCGAATTCCTTCAAGAATAAATAATAACAGCCAGAATGAAATATACAAATTTGTAATGATAATTATTATGTACATATACATACGTGCACATATAAATGCATGCACATAAGTAAGTAAAATAACCCACCGTACACCAGTTGACTATACACTGACTCATCTTGACTGCACAAAAGAACAATTGGGTATTGCCATTGGTATGCAAGGTAAGTACATAAATTAAGAATGTGACTTACTTCACCAAGTATCTCTGAAACACGTCTGAAAAAGGTCATTAACATGTTGAGTGGTTGATGAACATTAAATAACTATGGTTAGAGTATTATAAGAAGTGGCTCCTTCTAAACTTACTTTCCATGCAAAATTAGCCGCTTCTTCAATTCAGTTATAAAAGCAGTGAAAGATAACCTACCTGTCTCTCCTTCGAATTCTTTCCACGATCCACTGAAATGTTGAATTCGTCATAATATTCATGTTATGTGATTGCTACTGAAAACATACAGGAACATTAACTAACCTATTATGTGTTCCTGGTATCATCAACGAGTGGAGTGGCGTATCTCCGATTGTGTTCCTGAGAAAAGTACAAAAGTTGCAGATAATGAAAACTTTGTAAGTGATTGACCCCCTTTCCGTGAATTAAGCCCCTTTGGGGTTGTTGTCCATAAATTAAATGTAACGCAAAAATGCTCAACCCGATTTTCATGACCTCCATTTCAGCAAGTGTCATGATATTTATCATTTGAATTTTATAGATCCCCATCTTCATGCGTTACATATGACACCCACCTCATTTCATACATCCATTTCGGATATGTTGATAAACAATTAATTTGCAAGATTTGGCTTTTTCGTATATACGCGATCCAATAACCCACACAAATACTGGAGGACGTGTTTAGAGAAGGTCTATCCAATCTAAAATCAGAAACGAAAATCACAAATAGCCTCCTTTTTGGTAAATTACAGAAGCGACACGAAATGTGACCAAACATTACATATATGTACAACAGAACGGAAAAAAGAAAAATAATTAGAGGAGACTACCAAGGCCCTCATTTTGAAAATGAACCATTTCAAATAAAGAATATGAACGGCCAAATTCTGAATATAATTAACAATAAAGTGTCACAATTAGATATAAAGTAAATAAAATTGTTACCTAAAATCAGTCTTGATGTACCCTGAGACAAAATTTGTTTCGTCTAACTTTAGGTCTCATCTCATATGCAGATTGTCATTATTAGACGATACCTCGGGTTAATGTGACATTTACAGCTTCCAGTGGATCGGAGATTCCTTGTCCGGGATCATGATCAAATAATCCTACCCAGTCTTGTGCTTCCGGGTCTGCATGATTCCAGTTTATCTCAATCAAACGATCTTGCAATACTCCATTCTTAGATCCTGAAATTTAGAATTTAGGAGTTGAGTGGTGCATGAATTAAATACTTACATACATTGCATTTACAGTATACGCTTATTAAGTATCTCGTTATTAACGTGTAATTATATTCAATTCACATTCCAATTGCTAAATATTTTTTGGTGATTGAAGTATGTCAAGTATGAAAAACTAGATAGTTTAGATATTTAGTAGTTTATCAGAGCAGCATTTTGTAGAAACAGAAAAGACAGAAAGTGGAAATTCTTGTCGTCAACCTTATGTCGTGGTATCTATCTTTGCAGGAGACATCTCTAAAGAACTCTCCTGAAGATAATACCATGCTGGAATTATGTGCAATATTTAGTGCATATATTTATTATAAATACGATTATTTTAATTACCTGCAATTGCACTCACACTGAGAAATACGGTTAATCCATCAAAACAGCCTATGTTATGAGAGAAAAAAATCAGTCAACTGCATCAACATCAATTCCCTTTGCCAATTATGTAGTCGTCCAAATATGTTACATCAGGATGGCTGGAGCAATGGATCATGTACTACATGATCTATGATGGAAATAATAGGAATACTACTAAAATGGTTGGTCCTTACTTAAATGTTTTTGAAGCTGAATGGGAATGTGGAGTGTGCTTCCTTGTGTAAAATCTACAAGTAGTAACTGCAAACACAGCAACGCTGAGATGAAAGAATTTGAACACTTGAGTATGGAAGACGTATTGGTTGTATAAAACCTCATTTTCGTCTTTCTTCCATGCATAACTGCACTGCAAAAAGTACCACGATCCCACGTTTATTAATTCACTAATTGCTCCACAATGGAGTATAATGTACTTTATCCAATCTCTTTCAGACGGATTCAAGGTGAGTATAATAATAGCGGAGGGGATAAGTTCTACGAGTTATGAATCCATGCGACTCTTGCACCCAGCTTTGACTTTTGACTTTTAAGATCACAGATCTTTTCGCATCGTGTTTGTGTTGCACTTTCCAGATGAGGACGGAGATCGATCGGGTGAAAGTGGATCACTTCAGGATTCCACCAACTATGGGGAGCACCGCACTACTATTTTTTCTCACACTTCTGCTCCGTTACCCGAGAAAACACTTGACGCGATGTTATTCAAGCTACTTATGGCAAGGATGACTTCATTCCATGAAGCGAGTTGAGAAATTTGAACCACTTCGTTAAAAGTATATGCATACATATATGTACATACATTTACACGACCGTGCACAAGATTAATTAGATGCAATAAGATGTTAGTATGCATAGAGCGTTTACTCAAACGAATTACTCCAACAAATCAACCTTTGTTCATTTCTCACAGAAATCTCATCAAATTCGAATACATGTGTGATACAGATCTGCTCATGTACTTATGCACCTAATGCGTACAACGAAAGCAATATTCTCCTTTTTCTCTGTGATCGTCGTCGTATCAAGTGCAGAAGATTTAGACTGATGGAAAGTTTAGACTCAGCCCTGAACTTTTGTGTCACTCACTCACTAATACTAAGCACTACATAATATTTGATGATGGTGTGTCACTCTGTCACCCACCAATCTGTTCATTTTATGGCAAGTAGGGGTTGGAATGAAAAATGAGCATCTAGACATATGTAGTCATCCATGTGCACGAAATTGTAATTCCACGCAACATCCCTGAACCAAACCTTACAATGTGGTAACCTTTAAAGACAATAAAATGAATGCATGGTTGAATTGACGACGACGGATGAGAAAAATGGTGTGTAGCGACAACAAATTGGAATTTCGGACAGGAGGTCGCACATAAAGTTCTGATATGATATCACTCCATCATTTTATTCTCACAACAAACCAGGATGCATTAATTATAGTTCATTTTCTCTTCCAGGACTAATGCACTAACGCTGCTATCCCAAGAGTAAATTAACGTCTATGAAACAGACCTAGAACTAACAGAATTACTTATATATATATATATGTTCAATATGAAAACTGGACCAATAATATTTTTAATTTTTGGTTTCAAAATGTTAGGTGTCAAAATATAAGGTTTCATTATTGAATATAAACTAAAATTTTCACTTTAAACTCTATTCCTACATATTTTATTTCGGTGGACGATCATGATAAATTTATTCTCGTAACGGTTTAATCCGTGATTCCTGTCTAAATGTATGTAGATAAAAAAGAAGAAAATAAAAATAAGTCTAAAATAAAACTCTAAAATCTACGAGAATAGTTTTCGAGATACAATAATACCAATATATGTATTGTATACCTATATTGATTGAGGGAATTGTTAAAAAATTAATATCGAAGAAACGGTTTGCTTTTTGCGATGTATCTGAAAAGTAAAAAATAGTATATATATCAGACCTTTTTGACCGTATTTTTGTATTTTAAGTTAAGCTAAACTCTTACAAATCAAGTTTCTCCCAGAAGGTCATTAAAGCAGCGCGATCCAAATGTCTTTTAATTTTAGATAGTTGGATGACGTTAACTGCCCACTTAGCGACGTTAGCGTCAAGTTTCATATCGGAATATTTCAAATGAAACGCGCAGACTATAAATTGAACAAAAATATACCTTGTATATCAGGTCCAACAATTCTTGAAATAAATAATTACCTACTTTTAGAAAAAATTTCAACCGGATTCCCATCCCACGGCCAACCCTTAAACTGCCAAGCTATAAAAATCATACAAAGTCAGTCCTTCGTTTTTCTTATGCAGCATGATTTGATTTTTGAGTTGTAACCAATGTATCTCGCCACTCACTCACCTGGACCCATCACAAATACAGCGACAACACGTTCCCAGTCTACAGGACTTAATTTTTGGGGATTGTCAATCACCCTGTACGGTACTGACTCTCCATTTCTCATTCGATGGATTAGTATTTCGTTATCCCTTTTACCTCCTTGAGCCTTCTTTTCTTCATTCCTGCAAAATAGTGCAATACGTAAATATATACTTTTGACCAGACTAAAAGTTTCATCTCCTTGAGACCAAAAACTCACCCAATGTATCTTAAATCTTGCAATACCTCCTTGGCGTTGAACATTGTTATTAAAGATGTATTTGCAGCAGGAATAATAATTATGGGTGTTCGTGAAACTCTTTTATTTTGTGGGGTTATTATTGGACTTTTTCCAGGGGTTTGCTAAATGGATAAATCATTATAGTATTATTATTATACCTAAAATTTAAAAACAAAGTTTAAACTTACGTTGATTGATGACGAAATGACAGGAGTGCTGGGTGTCGGAGGAGTAGATTTATTTTTATTTAGAGTGCCGTCTGTAACACTTTTTAGGGACAGCCCACTGTAAGATCCAAGGAGATCAATTTTGAACCCTTCGGTTTCTGCAAAACAAAAAGTAGTATCCTCATTTACTTAGAAAGAGCAAAACAAACGTCATTGACTTTAATAATTATAATTTTGATATGCAATATACCATCTTTATGTAGCCTTTCTTGATCGTATCTATTATATCCCGGTTGATTATATCTGTTGTATCGTTCAACCGGCGGCGCAGATTTTACAGGTATCGTAGGTCTGGGAGTTATTGCCTGAACGGACATAGTCATCGGCCTAATAATGAATAAAGTATTACTAGAAATTTGCTTCCCCATGTTGTCATCTACTAATAATCGTATTCGTGCTGTATATGTATGTATAATATTACCTCGATTTCCCTTCTTCTCTTGCTTTAACGGATTGTAAAATTGCAAAAATACTTTTCGCAAACTGCTTGCCATTACTCTGAAGAATTGTTGTACGTGTTCTCCATTGTCGTTCTCTAGAGACGATGTCTTTTGTAACATCCAAATCGTAATCCAACATAGCTCGAACTTCGGAACCTGAAGAAAAATATGAAAAAGCAAGATGTAGCACGTTCCCATATTTAAGAATTTGAGGTATTCGAAACCATACCCATTTCGATATCATCATGTCCCTTAATTGTGGTTCGTTTCTTTGAAAGACGCTTGGCTTTTATTTCAGCAATTTTTTCAACTGACATGGCCTCCGAGAGAGACCTGTTTTTATTTTAAAAAACAAATAAAAATTAACAACTCTGAAACAATCAGGGGAAACCATCAAAGTAGGAAAATAACGTACTTGATATTATTAATGGTGACAATAGTTTCACGGGGGGCTAAAAAAGATTAAACACGCAGATAAAAAACCATTATTGAACCTTGTACAAAATCTTGTAATACTTTATAGCCTACTCACCGTCAAGACGAGCAGCCAACGTCTCCTTCACTTTTTGAAACTGCATTTCCTCATATCTTGGCTTTTTAGCAGCAGATTCGTGAGAATCTTCTGCTGTTCTTTTGATTTGTGTCGGAATTTCCAAAGGTGCAGACTTATCGATGCTCGCCGATGCAGCCGTCTCGCCTTTAAGATAAGCCAAAACATCTTTTCTGTCCGGCCGAGTTACCACCGGAATATTTTCAGCCTACAAGAAAAAAATTAGAATCGGAAGCAGCATATAAATAGTTTTAGGAATTTAGAATTGGTGTACATCTGAAAACTTACAGCAGCGTGACGAACGTAAACAGGATGGCTCAAATTAATGTTTTTTAATAAGAACAGCAGGCACTCCAATGTATAATATTCCTTTGCTTGTCCATCTTTTCCCGAACTGAGATTGATTAAAAAATCATTAACAGTTGTTACAAAATAACTACTTTATTAATTCATACCCCCAAATCATGTAATTTGTCTTGACATTCTTGGGCCATGCAAACTCGCCGAAAAGGATTTTTAAATCCTTCTCAACAATTTCCTTTTGATTGACGTGGTATTGTCGAAGTAAGCTGAGTGGGTCTGCCATTTCTTAAAATCCAAATGATTTTAACAATATTCCTTTGTTCCGATTAATAATATTGTTTTTAAGCCGGTTCGGTGCCGAATCGAATTTCTACAAATTAATAAATTCTCAATTAGTGTATTTCGACAAATCTTTTCACATGTCACCATATATTCAAAAACTAAACTTCATTTTAATAACTTATAAATTGCTAATTGAGACTAAAATAATGGAGTAAAGAGTTATTAAGGAGCAAACTTGATATTTTACTTCATTGTAATTTAGTTAGAACACTTACCGTGACCTGGTAGTATTATTGGATACGATGATAAGGGGTTGAAATATAACACTTTTTGTAATAGCAACTTTATTTAGTGTAGGACTGAAATATGCTGTATTTTTTAGGCGTTAAAAAACGTATCCTAATCTCATTTTATCTCAATTGAGTTTGAGTGCGATGCATCCTAGCTCCGTGTTTAAGACTTGCGACATGACATGGCTGAGTCGGGGTTTGATGCAACACAATGCCCGACAATCCTAAGACATACTCAATCTCACTAAAACATAGTCAGTAGGAAATCATGAAAACGGATTATGGATTTCATTGAAAATCCATAATCTCAAAATTAATGAAAACAGAAAAAATTATTATAATTATAATTACTTAGTGCTGATTAATGATTACTGTGTAATTAAAACACATCTATTGTGAGTTAAAAAAACTAAGATAAAATAAGAGCAAACAAAGAATTTATTCTCTGAACTTTTATAATGTTGTCAAAGTAGGTTGAAGGTATATGACGATATATAATTTTTCGAAACTCTTAAATTAATTATATTGTTATAAAAATCTACAGTGCGCAGATTTGATTTAGTCACGGTCAGAGTCCGCTTCTAAATTTTTCTCAGATGGCCCTTAACTCGATTACCAAATTGTTATGCAAAATTCAACGTCGCATGTTACTGCCAGCACAAGCCTGATCTATATACATGATCTCGCAAGGTACCATTCATACGGTATGAATAAAATTCATGGGTATGAATCATACACATGAATTTTATTAAAAGCCCTCACTCATGATCGGTTAAAACTTTTTAACGAGCGACGAGGATTTAAGAAATCAATTTCGATGATCCTGTAATCAAATGACCTGAGGTCAAATGTTGAGAATTTTGAAATTTTTGTTTTGACGATTGTTACATCCCATTTGTTTTCACCGTTTTGCATTTCTTTTGAAACTTTTTTTTTTTTTTGGGGGGGGGGGGGGGTAAAAATCTATTTACGTTTTTATTGACCCAAACCATTGATTAAATATAAAGTATATACTCCTTTGAATAAAAACCGTTGTCTACCTTAGTCGACATCTTGGAATAAAATGTGATGAAAAACTTTTCAAAAAATAGAAATTATAAGTTATCCATATGTACAACATGCACATTTACATAAATAATAAATGAAACAATAAATAATTAATAATGTCCAGATAGGTACAACAAGATCGAAAATATCGAAATCAAAAGATGGGACATGAGAACTACTGAAGTGATTGTGACAAATAATTAAGTTATTTTAGAAGGTTTGTATGAGATTTTGATGAGGTTATTGAGCTCAGTATTATTCGCTTTCAATATTTTTTAAAACAATGGTATTAGTAAATCTCAAATTGACTCAAATATACTACATAACGTATATCAGTCATTACTGGTAGCTCGCGTTTTGGTAGAGTTAGCGTGGAAAGGCAACTCAATTTCTGATAGCAGCTCGAGTAAGTTTGTGCATTTTGGAGCAGCAGAATAGAACAAGGAAATAGGCTTTGCTGCGCTATTTCTGCTGAATATATAGCTTACTTTTCAGAGATGCATTACAAAGAGCGCTATTACGGTAGATTTCCTCGCTCACTAACGACAAGTGGAAAAAAGATGGTCAATCCGGTATCAAATGTTGCATTGAATCATTACTGCAGAGTGCTGCACATACGTATTTACCTGAAGCGAGATGATAATGATGAACCAAGCGAATCTTTCCTATTTCTGCTCCACTGCCACCCACACCACGACAAGCAAGTAACCACCCCAAACCCACCCTCAACTTCGCAAGTCTGTAGAAACCCGAAGCTTTCTTGCTCATCTTTTTAGGCATTGCATCTCATCGAAACTTGGCAGTAGTGAGGAGAGTCAGGACGGATCGCAAAATTCTGCTCTGCTAGCTATCAACTTGATCCGTTTCCTCCAACCACTTTGTTTTAGCAAAAGAACCGTTGTTTACAACTACGTGGCTGCATTATTGCATTGCATACAGCCCAACTGTTGCTCTTCCTGTACGCATTGGCAAATTTTGTGTTGCATTTTTATATTTTTCTTGATTTCCCAGAAGAATCACGTTTAAATCCTAAGTTTTGAAAAGTTGTGTAAATTTATGCATCCGTTCTGATACTATTGCATTGTCGAGCACGGTGTGGTGGCGAGTTTATTTTAGTCGTGCTGTCATACCCCTCTGAATTGTGGTTAATCGAAAGGTGCAATATACATAATAAGAGTCGCATTATATTTTTTTGGGCCTATGTGCTGCAGCCATGGTTGAATTACAAGCGGCTATGATTTGTGAAAGGGAGTCGACATGCTGAAAATGTGTTGTGCAACAATGAGATTGGATAAAGAATGTGAATTAAAGTTGATATACCCAAAATCAGAATAATAAAACTCTTTCAAACGGCGTTAATGGAAGTAAAACAGCTGCTACTTTCGTCAAAAACTGTTTAAAACAGTCTGTTTTACCCACCAATTGGTAGACGATTTGCGAAATGAGTGATAACAACGCCAGCAATAAGAAGGTTTCAAAACCTACGGAGAAAAGTCATATTCTCAATTCGACCCCGAGTGTGAGTACGAGACCAGCAAGTGCAGCTAAAGTCAATCAACAGGTCTCAACCACTTTGACCACGATTGCAGGAGGAGGAACTAATGGGAAACCTCAACAGGTGAGACGAGTATGATTTTACGTCATAGGATGTACATAAGAGAATAACAGCTTGATTCACCTGTTGGCCGCCAAGTAGTCTGCTATTCAGTTATTACTTTGGATTAGTAGCACGTGTGAGTCATCAGCAACGTCCAAACCGAACTCTTTGTTCCTTTCAAATAATAATAAATATGTACATTTTACGCTTAACCTTTCAACCCTTTCACCATCTTTTTGAACGTTGTCAGTCAGCTTATAAAGGACTCTTGCTTCACTTTTCTGGAGTGAGTGGGTGAAAGAGAGTCGGTTCTAATTTTGGCTTGGTATTTGCATTTTCGTAAAATATGAAGATGGAAGAACCGTGTAGCGGAAGAGCAAAGAGTAGCGACAACCGAATGTAATGGAAGAAAGTCTTTGAGCTGGCTCACGAAATAGGCCGTGCACACTATGAAATCAATTTCCTTGGTTTATAAATCTGGTTAGACCAGGAGGACTCGGCGGATCTCAAATCTACCTGCGTACCATTATTCTATCATCCCTCTCTTTGAATGTATAAGTAATTGGAAAAGGAATTGTGTAAAGAACCCGGAATTAGGTTTAGGTTTGCAAGCATCCAGATTTTCCGGCCGTATAAAAGAAATATGGCACATATTTAACATCCTTTCGCGAGTGGTTACCGATGTTGACCTAATTCTCCTTGAGCTCAGTTAATTGAAACGGTTTACATACGCAAGAAAGTATAATAGACCTCCGTGATCAAATTATGGAGCGAGGTATAATAACATTATAGAGCTTTCAGAGTGATAACATGTCACCCATTTCCAGCGGTGGCTAGTCGGCGTATTTTACCATACACCTGATTTAATTTAGTCGAAGTTCATCCACATTTAGGTTAGAAAGGACGGCTTTTCGTTAGCGACGAAATGTCTACATCCATACTTCATCCATCCAGTAGGAAACTTTATTGCTTAGGGAAAGTAAGGAAAGTGAAAGTCCAGTGAAAAATCACTGCAGTGATGGTTGATGGATAAAAAAATCAAAGGCTTTGGGGATCTTAAGACCATGGCTTTTTAAAGGAATATTGTGTAATGTTAATGTTAATGTAAGTAGACTTGACGGCTGATTGTGGACGAGTTCTGTTGTGAGATTTCTCCAACGGTTGTCTGCTCCATGCTCTTTATTCAGTCTTTTGGAGGGGAAATGAAGGAGAAAGCAATTTAATGAAGTGCTCGATCTCGATGATCTACCTCGTCCATTATTACGCTGCTGCTGCTGCTGCTGGATGGAACTATAGCTTCTCGTTATTGAGATGAACAAATGGTGGTGTGCTGGTGAGAAAAGGAAATTCCTTTTATTGAATTCCTGACTTTACCAGAAAGAAATTCCATGCTTTTCACCCTCTCGCCTCTTTCTTCGATGGGCTCTATGTCCGCATATGTATAGGAATTTAAGATATTAGCAGACCATGGAATGCGGAGAAACCTGGATTTGTACGTGAAGGGCATTTTAAAACGTTTAAGTACGTATTAAAACTATTTCTGAACATAATTTTTCGTCTAATTAATTATAAACGCTATTCAGAAATGAGGAATAGGGTACGATTTCATTTCTAGCGATGGTTCCCTAGTCTATATACTTACATATAGGCAAAAATATTACAAATGAGATCATACTTTTCAGCAATTTGACATTTTTTTGCAGAAGAGTGGTTCGAAAAAGACGACGACGGGAAGAACCACGACCAACCAAGGGAGACCAGGACCAGGGCGAAAAAGCCAGGCACCCGGAAATCCTGAGAATGGAAGAAGCAACGTTTCATCTCCAACGAGCCCAGCCTCCATCGTGAACGAGAATGATATGAGCCAACTCGTTCAGCAGGTGGGTGGAGGAAGACGCTCCTCTTCTGTCCTCATAGAATTTTTCTGCCTTTTTCATGGAAAATGTAACATTTCCTGGAAATAAATTGCTCTCCCTGCGTGCTTATAGATGGACATGGATGAGGAAACTGAGCGAAAGAGTAGTATTGCCCATGCAAGCTACAATTACATCAACTCAATCCTGGGCAGTGGTGTGATTGGTGAGTTATCCAAGAGAAGTATTTATCCATAATATAGATATAGATATGTATATATGTACCTGGTCATAGTTCAGTTCATAATACTTTCACTCAATTTAGCCACACACTTGAACGCACTAATGATTTCTTTTGGAATTGATTTCATGTAGGAATGCCATACGCGCTACACCAAGCTGGATTATTTGCAGGACTGGGTCTAATGGCATTAGTGGCAGTGATTACCGATTATTCGTTGTTGATAATGGTCAGAGCCGGACATCTGGCAGGATCATTTACGTATCAGGTATGCTGACCAGGGGAAAGGCGATTATTTCACATGTAATTTTTCCTCCATGTCATATTTAGGGAATGATGGAATCTGCATTTGGGAGACCTGGCTTCTACATTCTTTCCGTAATTCAGTTCATGTATCCAGTCATAGGTATACCAAAAATCAAAAGGAAGATAGCATTTGACTTTTATTGTCGTAAAATTTGAATACTCTTTTGTAATCCGAATATAGCAATGATTAGTTATAACATAATTGTGGGAGACACCTTGACAAAAGTGTTAATTTATTTCTCCTCGGCCAAGGAAGAAAATACGGATGAACTTGAGTTTCAAAGAGAGAGTGTGGTGCTATTAGCCACGCTTTTTTGCACGCTTCCACTCTCATTGTACCGAAATGTTGCTAACTTATCCAAGGTGAGTTATTCGGTTCGGTGCAGCCCTTTTGCATAAATATGGGTCACACCGTTCGTCGTTAACCTAAATTATAAATTATCCAGGTTTCTTTTCTCTCGCTGGTGTCCATCGCTATTATTCTTCTCGCGATCATTGTGAGACTTGGAACCATGCACATGTAATCATCATCAGTGTTTTGTATCCTCATTTGCATACAAGTAGATTTTATAATTATCTCTTTGACTCTTCAGACCTCCAACTCCAGATGCATGGTCATTCATAAAACCTGGGGGAGTGATTTCAGCAATCGGAGTTTTTGCATTTGCATTCATGTGTCACCACAACACGTTTATGCTTTATGGATCGCTTAAAAATTCTACGGAAGCAAAATGGGGAACAGTGACTCATATCTCTGTTGGATCCTCATTCCTGGTTCGTATAGCACATAGTTATTTCTCCTGCATCGTTTCTCTTATGTATGTCAACTGGATATTTCCCATAGGTAAGCGTGGTCTTCAGCATGGTTGGTTACGCCACTTTCACCGGACAAGTTCAAGGTTCGTTTTATGCAATATAATGTTGATGATGATAACAATTTGTAGGAAGGGATGCAAACTTACTTGCTGGTCAAAAATATACATATGTATTCGTGCATAGGTGACCTTTTGGAGAACTATTGTTGGAACGATGACTTGATCAACTTGGCTCGGACTTTGTTCTGCCTCACCATTTTACTCACATTTCCTTTGGAATGCTTCGTGGCGAGAGATGTCATTGAAAATGTATTCTTTTCTGGAAAACAACCCCCAACCGCAACTCGACACTTTGGCATCACTCTATTGATCGTGCTATTGTGCTATGTAATTTCAATATCCACGGACTGCTTGGGAGTCGTGTTGGAACTGAATGTACGTACTTTGCCATTGGACTGCGATTTGATTTTTAAGCTGGCTAATTTTAACTGTGGAATAATATTGTTGTAGGGAATACTGGCTGCAATGCCATTGGCATATATTTTACCTGCTCTTTGCTACATCCGTTTGGACCCATCTCCTTTCCTCAGCAAGCACAAGTTACCAGCGATTGCCACTGCAATATTTGGAACTTTAGTTTCTATAACAGGACTCATAATACTCCTTGTCAACGGACCGTCGACCGAGCATTGCAGCCACGGTCAGCAAATGGCATACTGCACAAAAGGTCCCAGTCTCAATTCAAGCATACAGGCAGCAGCTTTGACAGGAGTTCGTTCTTCAATGTTAGAGTCACTACCAAGTCCAATTCAATGACCAATTATTATACATGAAGCAACTATTGTTACCAAAAAGTACCCGCTTACACTCTAAGTAGAATAAATAAATAAAACACGTCATAATAATCAATTATGATTATTTTTTATTAACTATCCTACAAGTTGCGATATAAATTACATATACGGCACTTACATATATGAGCTACAACCATTTAAAAACTACAAGAGATAGTTATTTATATGGGTATATGGCTATATAGTATTAACCAAACGATTTAACTGGCGAGGTAGCAGAGTCATCCTGAATAAGTTATAATTGTAAAAGTATTTTGACTTCGTATTTAGTCTGTGCACAATACGCAAATACGAATTAAACTAAATAATATAGCTGCAACGTAAACACGTGGTACTTTCGTAGATATTTCTGCATTTGACTAGGGCATATTATTTTGATTCAAGTTTATTGCAAACTGCTAACATAATTGTCGAAATTAACATGTCTAATAAACAAAGAAGCTTTGGACTGTTTGTCCAAGCTATATGATGCAATAATGGTCTGAGATCTGTAGACACTTTGATGTCCATTCACATTTCTCTTCATCTCCTAACGAACATGAAGCTACTTAACATTTATTATTTTTACTCTGTTATACTCGGTTAGTCGTGAATATATTATTTCCTATTGTAAACTTATAATAACCAAGACTGCTATCTCGATATTGAATTAAAAATCTTTGAGGAGCAGATTATTTCTAATCAACACTACCCATCATATAACATTCCTGTATCAAGCCTAAATAGGTTCGTGACACTTGATTTCACCTAAAATCTAAGTCACATTTAATTCAATTCAAGGCACCTTAAACTCTAGGACAGCGTCAACAGGCAAATACTTATTCTATGTACCAATAAACCTATGTCGTGTTTGATTCTTACTATTTCCTACGTTCATATTCTTTGTATCAGCCCAGAGTAGGGCGCTATAACAGTCAGTCTAACAATCAAATTAAGTTCTAATTGCATTGTCTTATTATTAGTAGTTTCTTTTTCATTCAATCATTCAGATTTTACGCTTGCTTTTTCTTGAGGAATCGTATTAGATGGCCCAGATCCATTCTCCAACCCTCCTTCGGTGCGTCGCGGTGGTTTGCTTCCTCCATCTTTTACAAGCCACTTGATTATTGGTGCATATGCTGGAAATGCTCCAAAGATTAGTAAACCACTGTAGTAAAGATCTGTAAAATAATGAGAAACCTCATTATTGTTGTATGTATTATGACCTCATTATTTACAATGTACAAATAAAAATACCTTTATATATGGGTCCCCACTGTCGATACTTCAATAAGGTGAAAGGAACCATGCAGAAACCAAAATAGCACATGACGAATGTTTTGAGTATAACAACGTTGATCCAAAATCCAATAGTGCTATTATGCCATCTCATTAGAGCAGAATTTTTAGTAATTATAGATTCAAACTGTTTCTCAGCATTCATAATGAGGAACTCCATAAAGAAGCATACATAGTACCCACTCTGCAAATTAAATAAGAAATTCAATTTAATTTTGTTCTGAATATTCTTACATATTCTGCAGAATGTCTAAAAATATGTAATATTCTGCGCGCTTACGTGTAATCCATGCCACACGGCCAAAAATACTAATGCTGCAGTTTGAGAGATTTGTCGATTCCCCAAGAATTTTAACCGTTTGTACACATTTCTAAAAAAATATATATAATCTAGTTATCATATGAGGAACTTGTTCCGAAAGATATACATAAATGTAATATGAGCATTATAAGTTGCATATTATACTCTTACTGAGCAACCCAGGTATTTGTGCATTTGTTGAATGATCCAACCATATGACCAAATTTGTATGACTTTTCAAACAAATATATGTCAATGTTTTCACAGCCAGTCCATTGTATGACACCTTTGTCATTCTTCCCGTTATACGAGATTCCTATGTAATAAAAAACGTTAATTATGTGTTTTATTAATTGTATTACTTATTAGCAAGTTTATAGAATATTATGTAATCGCAATACCTGAATATATGCAACTTCCCTCTGCAACAATCCAGCAGCTTACGTACTTGTAAAGCACAATTTTCCCATAAATTCCCACGACCAGCATTTTCATAATGAAGTTGAGATTCTGTAACAAATATAGAGTCAATACTAGAACTATGCAAATAATATATGAATTACTAGATAGTATTAAATACATAATACACCCCTGAATTTGATTTTTAGGTCATCACATTAACATACCTTGAAAGTTGAAGAGAACAAGAGTTCGGAATTTACATAAATATTCCCAATCTGGAATATGCCCACATAGAACAATCCAAGAGCGAGTCTTTTCATTGCCGGTCCAATGCTATCAAAAGGCTTTCCGTTCTACAAAATATTATTATATGCCTTCGTGTTATTAATAAATTTTTTCAATTATAAAAAGTGTATTAATAGTCGATAAGTATTACCTCACTAAATTTTCCTTCGACGAAATCCAAATATCTTTTCATCGGATATTGCGGACCGATCATGAAACTACCCGGGTAGAATATATGTGCAGCGGACGCAAGTAGCGAAGGCATTGTCTTAAGAGCTTGCTGTTTTTGGTCTTTAGATAGGTCATCCTATAATAACAAATATATACCTCATATACAGTCCAGCCATGTTTGTATTTAAAAGAATAACATGATCATTAGCTTACGAAATCACGGTGGCCATCGTATACGTCAAAGGCTTGCCCAATTAATCTTAGAGTCAGCACACAGTGAGGAATTCTGAAAAGGAATAAAAGTGTCATTATTAAATTATCGAATTCTAATTAAACTTTCATGTGTGCAAAATGACTTGGGTAGGAGTCATGTCGAGGAACAACTTGTATGTACATACTCAATGGAACGTTGTAATAAACTTACGTCCATTTGATGTCGTACTTTTCACTTTCCGTAAGATAATATTCTATGAGAAAATTATAATTTTTTTTAGATACATTATGATATTTGTTTCACTTGAATGATTTAATATTACCTGCCAATAAATACCCCATTTGAAACACAAAGGCAAATACTACCGAAAACAATGTTCCACGGGAAACCCAAACCACAACGTATTGGATGAGTATGCAGACATATGCATGCATTAGCTGCCAACCTTTATGTAGAAACATTAATTAAACTTACTACTACATTAAGTATATAGAATTTGACATTTTGCTTGAAACAAACTCACCATAATTGAAGTATCCAATATACGATCCACACAAGATGAATAAAATGTGTTGTAAATTATGATACTTTCCATACATGAACTTTCGATGAAAAAATGCCATTGGGTAAGCTATACACCATTATAGTAAAATATAATAATTGTTTAAAGGCACCAAGTCAAGACATATAATATTTTAATATTTATTATAATAATATTTTATACCCATTAGTAAGGAGATAAGAAGGCGAAGGGCAGCACCTATGACGTTTAATTTAGTTTATGAATTATCGAACCGAAATAAGCAATAAGAGAATATTTTTCCAGTTTCATGAACTCACCTGGTGCCCCTATGCGCTCCCCCAAGGCATCTACCCAATCCCCATAAACTGCCATGACTTATTCAAAATGTGCGAAGGAAGGGAGTGAAAATTCAAGTCATGAACTTCCTCCTGTAGAAATAAGGCAAATACTAATCATTATCTGTAACTTTTTCTTTTGAACACACACACAATTACTTTTAACAGTCTTAGCATTTAAGGTTTATCTTTACTGCTTACAAGGGAGTAAAACTCTACATATGTATACAAAATCAAGTTCATTCATGAATCCAGCACAACTCTCATCATTATTAAATCACATCCCAAGTAAATCTTACATTTCGATTGATCTTGCTGACCAACGACAAACAGTCAACAACCTGATATCATTCATGAGTAACTTTTAGGCAGTATTGCACAGAATACGCGATTCATGACTTGCAGAACTATTTACTATTTTAAAATTATCTCCTCTTCATTACAATTCCGAGACACTTGTCAAATAAAATTTCTTAATCAGTCGTGAATCACCCACCCACGCCATCATTAATGTATACTTGTTGTGTTGAACTAAATCGTAATAAAATGAAAGAATATTTAATTCTCGAACCTATCTCATGACACGGGGATGAATAATATGCAGTTTTTTCTCCTTTAAGGATTTTCCTGTTACAGCTAGAACAAATAACAACCAAAAAAGCAGTGTCTTCAATAAATTTTAAACTATGAAATGAACTTTTTATGCCCAACAACTGCCTCGTCGGTTAAATTCTATACAACAGTATGTCTTACTGCCTGGGAATTCCATAATCATTTGATTTTCTTTTATTACTTCATTTCTCAATTGTTGAACATATTACACGCCGTCGTTAACTCAAACTGAACGATACGCATAATCTTCCACAAAAAATACATATTTCTTGGTATTGCAATGGCACAATCATGCAATCCAAATCATGGGTGGCGATGATGATGCTGATATGAATTACCCATAGATCTCAGTTAAGCCTCTTGTTAATTTCGTCATTAACGCCACAATACCACATCAGCCCATACTATAGTCTGACTGCACTTGCCGCAGTAGTGTACGCAATTAAATGATGAATGACAATCCGTAATTTTACTTGTATGTGTGCATTAACATATTCTTATGTCTTACGATGAAACACTTACCAATATGTTCACTATTCCTGTTCACCAGACGGACTAATAATATTCTCAAGCACAAAAATACCTCCACTGCACAAAACTAGCTTTTGTAGCTTTGCTTGCAATTGCACTTGTTCAACTTGTTCTAGTTGAACCTCCAGTATTAGTGAGTCAGTAGTGCAATCTGCTAACTAGCACTGTTTATGGCACAATACATGACTGTTTTAGGCGGATGGCGACATATTTGACAAACTTTCACTTTTGTGGGACAATGTCGACCAAGAACAACAGATAAACTTACCGGAAGTTGGATGACACGGCAAAGAAGGACTGTGGATGGCGCTTTTGGGGGAATTTTGTGACTTTCAACCCAACCGCCACAGCTCAAACTTTCGCCAACAACTATGATGCCGTTACCTTATAACCCCAATTTTACTTAACTGCTAAAATATAGTGAACTCGACGTTTTTGAAAAGTTAATTGTTTTGACCTCTGTCAATATAGTTGATGTTTGGTTTATCAGACGCAGAGCTGGACAGATATTAAACTAGTGTGCTGTTGCTGTGTGTTGTTGGGCTGCACTGGTAGGTAATACAAGCACGGTTGTGAATTGTAAATTGACTCCAGTCTAAATCTACGTCGCATTATTTGTGATTTGATATTGCTAGTGATATGGGATTGATTTATTGATCCTGAGTAGAATTGTGGTTTGTGCGCAAAGTAGAACAACACAATTTTTGTTTGACTAATACTCTAATGTATGTAGGTTTTGACAATAAAATCGATAAGAAGAGCTGCGGACACAATGATGCTTATTTCTGTTAACCATACAATACAACAATGAGAAGGAATTGACTTTTCTGATTGTTATTCATACAAAATGGATCTATCTGATGGATCTGATGGGGAAGGAGATTATGAACTGGACGAAAATGCACTTCTAGGATCTGATGATGAGGATGCTGGAATTGTAATTGTATTTATTTGTGGTACAAGTTTTGTTGGTGAACTTCTTCCAACTAAGTTTTGTTTATCTGTAGGTTCAACCTCGTTATTCGAAATTTAGCGAAAGTTCTGCTAATCCTCAAGGTTTTGAGGATGAGGAACATACTGTTGCCGAAGACGGGTAAGAAGGAACATTTCACAGAGCAGTATTGAATTTCCTCACCTACAAAATCAATGAATAATTATTTAATTTTTACTTTATCTTGCTACTAGTGACGTTTTGGATCTAGAACTGAACGAAGACGACGGATTAGAATTTGCTGATGATCCTCCCATGTGTCCTTCTAATAGCGAAAAAGTTGCACCCGTTCGAGTAGTTACCATTTCAAACGCTAGTGACTCATTAAGAAATAATGTAGTAGCACCGAATACAGATGGTTATCAGCATCAAATGCCAGAAAACTATGAAGATTACACCGATGATTACGAAGATAGCGGCCGGTTCGATGAAGACGACGATGATGACGGCGATAGAAACACTAGAACACGATTTCATAGTGAGAGAAATACAGAAGATATGATCACAAGTTCGCAACAGATCAAGCCAAATTCCTTTCCAATTCAGACACTGGGTATTAGATATGGATTCACAAAAAAAGCATTCCAATAATGTTTTAAAATTTAATATTTACTTAGAGTTAGAATTTAAGCTTTGTTTTTTTATTAGGAAGTGGAAAACAAGCCGCACCTGCTGATAATCATAATAATAATCAAAGAAATTGGGGTCGCAACCCCAACCATGGACAACAGCATCAACCTAGTCAATTTCCTCGTCCAAGGTTTCACGGAATGAGGAATTCATTACTTGGAGATCGACCTCGTGGAAATCAAAATTTTAATCAATTCCATCGCCCACGTGGGATTGGCGTTCGAATGGATGGACTTGGACTCCGGCCTCCCATTCCACAGTTTCAAGGGGGGCGTGGTTTCGCAGGCTACAACCAACCTCCTCGCATTCCAAATCCTCATTGCCCACCACAAATTATGGAACAAGGTCCTCACCACCCATTTCCTAACCAAACGCCGCCAAGGCCAAGAATGCAAGGTCCATCTCCAGCAAATATGTTAAACGCACAGGGAATGGGACAAAACAATCCAAGATTACCTATGCAAATGCGCCAGCCGCGACCAATAATTCGACCTCGTGGTGGAGGAACAAACATGTCCCGTCCTCATATGCCCCCTAATCAATGGAGAAATCAAAGGCTACCACAAGGGCAAAATCAATTTCCAAGAATGCCAATGAATCCGGGCCTTCTTGGACAGCCTAACATCAACAACAATAACAACATGAATTATATGCCAGGCCCTCCTGGTCCTAACATGTTTTCCCCTCAAGAAGCACATTTATTTATGGAACAAGGACTTATTCGACCTGAAATGCCACCACCTCAAATGCCTGGTGTCCAGTTTAACCCATTTACCGGACAACCAATTCAGCCCTTCCCTCAACCACAACAAGTTGGCTTTCCTGGTGGGCAACAACAAGGCCAGCATGGATTATCTTTGATGGTCACTCCCCCTCATGAGATGTATCCTCATAATAATAATACTAATAATAATAATGTCCCCCAACAACAAAACCCATTCTTTCAACAACAACAACCGCCACCACGGGAGCATGTACAATATAGTCAACATTTGAATCGATGGCCTGAACCACAAGCTAATTCTTGGCCAGCTACTCCACCTCATGGTCCAACTATGCCTTCAAATTATAATCTACCAGCACACATGGGAACCAATCCGAACCAGAATAACGATGTCTTTGTACATCAACAGCAACAACAACTTCAAATGGTTGATCATAATCTTCACTCTGGTGGGTCACGGACAGATGAAACTCAGAATTACCGAATGAATCAGCTAACTCATGATAACTATCAGCGCGAGCAATCATCATCGGAGCTGGATAGTCGTGCTCACGGGCAAAAACAAGATCGTCATACATCACGATCTGACCATGATAGGAAGTCTGAAGCCAGTTCATATGATCGCAGAAGCTATGCTGATAGAAATGAGTACTCACGAAGTCACGATAGGTATCCGATTAAAAGAAAATATGACGAAGAATCTCCACATCGCAGTTACGACAAAGTAAGCACGATTTTCTAAGTATTTGTGAGCAACTTGAATGATGTGTAGCATCTATTTTTTAACGAAATATTTTTTTAGTTGCCAAAAAGTCGCTGTGAGAGGCTCCCCTCTCCTCCACCAACAGATCCCAAGACTGACGAATTACTAAAAATTCGCGAAGAAGCAAAGGTGATCAATCTATTATCTCTAATATCACGTTTTAAATTTAGTTGTCAAAAACTAAATGTCATTTAAAATTGTTATTATTTGAATTTAACGTATTTTTTTAGAAAACAATTGGGCTTGACGATGAATATATAAGGAAATTGGAAGCTCAAGCAAAGTTGCGAGAGGAAATATTGCGCAAAAAAGCAGCTTCTCGGAAAAAGCTCACCGGTTCTGACGAACCTGACACAGTCACGGCACAACATGATACAATTCGTCAAAAGGCCTCTTCTAGGTCATCGATTTATATTAACCCCAAAGCTTTTACAGGAGACTTGAATCCGCTGGATGGAGCAGAGAGTGAAAGTGCGAAATCCATGCACCTGTATACGAACTCGGCTGGGATAACTACAAAGCCCCGCAAGGTATTGAAAATTGTGAAGGACAAATACGGGAATATTATCTCAAAGAGTAAGGTAAAGTGGTTGAATTGTTTAATTATTATAATCATTAATTTTATTACCTTGATGTCGTCATTCTGTTGTAAACCTGTTGTCACCAGATTGTTTGTAGTGAAATTACTACTTTGAATCTCTCTCAAAGATCTTACATATTTTTATTCGTCGTATGGTCTCATTTATCTACGTTCTTGTTGCCATCATTAATTGAAGTATTGATTAAAATGAGACACATTTATGTCAAGTAAAATGTGGATAGTGGGTTCTAGAGTAGTTTTGCAGCTTACTGTGAACCGGTCCCAGAAGAAATCTGCTTCAACGATAAATCCAAAATTGAACGCCTACAATCAAACCAACTCCCCAACCAACCAGTGGGACCACGAAATGGAAACGACACACATATCTATAACCACATAGTGGTCGATATGATGATAGCTGTTATAACTATATTACAATTAAAGTTTGAAATATATCACTGTATCAGGTTTCTTATATACGCGTAATGCGTGTATACGATAAACTGTAACGGTGGGATATTTCAATTTAATTTATCGTCCCTGAATTAATTCTTCTTAATAACGAAAGATTTTGGTTGACCTATCGATTACATAACTGAGGTGGCGCACTACAAATATTGTTTGTTGTTACCATTAATTCTCAAGTTAAAAGTACTAGCTACATACTACTTGATCTAGTATCTATTACTAGTCTCGTTGGAATTACGGGGTCAGATATGTCAATGCCAATATTAATGAGTGATCTGTGATATTTTAGTTTTAATTGTTGTCAGCACGTTAATATTGGTTGTGTATTGTAATGTGATGATTGTAATTTTCATGAATGTCTCAGGTGATAGTTGTGCCAAAGCAGCATCAAGACGCTCGTACCACATCTGCCTAAACTAATCATTTGATTAGCAAAACTCAGAAACAAAAAGGAAGCAAAAAGTGCAGCGCAACATTACGATTTTAGTCTTATATACATATGTATAGTTAATAGGTATTTAAACATGATTATAATTTATCTCTACTATTATGATGTAAAAGCAAAACATTTTTGACGTAATTAATTATGACATAACTAATTTTTTTCTGCACTATTGTGCTATATATATATATATATATAGGCGTACGTAATATCATGGCTATCCACTGTTCGTTAGACGACTTTTTCCTATTTTGTTTTCTAAACTATATGTATAGCTTTATCGGACATTACAGTTTTTAAATCAGTTAATATCTTGTACGTACATACATGGGCAGCTAATAATTTTATTTAACAAATATAAAAATTGACCAGATTTGTCTTGCTTTAAAGGTAGTGGTTAGGGTTTTTAATTAGGTATATTAGTCGCGTTAAATTTCCCAATAAAAAATAACGAGACAGATAGGAAATAATTTTATGTAGCATATTATTTAATTAATTAATTAATTCGTCGATGGAAGCAGCTCGTATTCGGATTTGGATTGCAGTTGGAAACCGTTTCTAATCCCTCTTCGTTGGAGTTCTACGTGAAAACTGAACGTAATATAATGAAATATTTGTCACAGTACGACTTGTACTGTGCAAGCTATTTTGAACTGTACTGTGTATTTATATTTATTTTTTTCCAATTTTTTGTTAAAATTGTTAAAGACGTTTTCAACAAATTGTTTATAGTGACTCAACTTTTATTAACTTTTTAGCATATTAATAGAAATGTAATGATTTATTGCAAAGAGTTTAATAAAAATACAATATAAAAACGAACAATTTTCGGCTTACAAATTATCATTTTCCCAAAGTTTTGTTTCTGCTTTAGTCATTGACTTTACACTTATTAGTTCCTTGAGCAGTTTTGAATTTGACCTATCGTCCGTTGTGGGGCTATAAATCTGATGATCCCCAACATAGCAATATGGTAGTCTTAAAACCCAGTATGACGAAGGAGCAAGTTTGACTGGATCGGAAATTCCAGGAGTGAATACAGGACAAGGCGAACTGGCTGGTTGGACTTTGGGAAAAATCATGCAATGGACGGGGGCCTTTGGGGTAACAATATGAACTCGAAGTAGTTGAGCAATCATTGTTCGTCCGTCGCGACTTTCTCTGTGAATAAATACATTTAAAAAATGTATTAACATTAATTTTTATAGGAAACTTGTGAATATATCTACATAGGAGGAGAACATAGGTCCTTTTCAACGCCAGATTGATAGCCTTTGGATATGTTGTAGTAATAGGTGAGCGTAAGAAAAATGAAGGAGGGTCCACAGCTACTCTAACGCCTGCCGCACCCACTTAAAGGGGCAGCAAAGTCGAAAAAGCCCTGTTGGTACTGTTGGTACTCGTTCAAACCTTCCCCCAAAATACAATTTTTATCAGATTTTGAAAATTATTTTTCAAGTTTTTTGCCATTTTCAGTCTTTGAGTGGAGGGGGCAGCCATCGACCTGGTCTTCTTCACTTTTGCGACACTCACCATTACTGGTACAACGTATTCAAAGGACATCAAAATCTGCCATTGGAAGGTCGTACGTTCTCCTCCGTATTTCAACTTACTTGCAAGGACAGTTAAAGTATAATGGCAAGTCTGACCCTGCAATTTTAGCTGCAGATTCTCGCAGTCCTACATTCCCAATATTGAAATTTACAATTTTGTCTACATCATTTGCCATGAAGCGATGTCCTCGATGACATTCATACTCGTAACCAAAAAATACTTTGACGTTGAATTCATCTGAAATTGGCTTGGGTTTGGTAGAATGTCTCCGACCCCGAATAATCCGAGGAACTGGTTTTGAAACGCCTGCCTCAGCTTTCACTTGAACATCCCAAGGTAAGAGATAATGCGTTCCGGATAGGAATCCAGTCCTTGGCGAAATACCAGATGAGTGATTGTACAAACTTGAGAAAAAATTGGGTATATTCTAAGGTTAGGTTATCTCGTTGGGCATACCTTATTAAATTGTTTAGTTTATCCATACCTTGACATCCCCAGTCTGAGAAGAGACCAAGATGAGAATTTTGGAAGTAATCCAATCGGTGATTTTGAATGTATCATTCCAGGGAGATATTCAGATTGGTCAGAGTAGTTGTGTGAAGCCTGCTCAGCATTCTCAAACACAAGTGTACCAGCAGTAGAAGCACTCTCTGAATCATCATATTTTGAAGTCGAATCGTTTTGTATTTCTTCAGACACTTCGTTCATTTCTTGACTCTCCTGACTAACGTCTGAAGGGTCGTCGCATTCATCGCCCATTTCATTCTCGTCTTGTCGTAAGTCGATTTCCATTAGTTGGGATGCATACGAATGTTTATCTTCTACGCAAACTTTGTTGTTGAGATCATTTTGTTGAGCATCAGATTTTAATTTCAAAATTTTCAGCATGTCTTCCAACGATAACTCGGATTTAGCTGTGGGTGTAAAGACAGGAAATTGGATGCATTCTAGTCGATCACAACAATCTTTCCCAATTCTTTGATAAAAGCCAAAGTTTGCTTCACGTATAGTAAACGGCTCATCTCTATACCCTTCTTTTCTCCCACAGTTGCAATGAGAGTTTATTCTACCGCCAGCATTATGTTTCATTTCTTGAAGACTTGAATCGCTAGTAACAAACCAAACATTCATATTAATAATGAATAATGTACAAGTGCTTATGACTATGAGTTAGTTGAATTGATTCCCATACAGTTCAGGAGCTGGATAGATTTCTAAGCTGTCATCAGGAGGAACCCGATGTAGAGGATTAACACAAGGGTGGTTAAACAGACTCAAGATTTCACACTGTTGTCGACCTCTTCTCCAATATTGCTCGCACTTCTCAGCCAATTTATTTAACCTGGAATTTAAGGGAACAAGCTTGTTAAAGTTGCTCAGGTTTTCATTCCCAGCACTGAATTTGGGAAACAGATTTTGTCAAGTTAAGTAGGGGTCTTAGAAGGTGGTTTTTACGTTACATAATTTATGGATCAATTCTGTCTGTCAATGAACAATATTTATGGCTGAAAACTTTCTTCTCGATTACAAAATTTGTGATGTGAGTAAAATGAGGCAAAATTACCAGGGTAGTATTCCATGTCCTGGATGGTTGTATTATGGAAGATAAAAATGGAGAACAATTAAATAAGCCAAGGTTAACGGTTATAGTTTAAACTATTCGTACCTCGCGATATGGTCAGGTATGCATTCATAGCATGGGTTAACTAATACGAGTATTATAAATAAAAATAATTGGATACATGTCCATTTTACACATAAGTTACACAAGTTTTAAGCCAATACCCGACGTCGATGAGTATGTTCAGAATAAAATTCCGGAAGTCCCCTTTGGTACACAGCGAATATCTTGGGGAAAATTGTTGAGCACTGACTATGAAGGTATTCCGAGTCCACATTAATGTACCTCATGAGTTTGTCGAACCCCTAAAAATAAACAGAAAATAACAGTAATAAGCAATTAAGTTCTTTACATACTAATTACAAGTATTACACATTTAGCGTATTTATATATATATATATATTTATGAAAACATTATAATAAAAATTTGTGTCTATTACTTCCGTCACTCTCTTCATTTTATTGCCTGGGTTAAGAAGAACGTCGTATAAAATCTGAAAACCAATCTTCCACTCGCCCAGAGTAGGAACAACGAAAAAGTGCTTGTGCTCTGCAACTCTTCGACTGTCGTCATCAAATCCTTTCTCCAGTGCCATACGAGTATGATGCAAAATGAATTCTTTGAACTGATTGAGAATTGTATGGTAAGATACTGGATAAAGGGACTGCCCTTGAAGCGATGCCCCAGATAAATATTGAATACTTGTCCCCGATGCACTTTTGCATGTTGGGAAGAGCGATGTGAGTAGATTGTCACCCGTTGTTTCCATATTACATGCCTGAGCAATTGTTTCTTTATATATTTCTTGAGGTGATGTGTCGAGACAGGACACTTTTTCAGCCGTCTTGTCGAAAAGAAAGATATAGTCTTCTTCGGAAGGAATGGCAAATAATGAGTTGGCACTGTGAATGAAAGAAAGAAAATCATACGAAGTATTTCCTCATTCATACATGATTTCCCTCGCGTGAAGAAACTATTAATAATACCTAATATTTGTTACAAGTCTGCATTTTCTAAATATGTTGTAGATCTGACTTTCCAGTTGAGCCTGCTTTTTATCAGATTCTCCAAAATGAAAATTTTTTGCCGTGAGGTCATAGGCCGAACTGCCTGGATCAACCTCGAAAAGAAACAGCATCCGTGGTGAACAAATTCTTGCATGGTAACTCCAATCCTTAGTTAGCGTTCCAACTTTCTCCAACACTTTACTCATTGTTGGCTTAATTAATAATCTTACAGAATCAAGAATTCGAAAAAGGTGTAAATAATTAGTATTAAAGGAGCTTCTACTCTCGGAGAAGAATATAACATGCGAGAGAGAAAAGATGAGGAGCAAGTATCGACAGTAAATGGACTTCATAGTTGACCAAACTGGAAGTAAACCCTGTGAAATGATAATCAATACAAATCCAAACCTTATAATTAATAATTAATAACTATACAAACAATAATTGTAGATATCTAAACATCATGTATTATTACCGATTTTTGAATACTTTGTTGCAGCTCTTCTGCTGCATCAAGTAATTTTAACGGGTCATCTGCACCACTTAGGTTAAGGAATAGAATCGCTTCTGATTTTGCAAAAAATGCGTCAATTTCACACTAGTTAGAAGTTAAATAAAAAATCAGAAACATTATAATACAACTACAACTATTTGTCATATTTGAACTATTCAAGGGAATTGGCATACCGTGTTCAGTAATAAGTCTCTATTCTTATCATCATTGATTGTAGGAGCAGCTTTTACTTTGGATGGCTTTGTCTGATCTTTATCCACTTTCTCCTCGTCCGTGTTCCAAACCCCATCGCCGGTTTCAACTTGTTGATCTTCTGACCCCACATTTTCTACGACTTGAAGTATTTCTTCCGACTTTTCGGTCTCTTCATTGTCCCTACTGCTGCGTTCTTGTTGTTTCGACTTTTTACCCAAGATGCGAACATTCCCAAATGCGTCAATCGCAAGTCTGAAAGCTCGTTTGAATCCGGTGTAATTTGTGATTCCAGATCCGATCACGGCGACAACAGCGATTTTTTCATCTTCCAGTTCTGGAGGAATTACGGTCTGTGGTTGATTTTTGCGAATCACTTCAATCACCTCCGGTGGTTCCAGATTTGACAAATCAAGTTCCGGCTCGAGGTTGAACATTGAGACCTATGCGGAGGATACACTCAGATATTGTCCAATTAGAATGAAGCCACGACATGATCCATACTTGTAAAATGTGTGGTTACTAACTATTTTATTATACGTCGTAATTATTTTATATTATAAATAACAAACTAGCATGATCACCGTGTGGTGGAAAAAGTCCGGGTATTATTGGCTCCCACATCATTTTGGGGCAATGGGACAAAATTCAGACAACTTTCTCCTACTTTCTCCTACAAACAACCAAATTATTGCTATTTCCTGTTTTCTGACCAGACTTTTACTATATGTCAGGGTGCTAGTGGAATGGAAGGATGCCAGTGTTCAATTCATGAAATCATCATTTTATTTATTTCAATTTCTGTTTTCACATGCATACAACATTTTTAATGTATTATTACATACATGTATATTCTCTAATTTTTGGTTATTTTTTCATTAGATGCGACTGCTTCTTATATAGAAATAGTACTTGGCAATTGGCCTTGAATGTGCTACCATGTACCAACTAGGACTTATTTATGATGAGCAGTCTCAGTCTGACCACTCAGCAAAATCGTAATTAGGGGTAGTCGACAGCGATATTTTGCGTGTGGTCATCATAATAGTGAAGAAGAGCAGTTTTTATTTATTAGGCAGAGGAAGGAGCAGTATTCATGAGGAGTGACTAATATTTCACCTAATTCATAAATACCTACTTATTGTATACATGTATATATGAATAAATATATACATACAAATAAATTAGATTGAGCTATTTTGCACTTTGCAGAGGTTGCTTTGTTCAATTTCCTCCTAAAGCTTAATACATATGTACAGAATTTACTACAGATACGTCATCCTAACTAATTTAAATAATATATATATTCACGTATTCTACTTTTGTTGCTATTTGACTTGATTTCTACAATGCTGATTGCATCAATTAATCGATTAAACAGTCAGTTCTTACATACATAAAATAAAGTTAGAGTAAAATAAAACATTCTCTCTGAAAAATATCGATGAAATACAGAAATCTTCTAGCAAAAAAATAGTCAACAACAATAGTCTAATAAATATAATAGATCACAATTCACTTTCTTTTTCGTTCACTTGTCAAATTAATAATCGTATAAGTATTATCCTCTCGTGAGTAGAAAAGCATAGTAAATGCGGCATATGAGTGTACTAACTACATGCATGATATGACTTTCTGGATTATATAAACCACTTGCATGATAGGTTAGACAGGAGTATGAATTGACACAGTTTCCACATTATTATCTGTTGTGGATTTAATTCTACGAGGCTTGCCGTTGGTTTCCTCCTCATTAAGTGATTCAGGTGGTGGTTGTGTGATCTGGATGGTCGTCGTCGTTGTTGTGGCGTTCGTAGCGACATTGTTGGAGGCGTGACTTTCGCTGTTGCTCTGACTCATGCTGTTGCTGCTGCTGTCTCTGCTCTCACTCTCGCTGTCCCTCTCGCTCAGCTCATCCCGTCCGGTGGGAGTGGTCGTCGACATGGTGAGGACCGAGTGGGGTCTCTCCCTTGGGTGATGATTAGAGGAGGAGGACGCCACGGTGGACATGAACTTGGAGTGGTCAAAGTTGAGGGTGTGTGCAGGGTGCGACTCGCGGATGAACTTGGCTGGAAGGGGTGGAGCGGGTGGAGAGAAAAAGTGGGCAGCGACGGAATGAGTGCCACCAACAGGTCCCAAAGTTTTGCTGTTGCTGATGCCAATTTGATCTCTGTCCTCGGATTTCCGCTTCTCGTCCTCTCGACGATGAAGTAAGTCTTGCTTGATTTTGATGCCCAGTGCTCGGCTCAAAGAACCCTGAACCAGATAGAAATACAAATGATTCAATAAGACAAATCAATATTCATGTGTATTTTGTACTTCAAAAAAACGACAAATGTTAATCAAGTGAGATCGTGTGTGTAGCTGCTAACCTGTGAGCTCCTCCAAGTAGAAAACTATGAGGTGCAAAGATAAAAAGTAGTTGTTAGTAGTTAGTGCTTTGGTACAAATTTATGAAATGCTAATGTAGAACGAGAAAGTTCAGCAGCAGAGCAGAGAGAATAACAATGCAATAAGTCACGATCACGATACGAGACAATTTGTCACGATTCACGAAAGCGGATAGATTTTTATTATGATTAGCAATTGTAATTGTTACTAGTATTAGCCTGCACCTTTTGGGCAAATAGATGACTGTAACTCTGCCATTTTCCGGACATGGGCAAAAACCACATTAGTACCATTATTATCAGGTTGGGTGGGGAGGGGTGTAGAAAGGAAGAAAACAACAAATATGTATATTATAATATGTACATATAATTATGTATGTCAGTGCAATATATCTCCAACATCACTATCATCTTTTTTAGTTCAAAACTCTGTTATATATATAATGCTCTATTTAATTAGTGTTCTTAAGGGAGCGTAATTTTTGCCTGTCTTACTCGTAAGCTAGTCCTCCTCCTATTGTCTTCAGTGCTGCGACGAAATGCCTCCGAGGTTAGTGCGGCGGAACGGCCCAAAGAGTCGGAGCGTTGCTTGTCCAGCATGTGCTGAGCTCGGGACTTTGTCATCCGATACTGCTGAGTTATCTTGGCTCTGAAATTTCATCATTTATTTTAATACGCTCATCTTAAACGTAAACGACAGAAGAAATATTTTTCAAGCAATGCATACCTTGCGGGTGATAACATTGCTTCCAACCTTAAATTGGGGAGGAAAGAAGAAATTCTGTGTAAGCTTATTGTTATGAATAATCAAATTTATTCGACCACTTACTCGGCGCAAAGGTGTCTTCTTATTATTTGTTTATTCGGAGGAATTCCCATAGCTAAAAAAGAAAACATACGGTCAAAGTATGGTCCATGTGTTAAAATATGAATGCACCGCATGTGTACATACCTGACGCTAAAGTTTCTCCGTTGAATGATGCTGAAAGTAAGAGAAATCATAAAATCATACACGAATTTAGTACACGACCACCTGTATGTCATAATTCAATCATGTATATCTTTTTACGTTCTAGCACACATATTGCTCCATGCACTCCACTTCCTGAAATTGAATTATTTTTCTCCATCTTAATTCACTAAAATTTCCAAATATGTATATTGTTCTCGCACCTTTGAGATTCTCAGAGTATTCTCCCAAGTCTATACTTCTCGCCCATTGGACAAAATGCTGATTTGTCCAAACAATTGGATCATTGTCAGCGTGCCTTCTCCGTTCAGCTAGTGCCTGCATATTAATATCGAGTTATATTATAGCAGAAATATAACTATGTAGTAATGCATTTTTAACGCCTTATTAGTACCTGACGATCATAACCGACTATTCGAAGTAAATGAACACCGTGTGCAATGGAAGCCATATGAAACTTTTTGGTGACTACAAAGAAAGGAGTTAACAATATATATTAAATTATTTACTATTATTCCGTTTATTGAAACTTCTTACCACCCAAAAATTTCTCCAAATCCTTTTTGCTCATGTGATCTAGCAACCTAGCATCGACTAGACAGCCAGCAAATGTTTCCGCATACTATAAAGAATATAATACTTGCGTTATCAAATTGCATGCGAATAATTTTGAATTGCTGAGAGGAATTATAGTCGTTGTTACCTGAGGAAGCCCGATATCTGGCAACCACTCTGAGCTCACCCACACATGCGAGAGTTCTGCAAATTAAATATTTCACATAAACTTAGAAAAAGTTCACATTCCTAAAGCAGAATTATTAGAAGTTACTAACCAGCAATACACGGAAACCGAACCAGGGCTGGGTTCCGGTGTTCTTCAATAGCTAACCGTAATTTCTTGCGATGCAGTGGATGCAAAATTCCTAGCTCAGTTTCCAATTCAACATCAGCTAGTTCCAAAAGCACTTTTCCACTTTTGACATTGTCAGCGCCTGTGATGTTTTTAATATTAAGCAGTTTGATCACCTCAACTATTATACTACACATCATTAATTTTGAATGAAGAGTGTGCTTACATCTGGAACCATATTGAGGCATTCCAAGGCTTACTTTATTAGAATAATTAATAATAAAAAAATCATTACAATTTTTTCAATGCAATTAAAAAATTGTATGCATATGTACAGTATATACTACATACCTTCTATCCATGCTTGAACCATGCACGCTCTCCATAATTCCATAGGAAGTGTAGCTGCTTCCTCCAAAGCAGCAAGTTTGTCAGCATAACTTTCCTGTTCAGTCAAAGGGGATTGAGAAACAGATCCTTGGGGGGACCAACTCGTCCTTTGATTTGCCGCTAGACCTACGTACATGCATTAAGAAAAATTATTTTAACTGCAAAAAAAAAGTATATTGTAAATGTTATTCTAACCTTCAAATAATGAAGAGTCTAACGTTCTCCTATGTTTATTTCGGGCGAAAACTCGTGAAATGCTGCCCCATGCACCTTTTGCCCCTGTGGAAGCTCGTCCTGCAAAATCATTTCCGCTCCGCCTGCTGTTTTTTCTTCTAGCTTCAGCCGCCTCTGCCGCTAAAAGCTGTTCCGCCGATCTACCCGAATGCAGGAAAATACATAGATGTACAGGTGGGATCATGACATTAAGACGTTGATTGCGTTATAATTTGTAACTGTTTTTCTTGGATGCGCTTCCAATACCTGGACAAAGGATTTGTATCTAGTGACCTCGTGAGTGAGGCGAAAGTGAGTCCAGGGCTGTCCCTCGGAGTTGTAAATAGTTGTGGAAGAGTGGCTGTTGATATTACAGACATGGAGTCCCCATCCCCTGAACCATCCCCAAGGTCCAAGCTGATTGCTGTGCCACCAATGAACAAGGTACCGTTAGTCCATTGACACACGTTATACATAAATAATTTCATAAAATCGCATGGTTATATTTTGTAATAATATTAAGTAATTCACCCTCATTTGCTGAGTCAGATAGGTTTCCGGTAGCTACTCCTCCAGCCCCAGAGTCTCGATCTGAACTGAGTCGCACTCCCGAATCCGCAGAACTTCCACGATCCCCACCAACCGTGGCGTAGGTGGCAGTTAGAGATGAGACGAGCGAATAATGGGAATTTGCCGTTGTACTGCTACGATCTGTTCGATCTGCCTCCGAGTAGATTCCATACTGTGCTAATTGTCTTCTTGCCTACAAAAGTCATCCATTAAATCACTCATCATCGTTAGGATGCAATTCTAATTTTCATGACTAATCAATCCCGTGGTTAGTTGCTATCAGAACTATTACCTCGTGCACCTCCTGCTGCATTTGTTGTACTTGAGATTCTCGAACGTTTAGCTGGGCTGCGAGTGCCAGACCCCTTTCAGCCTCGTCCCTAGCATGTCGCAAAATGCTCCAACGTTCTCGCTCCGCCTCGTCTCGTTCGACTGTTAAACGCTGAAGATTCTAAAGGAAATATAGTCATATTTAGTACCTTCTTAATCTAGTGATTGTAAAATTACGTCAAGTTTTAGTCGAATAAATATGTGCAGAATTTATGTACCTGCTCATAATTTCTGATAAAATCTCGAAGTTCTTTCTCTTTGTCTTCCTACATATATACAATTCGTACAATTTTTTAGGCATTTAATACAAAAGTGACAAATGTTTCGAATTAAATAATATGTCGTATTTTTGCTTACCAGCGTCGAGTAGAGTTGCTTCATCTGAAATATTATAGCACAGTTAAATACACATCTTAGATAAGGTTTACAATTATTATAATGCTTACTGATAGCCTACCTGATTTAATAACTCAAATTTTTCTGCTTTTAACCGTTTCCTATCTCCTTTTAATGCTGCGAGATAAAATCAAATCGCAATGTCACATCAAATTTCAAAAATTTTTCCAGAAACTAGAAATAAGGCATTTACCTAGTAATGCTTCTTTGGCATGACGAAGTTCAGTCAGCTCGGGAATGTCTTTCGCCTTATTGAGCTCCCACATTTCCTTCTGTAAACTTTGGTTCTTTGCAACCAATCGTTTGCATTCCTCTTTGCATTCAGAGAGAGATAGATTTTCTAGGTCTAATAATTGTTCAGAATCATCTGTAAGCAAATTAGGTACATAGAAGTGTCTGACTTTTTCCAGCATAATTGAAACATAATTGAAATTTCCACCATTATGATTGTAGATATTGTGGTAATAATAAAGGCTACACGCGTACCGTGATTATTGTGGTCTCCATTGCTGGTGGAAAGCCCGTTAACTTGTATGGAATCTTTCTCATCTGAATGGTTAGTATTTGAAAAAGTCATATTTCCCGAGGTGGAGGTGTCATGATTGGGAGTGGAGGGCGTAGACGGTGGGGAGTTGAGTTGTGATATTCTTTTATTCGTGTCCTGAAAAATATTCATTTTAAATTTCATCTAAGACTTTCTGGTTGAATTTTCAATTTCTTTCCATTAGTTGATGTATGTATGTACTCAACAGCTAAAATGGTTTTTACTTACATGCAATTCGGCTCGAAGAAGTGCCATTTCGCTATGAGCAATTTGTAAGTCACCATCCAGTTTGTAAGCAATTGATTTGTTCTCTTCAACCATTTTACGAAATTTCCCCTGAAGAGAATATGAGTTTAAATTGAAAATGTTTCATGGTGGTAACTGTTGCAATAATTGTACAAAATGTACATACCTGCGCATCTAATAAAAGTCCTCTCATCAGGCCTAAGGAGACCTTGACAGCGTCGCGATATATCCCGTCACCATTTTTGTCTTCGATTTGAATTTTTTCAGTGTTTTCATTCGGAAATGCACAGATAAGTATTTGTTCGTTCAATGCACTCAAGGACTGAATAGCTGAAATAAAAATGAGCATGATTATGGTTAATTTAGAGTTTAGCATTTCATGTGGTGAGACACTCCAAAAATTCATGAGAATTATAACTTGTAATGCTTATGTAAAGTATTTGCCAGGCTTGTTCAACTATTCAGAATCAAAATAGTCAACAAGCTACACGTTAAAATTAGCCACCAATCATGATTGTGCCATTTTCACATTTTCGTATTTAGTGACATTTAGATAAATACATGATGCAATTTACTCAACTAGAGCCCCCATAGTTAGTCGAATTCTGATTGTCTGATTTGCCTGTCAAATTAAATTAGCATGTAATCGTGACCTAATGAATTGTGTTATACTTTGTGGGTGGTCGGAATCTTATTAAATTAATAGCAAACCCGAACCACGGCGGTGGCACACTGCACGCTAATTGCCGACTAATGAGGTGTTACGAATGTTGATTTTATATGTATGTATGTTTCAGGAACGCCGGCTATTTTGCCAAGAATTTCCAGCAGTGCAACACGAACGACATTTCATCGCTGCTCTGCTAATTATCCGTATTCCATTTATACACTTATCAGCTATATAACACATACATACATATGTTTATATGTATAAGGCACGCCATTAAATCCAATTGGCTTTACCCATTCATATATTAGTTCATGGTAGTCAAAACTCATGAAAATTGCTGAATGAACAATCAATTAACTGATCCTCAAAACTAATTAAAGTTCTTACCATTTTCAAAATGAATATTTTGTTTAGCAAATGCCCTGGTGAAAGCTGTCACAATTTTGCAATTAATTTTGCCTTGATGTGCCGACATAGTTGGTTCGGTTGTCTCGGCATCTTCATCTGACTCTGATTTGTAGGTGCAAATGCTGTTATCAGCACTGATCGTAGCATCAGTAAGTGATGGACTCACATTACTGGCACCGTTCTCAATTTCACACTTATTCCCATTACTACGATCCTCAAGTTCCCCAATGACCGGAATGTGCTGCTCCTCAGATACAGCACTATTGGCTACTTCGACACTTGTATTCAGATCCGAATGCGTAAAGTCCTTCATAGTGAAAGCGCCTTTACTTGTATTCACATCCTATGCAAAATATATATCCTGGCTGAGAATAAGTAAAACTTCACAAAGAACAAAAGTGGAACTGAAACAATAGCGTATTTAGTACATACATGTTAACACTACTTAACTCTTACACTTGACAAAAGAATGTTACATATTTATTTTTGGTGAACAATGGTTTCTGACGTACGCCTCTTTTTGGAACTTATATTTTCCTTAAATTGCACGCACACTTTCAAGTTTCAATCTAATAATACCGATTAAGTACAACAGAACTGCAGAATACGTAGGTACAGGGATCACACTACTCTTGAATATTACTCACAGTTCATTGTATGCAAATTCGGAAAGGCGTTTGAGATTTGTTGTGGGATGTATGTGCGGAAGAATGATGGTGTCACACCGTTATCACTTGCTGGCTTATTTTCATTTTAAGCTTTTGCCTTTTAGATTGGGAAAATGTTACCTCACCACTTTTGGAAGCCTATTATGATTTTCTTCTTCCCCTTACATATTAATCCCACTGCCTTCTTAGCTCTTGGTATGCTAAAAACCTCCCTAGTCGGTCACATCATAGTATGAACTTGATGATTTTATTGAATCGTCGCCTAGAGGGGATTGCCCTCCTTCCTTCAATATTCAACGGGACTTTTTATTTTCAAAGATAGATTAAAAACAGCACCGTTTCGTCATCACGTCCTTTACTAATTGCGTGTTGCTAGTGAAGTGCGGACTGATTATTTTATTCCACTGTTCACAAATTGCCCTCTAAAAAACTCCATTGCAAAGGCGAGAGAGGAAACCTATTTGTTTGTTGTACAATTTGATAAGTGAGAATGATGATGAGCAGTGAGACACTATATTTCTCACAACTGCTGCACCTGGCCTCGCAGTTAAGAAACAGCGATTCACTCTAGTAATAATGCGGCCAAGAATAAATGTCATGGAATATTCGCTCTAATCTAACACAGAGGACATAGTGTGGGGACAAAGTCGGGAGTTGGATGGTGGGACAACTTTGTAGGAGATAAACTGGGATGTTCCCCAAGATTAAGTGTAAATAAGCATATACACAGAAACGAAATGGGATTGCTACTTACTTTCCGTTTGAAATTCTCAGACCATGCTTCTCGGAAGTTTTCTTATGTCTTGGATATCGGATATAAAGAGTTATTGTGTAATATGCAGGAGAAAAATACAACTAGTACCGACTTGTAGTTGACGGTATTTCGTTGGCGTATCTCTGCCAATTTGGGTTCACGCCATGACATGTTCATGCCATGATCAAGGATAAAAAGTTTGCCGATGCTTTATGCTGATATTTTTCGTTATTACTTGCACTAAATTGTAGAAGAGTCTTTTTTAAGATAAATGGAAAATATTAGGCCAATATACATACTTCCGTGGCATAACAGGATTTAGTGCAATGACTGACTATGTACATTTGTATGTATGTATTCCCTTCCCACCCAACACAGTTTTACCGACTGACTTCATCCGCTCTCTGTTCATCATAAAATTCGCAACATGAATAGGAAATGGTTATCATATACAATTATAAACTATATCAACCTCGAGATTGGCTAGTTTCCTTCTTATCCTAAATGCACGTGTGCCAACTACTTTCGCATTCGGTATCTCCAGCCTTTATAGAAATCTTTAAATATTGGTACATTTTTTTCCAACTTACTCAGAAATATTCACACACACATTCAAAGGGTGAACAAAATGTGGGTAGCACACTGGCCAAAAGTATTTGAAGCATTTATTCTCTTTAAAAAGTCACTACTGTAGTACATAAGTTGGTGGCTTTATGTACTTGTGCTCACCATGTATTCTCTGATCCAGATTAGTCAGCCCAAACACATGCAAACGTGGTGCAATGCAGAACCGAATATAAATATAGGGTTCATAGTTTTAGGAAGCGTAACTGTCTCCATAAAGCACTTGCCACGCCAAAAAAGGCAACAACTGTAATAAGATAGGAGCAGTCTTGTCGTAAACACACACAAACACACTGCTTGGTTCAAATGGCAATTCTTTTTTAACAACGCCTGAATTTCTTGTGCGCACATTTGTTTACGTAGAGTTGCACTTTCGAACATGAAACTGTCACGGTTTCAAATGTTTCATGGACGGATGTAAAGATAAAAGTGAATGATGGAGGTAGACAAATTTGTTCCAAGGCGATGCAATGTAGCATCGTAATCGTAGGTAGGTTTTAAAAATTGTGTGTAATTGTGACTATATTCAACCGCAACTATGTACATAGGTAAATATGTGTAATTAAACGTGTATAATGGCTCGGAGTGATGCAATAAGATGTAGTAATAAGTACGGTACACTTTTTTTGCTGAACAGGGCTTAAGGTGAATATTTCACGGCTTAAGGTGAATATTTCAATTGAATAATACTGTCAGTCAGATTTGAAACTGTTCTTGACACTTCCATTTAGTACACATATGGAAGTTGGCTGACAAAAAATGTTAAAAAGTTGGTTTGCGGTTATGAGCAAGCATTTGTATTCATCCCAAATAAATATATAGGTACTCAGCTCATTATTATTACCTATGCATCTCATCCCATAGCAAATACAGGGGATTGAATATGGTTCCCGTGCTGTCTCATAGTCTGAAGCCCCAACTCTTCGGCACCGAAGCATCGAGTGCATATAGGAAGGGAGGACTACCACTGCCTGAAGCTGAGCCTGCTCTACAACAACTTATGTACAGCTTTTTGTGGTAAAAGGACCATCTGGTTTTGATAGGGACTGTGTTTTAGAGGGAGAGCACAAGCATCTTCTTTTACCTTTCTCCCTCCAGGCCATATCAACTTCCCTTACGTAGTGCCACTCATGTACTTCTCCCTTATACGACGCTGCTCACTTCTAGAAACTCCACTTTGGATTGGAACTGATTACTTCCAGCCACCTCTTCTTCCTTCCTGTTGAGACATTTAAACGGCTCTTCAGACAAGGAGCTAAAGGAGTTGGAACCATTAGAACGTGTCTTCGCCTACTTCTTGGCTTTTCGTACAAATCTCTCTTTTATTCTTAATAAGAATGGTTTTTTTTGTAGGGTGTGAAACACGAGATAAGCCATTTGCTTAATAAATATGGAAATTAACTCTAAATGCTACCCCAATCATTTTTATTCAATTCGAGTGGTATTACTTTCTAACGCGTACTTTCCCAAAAAAATACTAACTAATCTAAAGTGAAATTTCAAAATACATTCCTAATCCAATAAAGAAGTTAAAAAATGTTATCTTAGGAGTAATAATTGGTTTAATAAATGTGACAATTTCTTACGTCCCTCCGCCCTTTAAAAACATTATTATTCTATGTCTACTTACATTCTTGAAACATGAGTATAGGTGGAATACTTGATTACAATTGCTCATAATTCGATTTAGCATTATAAATTATGCATTACTATTTTTGAAATAAACTGGACTGAAAGGTTATTGGTACATGTTCTAAAAAATTAATGTCAAGGGTTTGCATTGGGCTGAGCTTATTTTGCTAATCGCAGAATTTGTTCTTTGGTATAAAAGCTCACACTTGTCAATCTTTGAGTCAATGGGTTGATATGGCTGCATTTAAGTAGTTGGGTCTGATGTCCAAATTCCGAATTCTTTATAATCCGAATGATTTAAAATTTTATGTGATGCCATATGTGAAAGTACTGTACATGCTAACTCGCTATATGCAACTTTGTCACTCAAAGTTGACTAACTTCCGATATCTTTAGGACTTGAGAGCAATGCGTTTTCCTTACTGCTCATTAATGCTACTTTGCTGTTGCATATTTGCATAGACCTGTATTTGCCTTAATGCTTAGTAATCACATGAATCAACAACAAAGGAAGACGTTGTATCCATTATTTGCAGATGTGCCAAGCATCGGATCCGGAGTCGACTAAATGCATAATCACCGTGCATTTATGGGATGGATCTCGAATAGTTGAATTTGTGGGAAGCGTTTTTGGCGACGACGAATGCAGGATTTTTACATTTGTGAAATTATAATCCTGTCAACCTCTCTCCCCTCACCTCAATTTTCGTGGTTTAACTCACTACTAACATTGATTCAAGCCAACCAAACCAGAGTTTACTTGAGTGTAACCCTGTCACAGTGTACAAATAAATCACAGATGAGTGAAACATTGTAAATATATACTTATGCACACATATCCACACTAACGATACATGTGATTGGCCATGTTCAATTCACGACAAGTCACTCAATGCCAAATGTATAATCAGAGAGAAAACGAAACATTTCATTGCGATGAATGACGACCAATTTACAGCTATTTCTATTCTGCTTATCATCATCAATCTGTATATACATAAAATAAAATGAGGGGGGCTGTTCAAACCCAGAACAAATGTCAAAAATAAATACTTGTTGGGAAGGGAAATGCTCTCAAATTATGTATCTGATGAGATGTAGAGATATCCTAAATCAGATGCACTTCGCGACAAACCCACTTTCCCTTTCCTATTCACATGTATATTAAACCAACTACATATGCGCAATGTCCCAGTGAATATGCATTTGTTTTCAGCCCTCTTCAAGCCATGGAACGAACGGAATGTAGGAAATATAAGTAACTCTGTTAACCTTGGCTTGTCATTGGAACACGGATATTTATAAATAATCCACAAATGTGTACTTCATCTTCATTTTGATTCTGCGGGTGTGAGACCTACTCTGACTTGGGAACGTTGAACGTAAACAATTCTCATAAATAATTAATCGGTGACAAGCGGAAGCCGGTTCCAGAGAAATTGCGGGACGGAGGAAGCAACAGACATATAAATGTATTGAGCAGGGTGAAAAGTGGTACATTACATAATGTAAGTATCGCACTGAACCTTTTCTAATCTCAGTGAGAAGACCCACTCAAAAGCGCATATGTTAGCAGTAGTAATAGTAAAAAATAAAATAGATAGCATTAATACATATTCCACTGCAGCACTCATATTTCCCCCACAATAAGCTATTTAGAAGATATAACAAATAATGCTAATAATGCAGCGCGTGTTGGTCAGGAAGCAAAAAATGTGTGTAAATTGCATAAGATTGTATCGTTAGGTTAATCTCGTTTGCGTCCTCTTCCCGAACACCCCTCTGTACGAATAATAAAGGCAGAGCTAGAATGGAATTTTGAATAAGTGATGTTAATGCCAAAACAATGCGGTACTACCACCATTCTCATAAACACCAGCTTCACTTCAAGCACCCACCACACCCCAACTCAATCGGGATAGATTTATTTGCCAAGCTACTAGCTCAGCCGTTGATAACATGAACGCTGTGAAGAAGCTCAGTAAGCACATACGATACCTATCCCATGCATCTTTGGGATAACTCTTGGTGCATCTCTCTGAGGATGTGAAGAAACTGCATCAGTATGACAAGGAGCTTGCACATTGGAATTCAACCCGGTATTGAAACTTTCATTGCGCTATTCGTCTCAGTCATTGGTTTTAAGAGAAAGCAAGGCATGAAATTCCAATAAAGAAATCTCGTGTACAGCACACAAAATGTTGTGAATTGACACAGGGACGGGAAGTACCGTGAAAGAGGAGAATGTTCAAGTGCATCGGACTATTTATGGCCCCACGGTCAGCTCAATATGGGAGAAGAAAGAGGGAAAAGGACGGAGTTGCACTTGGTGCCACAGGATTGTGCTATGAATGTAATCGTATTTGACAGAACCTCACCAGTACGGACGACGAGGGATGAGGGTGGAAGTGAACAGAAGGGTCCAACTTCATCGTAAACAGTGAAATGGGATGCTACATAGTGGTCGTATGAGGGAAAGTGTGTGATATGTTGGGCACACAACCATTCACCATTCTTCTTCCCATTCTCGAATACAATGATGGAGAGGGAATGAAAATCGATAAAAATTGCTATCAAGGATCAGCAGGGAAGGCTCAGGCTTAGTTTTACAACGCATGGAGTGAGAAGAAAGTAAAATTGAAGGGAATAAGAACAGGGTGGCTTCACAGAGGAGTTTGTACAGATAAAGCTGATAGAGCTGAAACAACCATCACCACTCCTGCACCAATACGTACGACAAAGGATGGATGACTGGATGTGCATTCCAACTTCCGTAAAGAAAAATGATCTTTACTCCTTCCACACAAAGTTGATTCCAGACCTTGAAATGCACTCCATTTCAGATCACAATAAAGTGATTTCAAAGCTGAATTGGCATAGTCAATCCTAAACTTCAGTCTGTACTACAGACTCTGTAGGCCTTGAGCCAAAGTGCATGCGGTATGCACATCCTACAAGTAAATACTACTAGAACTTCTCACAATCGTTTCAAGCCCCCGATAATACGCAAAACAACGCATCCGATACATCTCTAAATTATTTCTTAGAAATTCAATATATATTTCGTTTATGAAAATACGTACCAAAATTAAATAGGTTCGTA